ATAAATATCTATTTTTTAATAACTAATAAATAATTAATAAATAATTAATAAATAATTAATAAATAATTATTATATTATAAAGTAATAATTTTTCTTTTATTCAAAATAGAGCTAGTATTATATTTAAATAATAATTTAATTATTATCTATTATTAATAATAGTTATTAAGTTAAAAATAATTAATAACTATATAATAATTTAATACTAGTTTTAAAACTAATCATAACTGTTTTAAAACCTCAAAAAACCTTCACTAACCGTCGTTACTAAATGGCCTGGGCCACTACGTAAAATGCAGGCAGACTGGAAGTTGTTTGGGCTGAATGTCAGATGGACTAGATCAACGCTAACCAATTATGGATTAAACACCTGAGGCATGAACATGGATCACATAATATATTACTCAGCAGGTTTTAGAGCATATCGGTCAGTTACGTCATATAATTCTAAATAATGAGTTATCCCCGCTAACCCAATTCATCGATTTGTACGCTGTACGATATACGGTTATCCCCGACAGACCTCAAAATCCGTAGATTGTCAGGTATAAATGGCTCTCTCAGGATGTGTCAATTTGTTTTCTGTTGAGTGTCTTGAGCATATTTAGCATCATTGCAATTACCAATATGAAGTTGGACGCTGTCCGTGAATGCGTGGCTAGCCTCGTGCAGCGCCAGTCCCTGGTTGCCGTCTTCTTCGGCGGCACTTCAGGGATAGGCCATTATGCGTTGCGTGCTCTGGCGACAGCCGAAGCCAAACACAAGGGAAAGGGGTTCAGGGCATACCTCGTTGGTCGGAAACGGAGCAGGGGTGACGAGGTTATTGCCGAGTGTCGACAGATCTGTCCTGAGGGACGGATCACCTTCGTGCAGGTGGACGATCTGTCGCTGATTCGGGATGTGGATAAGGCATGTGCGGAGATCATTCGACTGGAGGAAGAGCAGGGGGGAAACGATGCCCGGATTGACTTTTTGATGGCTAGTCACGGTGGGCCGGTCTTTATGCCACGGAAAGGTAAGGTTCTTCTCTTCTTCTTCTTCTTCTTCTTCTTCTTCCTCGTTTTGTGATGTGTTTCAATATGCTGAGTACTTAGATACGGATGAAGGACTCGATAAAGCAATGTCGATGATGTACTATTCCCGCATGCGAGCCATCATCCAGCTCCGTCCGCTGCTTCTCCGCTCTTCGAAGCCGGCTACCGTGGTTTCAGTATACGCCGGGGGGTTCGAGGAAAAGATATACCCCGACAACCTCTCGCTGCGGTATCCAATGAAGTACGCCTACTTGCAGGCCCGCTCGCATATAGTCTACATGCACACGGCCTTCTTCGAGGCCCTCGCAGCGGAAAACAAGGGCAGACTCTCTCTGGTCCATGTGTTTCCTGGCCTTGTGATCGGCCCAGGATTCAACGACCCAGAGTACCCGGGTTGGATCCGGTTGATGATGAAATGGATCTTATTCCCTATCCTCGGGAGACTCGTGGCCGTCGAGCCGGCCGAGTGTGGCGATCGGATGCTTAGCCTGGCGTCGCCAAGATACGCGCCTCGATCTACCGACAAGCCAACGGTGAAGGACGGTGAGCTTGTCAGAGCCACGAACGGTGAGCTTGGAGGAGGATGCTATGCTCTCACGTCAAACGGAGAGGATAACTTCAAGCCGAAGATTTATGCTAAACTCGACAAGGAGAAATTGCGGCAGCAGATCGTCGCACATACCCTCAGAGCTTTTGAGGTGATTGCGGCCGGGGGTGTTTTCACTGAGTAACTCTGCTTTCTGTATTTATTTGGTAGTAATATTTGCATGAAGTATATTAGAAATATTTCCAGTCAGCGAGTTCTGTTTATTTACGTCTTTTATTTGTTAGAAAGTCGTCTTGAGGAGGGTGGTAGAATAAGGGAGCGATGAAGAATAAAAAAAGAAAGAAAAGCCCCGTTTCGAACGGGCGACGGTCCCTTCTTACACCCACACCGTGTGCTTCGTACCTCCAAATCAGGTCTGTAACGATTCTAAAAAAAACTGGTAGCTTCTCTTTGATTGAGCGTGTCATCCTTAGTGCAGGGGCCATGCTAATCTTCTCTGTATCGTTTCAAATTGACCAAATGCCCGAAGGCACTGGGTTACCTTTAAGCGGGATTATATGCATACCACACGGAAAGGGGGAGTTCATAGTTTAGGTACTTATACCCATGGAAAGACGGCCATGTTGACAAGTAAATCCTTCCCCGGTACTACAGAACAAACACCAAGCTAGGGTGTATTATCCGTACAAGTGTACCATGGTTTGCCAGTGCTAAGAGCTGAAGCTACCTGTAGATGCCAGCAGCGAAGAACAGCTCGAACGGGCACGGGCCATCCGCCACCACACATCCAACGGAATGATAGTAATTCCGTCTCCTCGGTGGCGGGTGGCCCGTGCCCGCTCGATGAATGCTGACTAAGCTACAGCATGCGAGGGGCTCCGAGTCTTCACATGTCGACGACGACATTACAACTCTTATTCAGGTATATATCGAGTCCTTTGATTCTCCAAATAGGCCTCAAATGCTGCTACAAATTCATTCGCTATCTAGAATCATCTATTCAGTCAATCTGACGAAACTGATCGTCACCCGGAAGACAACCCGCCAATCATGCCCACGATATAACTGATACAATAGGATGAAGGAATATCTAAAACCTGATCATTCGTATTGACCAAGTCTGCCCTTAATTCAGTACGAATCGATCTAGGCCACAGAGAAAAGCAGTCCTACAGGTTAGTATCAAAAGGCCGGAGAGCTTGCCACTGATGTCATCTCCTATATAAATACTGCCTGCTTTATTCGGTACTAGTATTCAATTAATCACGGCTTGGAGTCAATTTGATTTTCATCATGTCCACAAACAATATTCCAACCCTCCGGTCTGTCCGGTCTGTGCATCCTGCTCAGCGCTCAAACTCGTTCTCCAACCACACACAAGAACAAACACAAGGGCAAACACAAGCACAAGGACCGCCAAGCAATATGGTCAAGGCCGCGCTGACAGAGCTGCTCAATGAAGGCGACGTCCGGTCGGATGCGAGCCGGAGGACCTCCGTACAAAATCTGCTGATGAGGACGGAACACGACCTGAGGGAAGAACGGAGGGAGATGCACCGTATCCCCGAAGCTTGAGAGCCCGAGATGCCTTTTTGCGAATGTACAACTATTATTGGCGTGTACGAGAATAAGACTGCTATAATTAGGTGATCTCATCGTAAGACATGGCACGCCTGACCGGATTTACCTTATCTCCATTCTTATAGATATAAGCAGTCTTTCAGAGAGATCAACAGTTTAATTAGAAGAAAGAGATAAAAAAAAAAAAAAAAGAAAATCGATGAATTGAGAGCGAAGGGGATGGAGTCAAAAAAAGAAACCCGCCTGAGAATCGCCCGCCGGTTCATCGACCACTTCGCCAAACTCGAAATCGACATTCTCCACACCATCCTCGCAGACGAGTATCACCACCAGTTCGCCCCGGCGTCGCTCGATCCGCCCGGCCCCTTCGATAAACAAGGCCTGCTAGACCACCATATCGCCCTGCGCGAGGTGATGGTCGGCTTCCCCGTCACCGCCAAGGAATACATCGACAGCGAGAGCGAGTCGTGCGTCACCGTGTGGGCGACGAGCAGGGTGCAGTTCCGCGACGACGTCAAGGGGCCAGACGACAGCGAGGCCGACTGGGCGTACGAGGGCGAATACATCTTTCTCATCTCCTTTGACGCGACGGGGGAGCGGATCGTCCGCACGGTGGAGTTTCTCGATAGCAAGCAGACGGCGGATCGGCTTGTAGGATTGATGGAGAGAGCAAGAGAGAATACCGGGAGGTTGAGTTGATTCATACAACCTTGTATATTATTTGAAACTGGCTAGGTCTATTAAAGGTAGACTCTTTAATTAGAATAGCACCTCAAGCTAAGCACTCAACTTAAGCACTCAACTTCTACCTTGGTAGTAAGCCTATGATTGAATATTTTGCTGTCCCTATAAAATTGTATGGTCCCTTGAAAGTCACCCACATCACCCACATCTGGTCTGTAAGAAACACGAATCTTCCAATATTATGAACTCTCTCGGCTTCAACCTATTTTATTCTGAAAATAACTTCTCTACTTTCCACCTGTTAATTACATCTAGTAAAGTAGAACTGCTTTAATGGAGTGAGTGGTACTGAAAGCTCAAACTCTAGGATAACCTCACCAAAGTATCACCAGTAGTTATACTCTTAGCCTACCGCAATAATAGTGAACTACTAATAGTAATACTTCTCACTAATAATAGTTACTAACAAATAATAATCATAATAAGCTCAAGTGAAGGAAGGACTATCTTCCTCGGATGGACCTGTTGTTTTAGGAATAGCCTCAAATTGCTCTATCTTATCTGCTCTTATCAAGCCAACGAGAGCCGGGTCAAGAGGGGCATTTCTGCTTCTTATTTAACTCGGCCTCCCCCCTCCCCCTGCGCCTGGAGTCACCTTCTCTCCACTCACGCAACTACTCCGTACACTCGTACACTCCCCATCATCATGAGTCTCTTTGTCCCGCTCACGACGCCCAATGGCTACCAGTATGACCAGCCGCGGGGTTTGTTCATCAACAACGAATTCGTCCCCTCCTCGACTGGCCAGGTGATTGAAGCCGTCGATCCAGCGTAAGTTCTGTTTGATCTGGAATAAAATGAGCTAGAAAAGAAGAAGAAAGTAAGGCTCATTTGTCAGGACCGCTCTCCCGATTGCCACCGTCTATGCCGCGTCCGCCGACGATGTCGACAAGGCCGTCCAGGCGGCGTACAAGGCGCTAAGGGACCCCTCATGGAAACAACTGCCTGGCACTGAGCGAGGAGCCTTGATGGCACGTCTGGCAGATCTCATGGAGAGAGATCGTGCCCTGCTGGCTACCATTGATGCCTGGGACAACGGTATATTTACCCATTGAGCGACAATCTAAAAGAACTGATTGATTGATTTATTTTTTTTTTCTTTTCAAACCACAGGCAAACCATACCAGGTTGCTTATAATGATGACCTGGGGGAGGCTATTAGCACAGTTCGGTACTACAGCGGCTGGGCTGATAAGACATTCGGCCAGACGATCAGCACGACGCACACCAAGTTTGCATACACGTTGCGGCAACCGATCGGTGTCGTGGGACAGATCATCCCCTGGAACTACCCTCTTTCGATGGCTCTGTGGAAGCTGGGCCCTGCGCTGGCCTGTGGAAACACGGTGGTGATCAAAGCCGCAGAGCAAACCCCTCTCAGCATCCTGGTTCTGGCCAGGCTGATCAAGGAAGCCGGGTTCCCCGCCGGTGTGGTGAACGTGATCAACGGGTACGGGCGTGAAGCCGGGGCAGCCCTTGTGCAGCATAAGCTTGTCGACAAAGTGGCCTTTACGGGCTCCACAGGCACGGCGCGGGAGATCATGAAGATGGCGGCGGGGACATTGAAAAACATCACACTGGAGACGGGCGGCAAGTCGCCGCTGATCGTGTTCAAGGACAGCGATCTGGACCAGGCCGTGAAGTGGTCGCATTTCGGAATCATGTCCAACCAGGGCCAGATCTGCACGGCCACCTCGCGCATCTTCGTCCACCAGGACATCCTCGACACCTTCCTGCAGAAATTCAAGGAAACCCTCACGCAGACATCCAAGATCGGCCACCAGTGGGACGAGACCACCTACCAGGGTCCGCAGGTCACCCGTGCCCAGTACGACCGCATCCTCTCCTACATCGAGCTGGGTAAGCAGGAGGGCGCGACGGTGGTGGCCGGCGGCGGGGCCTTCGTCCCAGCCAGCAAGGAGCATGCAAACGGGTACTTCGTCCAGCCGACCGTTTTCACCAACGTCACGGACTCGATGCGCATCTACCGCGAAGAGATCTTCGGCCCTGTCGTCGTCATCCGCTCCTTCGCCACAGAGGAGGAAGTCATCCGCTACGCCAACGACTCGGAGTACGGTCTCGGCGCCGCCGTTTTCACCAAGGACATCGAGCGCGCTCACCGTGTCGCTGCTGAGATCGAAGCCGGCATGGTCTGGATCAACAGCAGTCAGGACTGTGATCCCCGGGTGCCCTTTGGTGGTGTCAAGCAGAGCGGCATCGGGCGCGAGCTCGGCGAAGCAGGTTTGGAGGCGTATACCCAGGTCAAGGCTGTGCATGTCAACCTGGGCAGCAGGTTATAATCTTGCTTTTCTATAAAAAGGGGAAATAAAATATATAGATGATTTCTTAAAATCGTTTCAATGGTACGATAGATCGACTGAGTACAAAATAAAGCTGAATAGATCGCTAGACCATCCGACCACTACTAAAGTGTCCAGACAATCAATTAGTAGCGCTTTATAAGGCCATCCATACATCCTGCGAAGAAGAGGCATTGTAAACAGTGCCATTGAAAGACCCCCCTTCCTTCTCATCATGTAGTCCTTGTAGTGATCAGTGTAGATGGCGTTGCATATGTATAGCTCCCCACCATCTTGAGCAATCAAGATGGCCCTAAGGCAGTCTGCAAGTTGTAGTTATACCCGACGAGTGTCTCGGTAGCCGAGGAATAGCCTGTCTTTCGCTTTTGGTTAATGGAGAGACTCTTGAGCGAGGCAAAGATCAGCTTCAACACAGTAAAACAGCCAAAAACCTACATTGATCCCATCTTGTGAACCCTGTATAGGAAGAAAAAAACAACCGATATTCCTGACTGACTGTGATATATGGTGACATAGGCCTTGTATCTGTAGTTGACCCCTCTGTTGGCTCGATGGTTATATCATAAGAAGTGAGGGGATATCAGACCATTCGGCCGCTGACAATTGTCAAGACAATTAGTAGGGCTTTATAAGGTCATTTATCCTGCAATAGTTTGATGTTATAAGGAAAGCATCCATGTCTTCAGTATATATTGAAGCTAATGGTTGAGATAGATTAGTTGCTGCCTAAGGTGTTGTATTCACAAAGAGGGATTCACTCATACAGCAGGCTACACCTGTGAATGTTAAGATGTCATTTTAAAGAAGTACTTGTTCATTGAATGGTCAGGGATTATATAAAGCCTTAATCGCTTGTCTGGTATTTAAGTGGAGGCCCGACAGCCATACAGGACCAGACTATAGGTACCAGGAGGTACCAGAAGGTACTTTATTTTAATCCTTGAATATGTTTTGCAGGATGTAACAATTCAGCTGTATTAAACCATTTCACAGCTGTTACCCACAGCCGAGGATCTGCCGGCACGTGGCGCTCTCCAGGGATTTTCCCTGTCCATGCCGTCTCCCCGACCGACAGAATACTCACAGCTTGCATTGCATGGCCTCTGCACCTTCAACCATGGAATCAGATCGGGTGTTTGACTCATCCAAATGAATCGTATCTCGTAGCGAAAAAGTTTATCTTGACTTCCATCCGCTGTGTGAGACGCTAACAGTTTGACCGGCAGTCAGATAGTGCTCTCTCTCTCTCGCTCTCTCTGAACGCCAGTATCCTCTGCAATAGTAGCAGCCGGCCAGTTGGCCTGTGTCAGAAATGCGTGAAGAGAGGCATGGAATGCGTTGGGGCTAGGAGGTGCTGGAGGTGCTGGAGGTGCCGGTCAAGGGACGCCGAGGAGACGTACAAGAATTCCGAGTCAAAGGGCGATCTTTGGATGAGTAGCTAGCTGATTATGTTAATCTTTGCTCAAAAGCAAATATAATTGGTTCAGGGGGGAAGGAACACTCGACTTGGGGGACAGAACTAACTCGAGAACTCTGCAATCAAGTCGCCCATCAAACCGCTAGTCAGCTAGGTGGAATGCGCATCAGTCTCAGGCCTTGCTAACAACACTACACCTCTCCCAGCCTTCGTAACTAGGCCAAGGGCACTGCTCCACTGCTTCAGCCGGGGAAAGCCTTCATGGGGCGCCAAGCCGTGTGCCCTGTCGATCCGAGATTTAACAAAATCTAGGGGGCCACTAGACCGCTGAGCCACTCAAAATGTCCAGACATTAATTAGAGCCTATTCCTGTAACACGGGATTAAAGTCCACGACACTTGGAGACACTTATTGGCATAAACTTTCAATTTCAGCTACCAAAAAAATTCATTGAGGAAGTAAACGGGACTAGAATTATTACAGTCATGGTATTCAAGTAGACCAATGAAAATAAAAAGAAATCACAGTAAATAAGACGTAAAACATTGATTTTTTTTGTACCAGGACTTTTCCAAGCAAGTCGAGAAGGAACCAAGACACGAGGAATCAAGGACATACAGCGGACTGGCTTTCAAAACTGCACCGGTCACAAAAGAGCTCCTGGCAGAGCCCTACCCTCTGGCGGACTTCCGCCGCGGGTGGCCGATCGATCGGGTGAAAGCAGAGCATGGCAGCAGTGACCATAAAAATGATTGGGGATATTGGACCGGTATTTTCCAAGGCAACATGCATGTATAGAATAGCCTGGACCTTTTCGAGTACGGCCATCTGTGTCGGCATGCTGTAAGTGTCCATCTCGTCCACTATCGGTTTCAGTGGTGGTAAGAAGGCCGCAAGGATATCCAGGTATATAAGGCCGGCGGAAAACACGTCGGCTTTCCCGTTTCGAGGCTCCTCATCTTGGGCGATACCAAAAAAACCCGTCACAACTAGTTGCCCATTATGGATGAGCAGATTCTCGGGCTTTATGTCTTTATGTCTGGCGAAGATTTCACGGGTGTGTAAAAAGTCCAAGGAGCTGGCGAGACAGCCAAAAATTCGTCGGAGGATAGCGGTTTGATCGGGGCTAGTGCTGAAGGCCGCCAAGAGGTCTCTGAGATTCCCCTGGTTGGCAAAGGGATATAATACTAGGTCATGAGTGCCGTCCGCTTCAAGCCAGTACTGTGCGAAGATCTTAACCATGTGATGGTTTGAGGAAACCTTTCTGATAATCTCGATCTCATTTTCGATCCAACGCCTGAACTCGGCCATCGGGACTCTGCTCCTTTTTTTGATCTGTTTCTGGACAAACTTCTCACCCGAGGTGGGATGGACCACACTGTATACCGTGGCAAACGATCCCTTGCTGATATACCTCCTCTCAAGCCACTGTATTTCCTCCTGCCTATCGAATACTCGATCGTCGTTTTCGTAGAGGACGGTCGGGTTGATTGCCGCGGCGTTGAATCCCACGGGTTGCTGGAGGGCGTTTGCCATAGAGTCTCGTTCGGCCATGGAGTGTCCGTACGGAGAAGAATGGAGGACTGGTAAGAGATGGAAAATGAGAGTGATGAGCGGCAAGAGGAAGATCTGAGACAGTGAGAATAGAGAAGCGCTATGATGTTGTTCTGTGCTGCTCTGAGAGGAGAGTGAGAGAAAACAGACGGACTGAGTCAACCAATTTATACTGCAGTTGCCTCAAAGTTGCCTCAACGACCACACGAGCATCATGAGCCAGCTTCGCGGTATCTACCCTCTTCATTTTCTGTTAGTTTCAGTCATTCTGTGGCGGAACTAGACTTCTCGTGGAACAGGCTGCAGATGTGGGCTGGGTTGGCGTTAGACGAGCGACGGACGAAAGTCACAGACATGTCTCCTGTACAATACGGAGGGATTGGTATGGTATCCTTGTCTGAACTCTAATGCATGTAAAGTAAGTTAGCTATGGATGGATTCGAATGGGGAGACTTGCTGGCCAGAATCACATTACAGTGGAGACAGTCTGCTTTACCAAGCACTAGCAGAATGATTGAGTTGCTAGGAACATCCTGGATCATATTCGTATCTTAGAGAAAGTAGATAGATAGATAGGTAGGTGGGTAGGTACCTGGTGGTAGGTCTGGTAAGATAGGGAGGTGTCTAGAGGTTGGGTGTGGCCTTACTAGAACCGACTGACTCACAGCAAGGTTCGCTCTTTCCTTAATCCTATGAGTACAGGAGGAAGGACCGATCAGTGTCCGCAATGAAAATTCTTCCTGCTGAAACAACTAGTTTCTATGAACCTTCGTCAACCAGGTTGTCGGGTCAGAGCGAAGATTACAGAGCCATACCTACTAGGTACCTACTAGAGGTATTCTATTAAGCCTTTAACTCTGTCATTACTGGTCAATCGAGTGAGGCGTCCCTGGGTGTTTCTGATGGTCGATTGGGCGGCCCGTACCGTGCAATCGACGTTTTTTGTTTGGAATATCCCTCGAATCTTCCGGCTTTGCACCTCTAGGGGTAAGGATACAGCGATGTCTTTCTTATGGGAACCGATCCATCCTATCTACCATAGTCGAGCTCTCGATGTGAGCTCTCGTTGCCACCATCCAGGTATGCCACCGTGATCCATTATTTATCCATCACCTAAGCTAATCAGTAGCTCGGGGGTACCCAGTTATCAAGTGACGTAGTCGTACATAAGATCAACACCAGAAAACATGAGAAATATGAGGAATAGGCCGAACAGATGATTAGATCAGCAGGGAGTCTTTTCCCCGAGCAACACAGATTAGATGACTGAAGGAGTCGACCTAGTAATTGATGGTATGTATGCCATACCACTGACTCATGTCCCTGTCGCTCATTACTTGAATAATAATAAGCATACACCAGTCGGCCCTCGCAAGGTGCGTATCTTCGGCGCGCTATACGAGAACCAGCGCGCTTGTAACAAAGTCGGTGAAGAGAGAAAGGGGGCTGAGACAAGTCTGAGACGTCATCTCAAAGAGAATCGAGAGAAACAATAGGCATGTCAACTAACTAGATGAGTAGTCAGATGATAACAGTATGTAGTACATCGGTATAGACGGAGATTACCCAAGACCATGCAATCAGATTAATTACCACGAACGTGTGGCGGGCGTGGTGGATCTACTCCGCGGAATATGAAGTCCGATGTAAATTGCACAACATATCCTTAGGTAGCTATCTAGCTATACAGGCACTCATCTGCCTAGAGAGTATTTCCCAACAGACAGGGGTCCTCCCTCAACAAATCTATAAAAGGGGTTATCATAGCAAGACAGCCAAGGTCATGTCTTCTCTGCGAGGGTGTTCTCAATCTCAGACAGATAAATCATAGTCCAGGTTTGTCCCCAGACTCCCGAAATCTCTGATTAGCTCGCGCTACTAATAAAAAAAAAAGAGATCGCCCCAGTGTATCCCTCGGCACGTACTCGTACTAGCTGAAGTACGGAGTCGAGAGTAATAGTATGTACTCCGGAGTTGTAGTGTCGAGTCAAGATTCCAAATACTAGTAAAAAACAGCCTACTGAACGCCACCTTCTGTTGGCGCGCCGCTGGGGGGTGCAAAACGCCCGACGGCCCCGGGAGGTTCCAGGTTCTGTACGACTTTTGCCTACTAACTATAGAGTACGGAGTAGTTAGTGGGTGCGCCTACGGAGTAGGCAGATAGCCACCTGGTTAGCGTAACAAACCTACCAGGGATAACTACGCTAGACCCCAAATGAGGGACAAGACAGGGGACTGTGAGTGGTCCTCCAGACTTCTAATCCCTGTTCCTGATAGCCCACATATGATAGAATTGAGTAAAGCCCACTTACAGAGCGGCTAAGGAAGAGATCGACAGCGTTCATCTGGAGTACACGGGGACTGGGGGGGTTTTCGTACACGTCACACAGCCGCTACAACCTCTGTCAGATCGGCTTTCCCCCGTTGAAAACTCAGAAGAGGCGTATCTGATCCAGGCCTAGAAGGCTAGGCAACCAGGCGAGAGAATCGTGCCTCCTGTATGATCTGTTATGGCGTGCTGGTTCCGAGTTTATACCTGTCAAATGGTTCCTAACCGGTGAACATTGGCCGTGGAGATAGAGAGTGCTCCATAGAAGAGGGAGAGGCAAATAAAAGAAATTAACAATAAATAATAGGTACACTAATAAACAAAACAACAGAGGAAAAGTAAAACAATTAATTGTAATATTGCTGGTTCGATGACTTGCCTCTATCAACATGAGAGCCTCACTATCCTATACCCTACTCCGTACTACTCCGTACTTACTCCGCAGGCAAGACAAGCCGAGATCCCTCCATGCTTCACTCTACTACCGCAGAGACTCGGCTCCGAGTGTTCGGCACAGTGAGTCCGGAGTGCCTATGGTTAGGCACTCTGTACTCGTGCTCCGTACGGAGTACTACTCTGTACGTACTGAATGATCTGCACCTAGTCTTAGCGGATCAGGTGTGGGCCCAACGGCCACGAGAAGAAGAGGGCAATAAAGATATTACAAAATAAAAGAAATCAAAAAATAAAATAAAATAAAAAACCTAAATGAAGATAAAAAAAAAAAAAAGGAAAAGGGGCTCCAGCTGATGAGGCTGGCTGGGAAGTATGCGCAGACTACGGAACTCGGACAGTCACGACACGACATGAGATGGCTTCGAGGTCACTTTTTTTGAGGTCACCTTTTGCAGCAAGAGGCTGAGATTTCCCATGCAGGGGGATGTACGGTGTGCTACCCTAACCAATCAAATAATGCCAGGTGCCCAGCTAAGTAATTAAAGTCCCACTGTATCCTTGCAATCATGGGTGAGTACCTGGTAATGGAAGATAACCGTCACCACTGAACTCTCCATTAGGGAAACCTTCTGTCAGGGCGACGTGGCCCTGGGATGAGAGCTCGGCGGATGATGATGGTGGATGATGATACTATTATCTAGGACGCGCAGGCGAGAGAGAAAAGGCAAGAGTTAGATGGTGCTGGGCCTAACCAGGCAGCCACCTCTTAACACCTTCTAGTACGGCTTACCTGAGGCAGGCAGAAATCAATGACCAGCCACTCCATCACTTTACCTGTCTGTACTCTTGTGCAATCCCTGTCAGGTGATGGAGCCCTGTCACCTGAGACTCGGTTAACCGAGATGACTGATCACCAGCCAAAAAGCCTCCGACAGAATTTTCTGCACCGTCTTCCCTCTACTCTATCTGCCCTTCCCATGTGCTAATTGATCAGCATCGTCTCCCACCTAGGCTTGTGGCTAACCATTCCCTGTTACCAGCCACACGAGAAGTACGATGCAAGTTCTCTCATGGTGAGTCTGTGGCGAGTGTCCTGCTATGATTGATCTGAATTGAAAGGGAACCAAAAGATCTATTTAGGTATACTATAGCCTCCCATCACCGTGTACACCGGTACATCCGTACATCGCCTTCCTCCCCTCCCTTACCGCATATAAACTGATCGGCGTGAAGGCCGCAATGAAGAAGGCCAGGATATCCAGGGTGGAATTGATGCCGTAGCTGTCAATCCAGAGGGTGTAGGGTAAAGTTCCGAAAGGAAAAACTACTCGTGTCACTGCTGCTGTACCCCTTGAGCATCATTGTCTGAATGGACCTTTCCAGCAATCTTTTACTGATATATAGTATGAATGAATGTAGCCCAGACTAAGAAACACTGTTGGGAAGCAGAAATCTTTGTACGTTGATCCGATATGAGTGCCGAATTGCGTTGCTGCCTGGCTGGCTATGAGTCACCTGGCCGCGACAGAACTCTTGCTTGCTGCTTCGCATCACCTACGTAGGAAGATAGCTACGTTTATCATCCAGCTCTTCTTCCTCTTAGCTGACTGACAAGATCTCTATCATAAACTAGAAAGAAGGTTCCTTTCATTCCGTGTCATCTCTCAAGGCTACTGACGCTTCTCTTAGTCCCCTTCGACGCCTAGAGGACCCCTTCGCTTCAGAGAGGCTCCTCCTCGTACATGAATGCACAAACCCATCGCGACATGAGCAACCTTCCATGTTTTGAGATAATTAGGTCCCCGTTACCTCCCCATACTGTCTACGTGATTCGTACCCAGATACCCCTGGAAGGGTCGGATACTATAGTGGAACTTTGACTCTGCAGTGATGTTGAAGGGAAGGTTGTTAGAATTACCTGGTGTGGCGTTATTTTTGAGATTTCGGGTCAGAATACAAACAACCACAGCCTGTTGTATAATGGCCCCGATGGAACCTTCAACCGACTCCCGCCCTGCCTCTACACCGTTCTTTCATAGCTATGAGAAAATACCACTCTGGTTACTTTACCAGGCCTAGAATGTACGAGTCACTGGACCATAGGTAGTACTGCCATGTGGTTCTGGAGCTCCCTTTAGCAGTGCTCGAGTTGAGTGGATATCTTTAGATGATGGGTCAGAAGAGGAAAATGCTAGAGCAGACCTTTCAAGTCGCCTCATTCCTTCAGTGATGCAAACCTCTCTCTGGACAGTTCATCAGTCATCATTAAAACCGCCTAGAACAAAAGCTTTCTCATCTAATATGGCCTCTACAGCTTGGCCATTCAAGTGTGAGATTTATTGAAACAGGAAAATGTAATATAGACCTCCGAATGCTTTATCAGGAGACAACTTCTCAACAGCGAATATTCTCGCGATGGGCAACATAATACCGCTCGAGAACTCCAACTTGCTACCTCCTCCGCTTATCCCTAGACAAGGACAGACGCAGGGATAAAACACAGAGACGTGTTGACTGACTCTAGGTCTTCGGGTTTGCGAGAACATACCAGTTTTTGTGGCTCACCACGAGCCCCTCATCCTATAATTTTGTCTTTCGAGTCGGCTCAACTCGATGGAAGGCAGTGGATGGGGGTCACCAGCGACGGGCTCGCACTTCTACGCAGTGCTGGTGACTAGTAGCCTCTTGGCGAAGTCAAGACGAGCCCATATGCCGACTCTCTGGGGAGCGGGGGTTGAGAGATGTAGTAAGGTAGTTTACCGGTTCCTATAGCTGTCTTGGTTATAGAGAATATTGACAATACATGCAGTCTCTTTGCTCTAGGTGGAAATTTAGAATCTCTATCCTTTCAGAATACTAGATAACAGTTACTCTATTATTGACAAAATAAGACCATGATTGGACACATTGAAAATATTGGGCAGGTGTTCTCTTCTTTGATTCCCAGAATACCCAAGTATACAATTCTATAGCCAGTTCGGTTCTATGTATTCCTTTAGAACCCATGACCTTCTATAGCACCACTTCTATTTGACGGCATCTCCTTTCTTATACGAGACTGTCTATACCAATGTTCATCTGCCGGCCAGCCTTTCTCCCCCAGCGGACGAGTGACATCCACAACGACCACCTCCGGAGAACTAGACGTATCAAGTAAGCTGTCGAGCAAGGTATCGATCAGAGCCTCTACAGGGGTCTCGAGGGGTCTGTCGAATAGGGTCTCGAGGGGAGGCTCGAATACAATTCGAAAGACTGTCTGGCAGGACAGACACTCGTATCCTCCTTTTTCTTTCGCCTGCTTAGATCCGATAAAGGACAATAGATTGATATGTGGACAGGCGAATATCGGGGAGCCAAGGGTAAGAAGACTCTTAGAATAGGCAGGGAACTCCACCCGATATCGAGACTGGAGGAGGACTGTGGTGGTTCTTTTCTTCTCGAGAAAGAGTGATGTATGGAGGTGTGCTTGAACGTTCTCGCTGCTGGTTATATAGCATTCGTGAGCTAGATACTTGTCTCCAGTCGAACTAACCTTGAAGGACCAGTTGTTGGAGGAATCAAGCTTGTCGATATCTTTTTCTTCGTTTGAGAAACGGATCAGATTCGTTCGATCACGGAATGTCAATGAGAGACAGGGACATATATCCAGTATCCCGGCGTTAGACATGCAGAGGCGAGAAGAGGATGGAATTCGCCGTGAAACCCAGTTGAACTCCCTTCGTGGATGGAGTTTCAGACATGCACTGCAAGACGCCCAACGAGTGTCTTCCAGTCGAGCGAGGAGTTCACTCTTTTCGTATTTGTATTTGTTCTCTTCCAACACCGAGTGGAGCAGGCAGAGGAACAGTTTGCAGCTGAGAGCAAGACAGACTTGGTCAGTGGGACGGAGCAGCTCGAAGATCTCCCGAAAGAGACATTCTGGTATATTTAAAAGATGACTCGATTGATGAGCACCCATTTGAAATAACATGAGCAATAGAAATCAGCAGTAGATCAGTTTGATTTGGAGTGCAGTGATTGTGAAAGTGTGAATCTGCTCTCCACTTGACTCTGTATCAGGTAGGAACTAGGCAGACCCGTGTGACTTTGGTTCCATAAAAGGACTAATAGTTAGTAATTGTAAACATTCTTTAGAATGCCTAGATATTCCATGCCCAGCCAGTCAGTCATACTGATCAGGTGTGTAGATACGAATATGTCACCTTCAGCCATACAGATCCTGACCTGCTGAACCTAACAAGCCACCATCCCACAACGCTCAACTACGATCCCGCACCATGGCGGCCAAGGCCTGGCAACTAGGTCTCTGGCGATGGTGAGGTGGAATGACGTTTGATCGACGTAAAAGGGAAACGCTGTTGAAGGGGGGGGGGGTTAAGTCTGGTTAGGCTTGGCGCCGCCTCAAGGGCATCACTACCACATTTTCTACGCCTGCACTCTGAACAGTGAACACATATCAGACATCGCCATTCTCTTCCGCTTCAGGCTTTCCTGAACCAAGATATGCAGGTCAGTTTTTTCTTGTCTTGGTTGACTCAGGACTCGGGTATTTCCTTCGCGTCCCCATCTTTTCCTCTCCTCAGTGCAGCCTCTTGTATCATGCTAACGATACTATTGATTTTTGATTACTATTCCCCGAACTATGACAGCTAATTACTCTGCTGCGGAGAATAAATTCTCACCGTGGGATAATTCTGTGTACACGTACGATCTCATCAATAAACCCCTCAGAAGTTCTTAAAGTATAATCTTTACCTATAAGCTTAGCCTCTGGTGTTATGATATAATTAACCTTGTCTCTTGGACTATATTTCACCTACTCTAGGAGGCATCTTTACTACTAACAATCAGTAGCGACTATATCCCTTTACTCTTGAACTATCACCCAACTACTCGGGATATTTGTCGATGAATTGTATATTTTATCTATAGATGGATATATCTAGATGTAGCGCATCTCTGATGCTCGAGTTCATCCCTAGTGACGATTATGGTAACACAGTGTTCAGGCTCTTAGAGTTTGAATATTACCCCTCGAATTGCTCGTAATCTAGACCTTAATAAAAGGCCACATTGCTTTCGCCTCCTCGACAGATCTTTCACCGGCCACCTTTTCAATATACAGAGCCATAAGCTCCTCGTTCTGCCTTCGCTTCTCATCAATATCCAACTGTGGCGCAATCCACCCTTCTGCGTCAGTATCAAGGCACTCTTCCGCCAGTTCTCTCACTTCCTGCCATGCCTGGTATTCAGCAAACTGGCGTTCATGGGCGTCGATCTCTGCCTGGTTGAATGAAAAGGGACATTCCCCACGGAACCCAAGCGTCGTCCAATTTTCAGATATCTCCATCAGACACGCACGAAGGGGAAGGACGCCCACCTCCGAAACTTGTCCACATCGAATGAACAGTTCTCGGAAGACACGGGGCACGTTCATCGCATTGTGAGCTGTCCTATCTTCAAGGTAGGTTGAAACCTCATACGCCTTTGCCAGTTTCACCTGAGACCATTCACGCAAAGCGATTTCTTTGCCTTCTTCGTCGAGTTGGTCGAAATCTGCAGGGAGACTTGGCTGGAAGATCCCCATTTTATAATCGTAATTCCGTGGAGGTCTCAGGAACACAGGCCACTGGGCCTGGAGAAATGCAGGAAGCACACATGTTGACTGAAAATCGATCAGGGAAACGATTCTTGAACACTCGTCTGGGGCGACGTAAATGTTCCCCATGTGAAGATCCGTGTGCCACAAAGTAGGGCGACAGGCATCCCCTTGAAGTGTTTTATTTGAATCCAAAAGTTTCATGAGCTCCACTGTGACTTCCAACAGCTGGGTTTGTTCCTGTACACTTCCTTTGTAATAGCCGAACTGACTGTGTGGGCTGTCTCTGGATATTCGAAGTAATTCTCGCTGCGCAATGGACATACCAAAACTTGAAAGTGAATCCCCTGGATAAATCAGTATGAAAAGGATCACAAAAAGCATCACAAGGGCATCAAAATATGTAGGAAGCGTACACGGTCCTCGATTTAGTTTCATAGACATATCCGAATAGAACTCCCGATCGCAAGAAGGTCCGATGCAAAAACTCTGGGATGGATTGATATCCCCGTCGAGGGGCCTATTGAGCCCGCTCATTTCCGCCCGAAGATACAATCCTCCATACGCAGGAAATCGAATTGCTGCCAACTGGGCCTCCAGCTTGGTTAGATTCTTGATCAACTGCAGTTTCTCGAACTCTGACATAGCGCCCCATTGTTGACATAAAGGAACCCCAGCAGCTTTCTCCATGAAGATATACTCGGCCCCAACCGGGTTAGAATTATCCGATGACCAGGAGAATACACGAGGCACAGGAATAGACGTGTGTTTGTTGACTAGATTATGCTATCAGTAAATAGGTATTTGAGCAGGAGTTGATCACATACTGTATTCTAAAACTCCCACTTCACCAGCTGTTGTGAATGAAGGAGGACCAGCGATACGGCAAGGAATCTTGGCTATTATTTCTTTTCCATTTGCCTTTTTCATCAAAAATGCCTTACGGAACCCGCCTTCCATTTTCTCAACACTCGTAACCTGACTGGAATCGCCTTGAGCAGTTGCAGCAGTAGTACAAAGCGCGTCTAGGTCAAACCGGACATATCGTCGGCGGAGCTGATGCTCCTCATCGACGAGGAAATGGCCATTGGTGTAAGTGAAAAGATCCCCACGGACGATCTGTCTGCCTATCTACAACCTTAGGGGATGTCTCTAATATGAGCTTCTTTCTTACCTCGGCAAGTTGTCAAAGGTGTTGTTCTCTGACCAGTACATGACGCTGAGACCTTTCTGATGAGTGAGAGCATTTGTATAGCGTGACATGGGTTTGTAGAAAGGAGGATGGAGAAATATCATCAGAACTCACTCCTTGACTTCTTACGGGCCGACATTGTACCGAATGATTCACTAGCAGAAGGATCTACAGCCTACATTCAAGTATGGAGTATATCTAGGATCAAATCCTTTGAAGCTATTTATAGTGCTAGCAATACCACTGAATCCTGATATGAAGCCATTACTAGTTGATAGTTACTAGCTGATTCATTCCTACTCATTTAAATACTAACTATCCCTGTTCAATAAAAGATGGAATAATTACTAATGCAGTGCTATCTGAATGGTCGGGAATATGAGGGGTAATCAATCATATATATTAAGTGCCATTCCTGTAGAGATGGAGTCACCAAGTGTGGGCTCACTAGAAATAAAGCACTAACAAAATGCCGACTACAATTCTGCTTCTCCTCCTCCTCCCTCTCGTTTATAAATTCCTTCTCTCCCCCCTTCTCCCCCCCAGAAATATCCCAGGCCCCTTCTGGGCCCGGTTCAGTCGACTCTGGTACCTGAATCTTGTACGCCAGGGCCATTTCGAAACAGCAAACATCCGTCTCCACGAGCAATACGGTCCTGTGGTCCGCCTGGCTCCGAACCTCTATAGTCTGGGCGACATCAAAGATATCCGCAATGTCTACAGTACCAGCTCCAAATATCCCAAGTCCGCCTGGTACGAGGCGTGGTCGGATCCCGCGAAACCGTCTTTATTCAGCGAACGAGACCCCAAGAAACACGCCGACATCCGCAAGAAATTCACCAGTCTGTATACCATGAGCTCGCTGATCAAGTACGAAGAGCTGGTCGACTCGGCGGCGGATCTGTTCCTGCTACGACTATCCGAGTTTGCTGCCCGGGGGGAGACAATCGATCTGGCATATTGGTTCCAGTGTTATGCCATTGACGTGATTGGGAATATCACCTTTGGACAACGATTTGGTATTTCTTCTTATTGTCTATACTTTATATTTCCCATACTAAGATTGATAGGCTTCCTTGATAAAGGAGAGGATATCGCAGGCACGCTATCGATGGTCCCCAAAGTCTTTTCCTACGGCAGTTTCGTCGGTATCTATGCAGAATGGCATTCCATCATCTATAACACTATGATCCGATTCCGTTCCTCGGCCGCCAGTGGACGAGAATTTATTTTGCAGTTTGTCCAGGATAATATCGACAGACATCGAGATACCCTGATCATCACGAAAGACAATAACAAAACCACTCAATCCTTCGTCAGTAGGGCGATTAATGCGCAAAAGACCGATCCATCTTTCACAGACGCCCATGTCTTCATGATGAGCCAGTTGAATGTCCTCGCCGGCACAGACACCACGGCCATCAGCCTCTCGGCCATTCTATATCTCCTACTGCAGTTTCCTGAAACGCTGGGGAAACTCCGCGATGAAATCCAAACTAGTAAATGCAGCGAGAGAATCACCTTCCAAGAAAGCCAGGCCATGCCGTATCTCCAAGCCGTTATCAAAGAAGCTCTCCGTGTCCACAGCGCTGTCGGGGTGCCCCTTTGGCGAGTCGTTCCCGTCGGGGGAGCTCAGATCAATGGCCGTTTCTTTCCACCAGGTTCGCAGGTCGGTGTAAATCCGTGGGTGGTTCACTATAACAAGGATGTGTTTCCGGATCCTGCGTCGTTTCGACCTGAACGTTGGATCGATGCGGACGAGGCAAATCTGAAGATCATGAATGAGATGTTCTTGCCGGTAACTTTCCTTAGATCTGGAATTTATAGATCGTTTTCATCTATACTGATTGGATTATATAGTTTGGTCTAGGCTCGCGAACGTGTATCGGCAAACATATCTCTATTCTAGAAATGTCCAAACTCATCCCTCGCTTGGTGAGAGACTTTGATTTTTCCCCACAGGGCGAATGGAAGACGTTGAATATGTCGTTTGTTAAGCCGGAGGATTGGAGAGTCGCCATTGAGAAAAGGCAGTGAATCCTGTAGAGGGTAATTCTCTGCCATATAGTCCAGACACTAGGCAACGACTCGATAGCGAGGCACCTAGTATATTCACATGATTCCTATATTCAATCTATGTTGATGCCTATCAATTTTATAGTAGCTCTTACATCAATTCCTATATTAATTCTTGCGTCAATCCCTTGGCTGATTCCTCGATTGATTCTTTAAAAAATACCTGCGTTGGATCCTTTGGAATCATAGAATCCAGAAGAGTATAATACTCCATAAGATACCTTAATTCTGAATTTCTAGGTTATATGGCAGAGAATCACTCTCTCAAGAAGGCCACAGAAACGACGTCAACTCAGGGATGTCGTCGAATCACTTCCACAACTCTCATCCTCGAAAAAGAACTCCTCAACTACGATTTATTGTTTCATCATGTCTCCCATCAATTCAACGAATGTGATTTCTGAAGGGAGAAAATGGGCCCAGCAAGGGTCCTAGGATATTTTGGCGAGGGCGCCCTCGCCCTAATCATTCTGCTTTTTGTTGCGGTTTCCTGGTCCTGGTGGCTACGGTGGTTAAAGAAAAGATATAGAGAGACAAGAAAGTTGGATGAAAACATGGTAGATGCTAATGATCGTTCATGGATATCCAACATCCGCGAAGCTGGCCGAATACCCTGCGGCCGCCGACATCCAGGCGTGCCGACGCGTCCTCTGGGCCATAACCTTGAACGGTAAATCGGGCATCCTTCCAACTATAACTCTAGCTAAGATCTATCATGGGCAGGGGTCCAAAGGCTTCTTCAACATCTAAGGGACGTGGTCACTTGGAAAAGTGGCGGGACTGTCCAATCCGCTGGACAGCCCCAGGGAATTCAGAACTAGAACACGTCTGGTGGTCGGACGAGAGACCTAGAACTGGGGTCGCTTAGTTTTTTATTCTTTCTTTTCTTTCCCCTTTAAAAGAACTATGGTAGCCAGGGGGACTGACTGATGTAAACATGACAAGTGCAGATGGCTACCTGGATAGATAGTGATGGTGTATGATAGAATCCCTTCATCTTCAATACCTGAGTCAACAAGGCGACTTTCTTACAAGAGCTACGAGGAGACCGCTGGCGGAAGGAACTCAAGAGGACACGCGATGTACGGCATTTTGTAGAGCCTTTGCTCTCAGACATATTCACTGGAAGAGAAAAAGTCAACATCGTGCAAGGGATGTCATCTAAGCAGTGTGAGGATGAGCAAGTTTTATAGCTAGAAGATTGGCTATAATTAGCAGGCTCTTTTCATTTACTACACAAATTATGGGGGAGGCACTACGACACACAATATAGAAGTAATACAACTATCCAATGGTACCAAAACATGATGAAGGCAGACATCCATGGTCGCTGGATCGCCCAGAGGGAGATTTATCTCAAAGAAGAGATGCAAGCCTTTCAAAAGTCTGCCACTCTCTCTCCCTCCTCCTCTCCAGATGGCCAGAGAATATCAGCTCAGCTCGATTCCTACAGCGCACAACTCAGAGATCTCAATGAGAATTTGCCACTGCACAACGGGTTGTCCCTATTGTATTCGCATGAGAGGCCTCCAGGACAAGGCGACACCGACGGACCTCGAGGACTTTCCGTTTGACATTACTGTTGCAAAGAAATCGGATTACAGCATCCGAATGGTGCATGCATACCTTTGGGGGTTAGAGATAGCTTGATGAATCACGGACGGTGGGTGATTCCTGCTATTGATTCAATATAGATTAGCAATGGTCAGTCCGATGCGTAGGTAGCTATCTCAATAACATAGAAATCACTTACTTCATGGCCAGTCTGCTCAAAGAGAATTCGCCTTGCGTATCTCTAGACCGAACAACTTGGGGTATCAACGTAAAACTTGGTCGGGTTGGAGAGTTGAGAGATTTTCATTTTCAGTCGCAGGCAGCAAACGGTCCTTCCCTTTTGAGAACAACACTGCAGCCTCAGGCAAAGACCGTACACGTGACGTTAATCCTCACATTCCCTTCTCTTTTCTCTCTGCTCTCCTCTTCTCTACTCTCGTCCCGTCTTTCTTCCCCATCTATCTCATCTCTATTCATTGACCATAGTCTTCCTCAACATCCCTTTGATTGATTACCCAAGATGCTTCTCCTACTGACACTGCCTCACGGTATGTGCTCGTTTTGAATCCAACTTGAGGGTCTTCTCTTCTTCCTCGTTTCAGAACTTCCGTTGTGGTGTTTTGTAAGACTGCTGGGTAAAGATAAGTTTGGAAAACAAGCCTGTCTAGTACTTAACTAGAAGGGCTTGAATCCGATCGTTCTTTAGTCATCACGATCCTCCAAGTCGCTCGCGTTCGTTATCATGATTTGCCGGAACATTGAGCTTTGCTTCATGAAAACCGAGGGCGACCAGATAGAATTCTACAAAGTGAGATGAGTAGATGAAATTGCAGTTTCATGGCCGATTATCTGCCCTCTCTTTCTCATCTTCTAGGGCCTGGCTATGGACCGCCCTGGAATGTTCAACCCTTGCCGCGATTGAGATCCTTCTAACCAAATGGGCTAGGGATGGCGCCGTTGAGGCCGTGGGGGATTTCCATACAGCAGAGTAAAGTTTTCAAGAGGAACAGGGATGCGTCAGTGCTCACCACATAACTGTGGTATGTCATGGATTCAAGGATTAATTAAAGCTCAGCTCTTGCTGAAATCTCATGAAGGGCTTGTTGATGTAATATAAGATAAATTCAGCGTCTTCAAGACTATGGTGTCCAGTTTGCTAGCTCCTTACTCCTTCTTATTACACAGCTCCAACTATTATGCACATATTCCGCAGACATTACTATACATCAAGTACTGCCTGCTGCAAATAATTTCATTACCGCCTGACAATATAATGCATGGTACGGAGAATGATACCCCATGATATATGCAATCTTCAGCAAAATAGATCTATACTCTCCACTCTGTGGAACATTAACTCCAGAGTCATCTACAGGAGTTTAAACATGAAGATCAGTGGATGTTCTCTACTGCTCCATTTCAATGCAGTGTCACTTAGTCAGTCAATAATCTGAGACCAGCCAGCCACTTGAGTATAGCGGTGAGACCAATGCACTCTATGAAGAGTATAGACTACTGTATACGGTTTAACAGTGCTGATCTATCAGTAAAGGATCAGGTTGACAGATCTATACAGTACTCTCCAGTCTAGATAGAGTATAGCATATAGGTCCTGTGAAACTACAGAGCTTCTTCAAGTAAGGCTACCAGAGCTGTGCTACTCCAAGTACTGCATATCAGTTACAGATAAATAGTGAGGTAGAATATGAAAATATACTTCCCCAGGATCCCACTACATCTCTAACTGTTCAATTCCAAGGTTCAACATGCGCGGCTCCTGGTTAAAGCTTTTTCAGCTCTGTGTTCTTGTCCTCCTCTTGACTCAAGTTGTAACCAGCGAAGCCAAATGTTCTGCAACCAGTCGATGCAAATGTCGCAAGAAATGTGGCAGGACATTCAAACCCCGGGCTCCTCCAATTCCCACTGATTGTAACCCTACATGTAAGAATCAACTTGTTATATATATGTATGTATATTGTTCTAATACTCTCTATACAGGCCCTACAGCGCATGGAATAGAGCAAAACTGCAATGGAAGGAGATACAAGCTGTTCTGTGGGTTGCGTGAGTTGAACCTTAGTGATTCTTATAGCATTGAAAAAAATTACAATTAACATATTCTAGATGTCGCCACCCCAGCCCTGGATCCAGCCAGACATCCAGTTCCAGTTGCTGACCAGGAAGAATGTTTCCTGCTTTGCACCAATGAACCGGCTTGCGGCGCGTTTGACTACAATACAGGCCAGTGCTGGTTGAAGACCCATGGTACTGAACCGCCGCCGAAGCCGATGGGAACAGGAGACAACAGCGTGATCTTCTTATAGGATATAGATTGATGCTTGAATTACAAGATATCACGTTGATAGAGTATAAAGCAACACTTCAGAAAGATGAGGTGTTGATCCACGAGAGAGTTGCAGGGACGGTCACAGAGCCGTTGATAGGAAGCCCAAGTGCTAGTTCAGACAAATTAGATTCGACTAGACGAGTAAGAAATGAAAAAGGAAAGATCTTACCTCCACTGGTGGTCAAGTAGAGAATCTCCGCGTCACTCTCAAGACGACCAAACTTCCCCGCCGAAACACCTGCAAGGAGAGTCGAGATGTTGCTGCCGGCAATGACCTCCGCGTGGCCAGCTCGCGGATAGAGCACACTCAGCTCGTCCATCTGGTTCTGCGCGATAAACGCCACGCCGTCCGACTTGAAGATGAAATCGTCCGCCTTGGGCACGTTGCTGACCACCGTCTCGGCGGGTCCAAGGGGCCCAACAACCGCGTCGTCGTGAGAATCAGACAGCAGGATCCTGTTCAGTGTCCCCGCCGCCGTGTTGGTCCAGTACAGGTATCCATCATGCAGCTTGATCCCGTTGACCCCCAAGTTGGTCGACGGATCGACAATCGAGTCGAACTTCATGCTCGTCTCGTTGACTGCGACAGTGTATGCGCCCGTGGTGGTATCGACGGCGTAGACCCAGCCGTTATACGCGTCCGCGACGAGAATGACCGTCTCGTTGAACGTGGTCATCCCGTTCAGAAAATCCGAGCTCGTCACCTCCACCAACTTCGTCACGGTCGCGTTCGAAGTAACAGTCACGCCGCTACTCGCTTGGTCGTCCTCGATGGCAAACGTTCTCATATCGATCTCCCAGATCGTGTTCACCCCCGAGGTCAACACAAACGAGTCGTTGACAAACCCCGACGCGACCACGTAGAACACATCCGCCCTCGTCTCCGAGATCCCCAGGCACCCCATGTAGTTGTTTGCATCCCATGCCGCGACGGTGATCGGCTCGCGGGCGCCCGTCGGGTCCAGCTGCAGCACTTCAGGCGTGTCGAGGCGCGACACCAGGATCTGCCCGTTGGCCCGTACGGCCAGGTTCTCGGCCCAGCTGTCCTCCCCAAAGCTGTACAGCACATTGACTTGGACGGCAGGGGTGGTGGTGGCAGTAACTGCAGTGAAAAGCAGCGACAACGCCGTCAGCGTTAGGGTCGGGGTGAGAAGACGAGACATGACGGTGCTTTGTTGGACGGACGTTTGAGGGGAGAAGGCGGGAGAGAAGCCAAGGGGGGGAATAAATACGCTGATCTTTCTAGAAGTCAATTAGTTCAGTGGGGAAAGCAGATGGTTATAATGGCTTGTCATATACCTTATTCTCTTGGCTGTTTCAGTGGTGAGTCTTACTTCATCTAGGATTAAGCATTATATAAATCTGTATATTCATAGAGATCTAATATACCCTAGAATGCTTGTAGCCATTATTCAGTCTAATATCAGTCGTCTAATAGCTACAACTATTAAATCATAAATGCCTGGTGGTCACGTGGCAGTAGTTGCCCTAACTTTGGGGCGTTTACCTACTTAATTTGGATGAGCCTTTATACTCACGATATTAGGATGCATGAAATGAGCTAGAAATGACTTTAAACATTCTATCATCTTCTCTATAGTAAAATTCTTTGGCACACTCAGCCTCTTATTTCATCTAGTCCAACCGCAGATCGAGCTTCTTTCGCAGCGCGCCGCCAAAGCGATGGAACAGAACCGGCAGAGGGACCATTGCCAGAGTGATGAAGCCGAGAAGCGAGTTCCCCCATCCATAGTTGGGGGACTTGTACATCTCCGGCCCAGCCAGGGGCATCAGCGCCCCCATCAGGGAGCGGGTGACGACCAGGGCCGCCATGGCAGACGCCGCGTATCGCGGGTACGAGTCGATCACGTACGTCTGCATGGTGTTGTAGATACCGACCATGCCGAACGCAAAGGGGGCGAGTCCGATGATGGGCACGATCCAGTGGGTGTGGGCCTGCACCGCCCAACCGTACCAGAAGAACGAGACGGGGATGAAGCCCGAGAAGAAGATGGAGATCGACAGCCGCATCTCCGGCTCGTAGATGCCGTTGTTGCGCGCCTCCAGCTGGGTGACCACCCGGTCGCTGAACATGCCAAACACAATCTGTCCCAGGATGAATCCGACTCCGAGTCCGAGGTAGGAGAGTCCGCTGTTGCCCGTGCTCCAGCCGTATCCTCCCAGAACAGGTCCCAGGACCGGTCCAACCAGGATCCCTGAGGAATATGCCGTCATCGCTAGGCCGCGCTGCTTGGCCACAAATAAATCTGCTAACACGCCGCTCCCTGTCGTGAGACAGGCTGAACCGCCAATTCCTGTCAGGAAGCGAAAGGCAATCAAGGTCGAGATGTTGGGCGCGAGCGCACAGCCGATCTGGAAGGCCACAAATTCCACATTGGCCGCGCTGAGGATAACCCGCCGTCCGAACATCTCGCTTAGCGAGGAGATAAACATGGGACCTGTCTATTGTAATTTCTGAGCGGGGGCAACTTATATAATGTAACGCTTTTTCCGGGAATAGATGCATACTGTATACCCGAACAGGTAGCCCGTCACCGAGAGAGTTCCCAGTATGGTCGATGTAACTCCAAATTCCTTCTCAGCATATGGCACAGCTGGAGAGAAGACAGACGATGTGAACGGACTATTGGAGAGAGAAAAGAGACACAAATTAGATGACGTCTTCCTTTCTTTCGGCTATAACGAGGTGGTTCATACCTGATCAAAGTGATCGTGCTTATCAGAAGCATAAGAAACCATTTTCGAGACGGATGGTAGTTCCTGGCATTTATCAATTTATGAATACAAGCATAGACATAGATATGTCTACTCCTTCTTTCTGACCTGGGGTTCATGGGATCATCTTGGCTCTCCCATCCAACAATGTTATTATCCAAGTCCATCAGAGGATATTCTTCTTTTTTAGCCACAGTCTGGAGAGATCAGCAGGTGGTAGAGCTCATGTCATTGTAATTGACCTACCATGTTGTCCTCTAATGATAGGATATGTATGTATATACAATCTCACGTATTTGGGAGCTTGATGGTGACCAGATCGATGGCGCACACAACTTATATAATAACACACGTAAGGGGCCTCGGACTTTGGATTAATTCCATGATTTATCCAGTAATCTCCACGGCAGAGTCAATACCGATTTGCTCAGAGTCAGAAGTCGGCACTCGGATATGTAAGACCCGAATTTTGGGTTAGCGCCACAGGACACATACTCATCACATCCTTTTTTCAGGAGGATGGACCGAATCACTGGCTGCACTTTTTTTGTAGCCTGGCCAGAACCTACAAAAGATCATCGAAGTTCATCAGTTCCCCGGCTATTGCATCGAAGTCAGTCAATTCCCCCCTAAAGTCATAGTCATTGATCTCCATGGGTCGTTCGATGTGAAAAGGTCGTGCTTCCAGATACTGGACTGGTGCATCTGATGGACATATCCGAGGTTGGTGTAGGCCTTTAAGGGACGGCATGTCGATGAGGTCGATTGGGGGCATGTTCTCTGCCACATAGCCTGGTAAAGGACGTTCTGATGGCTGGGACGTGGCGGTATGCCCAGCTACATTTGAGAGCGGCATCTTCATTGCACTCCGTACGTCAGCTGAGTTGTTGATTGGGTTTGACTCTAAGCGAGAGGGTATAGCAAAATTCTTCTCCGCCAATGCAACAGTATAGGAATCGTCAGGCTCATCAGCGACAACTCTATCGTCTTTCTCGGGTATATATGACTGAATGCCTCGTGCTGGGTCAGAAAGCGGAGCAACTAAGATCTATGAGAGTTAGCTGGAAAACGAGGGGAAGAAATACTTGAAGGTTTTCAGAATGCGTAACTACCATTAGAACGACATAGAGTCGCCGGGCATGGAATAGATGAGGGCATAGGTAACGAATCAGCCTGATTGCTGTTTCCAATTCAGACATGGGGAAAATCCAAGCTCTTGGAGCCAGCGACGACGTAGATCAACGATAAGGCAGCTGTGCAGCACATGTATACCATTCTGTAGTGAGTGCCAATAAGAAGGTCGCGGCGGTGCATATCCTCTGCAAGACGAATAAGATCGTGACTAGCATTGACACATGCGGACGCATATATTCGGAACTCGTTTCCCGCTTCACCGTTTTGATCGAGTAGGTAGTGCAGAAAAGGTCGGTAGAGAAGGATCTTGACATGAGTATAGGCGATACATAGCTCATATTTCGCTCTGTAGGGAACAGTATCAGTATGTAGATCATTTGACAACATAGAAGTCCCGGTCTACCGAGCTCACCTTTCTAAACACGGGATTCCCTTTTCTTTTCCTAAAATATAGCCTGCGGGCAATGAGGCTGCCCATTTCTGGAGTTCTCTTTCGAAATTGAATATTGTCTCGCTGCTGACCAGGTGGCTCGGGGAACTACCATCGTGCCTCTGTTTAATACAGCTTGAAGGGTAAAGCGCCTTTGTGATTTGGTCGGAAATTTTCTGTAACTTCAACAGAGCAATGAATCCGAAGATTTCCCATGCTTGGTTCGACGATGGCCCCGTCATCGTCGAGCCGGCCTGAGCCTCGAGAACCGTGCAAAGGTACTCGGCATCATTCTCATCGATACCACTTAGACGTGGAACACCACATATCGACGCGGTAATTGAAACAAGCTGTCTGATGGATAAAAGTAGTCGCTGCTTAACCTCTGTAACCATTTTGCTGTCTCTTGCACAGGCTCTACCACAGTTCATGCGGATGACCAGGGAGAGAGCATGGGAGAGGTAGGTGTAGCAGCAAGACATCCTCTCGGTGTTGAGAAGAAAGAGATTCATGTAGAAGATCGCTTGCAGCGTGACTGCATCATTACAGTCCTGAAGATCCACAAGATTGCGGCACACGGCAAAATAGTTCCTTCTAGTCTTGTTAGTCTTATCTTGCTAAAGGAGAGCTTGAGTATTGGGTGGCAATTAGGCATACCCCTCCGCAATTGGATCGAATGCTTGGTCAGTGGCTCTCTCAAACAGGGAGCCGAGCGCCATGAGAGAGTAGACCAGTGGGATATGGCGTCGCTCCTCCTCTCCATAGTCGCACCGCTGTAAGATATATAATAAGTAAAAGACCGAATAGAAGGTTGGTCGATGAAGGACTGGGTAGAGCAGATAGCTGTCCAATGCAAGCCTTATCAAGTGTTCTGCCCGATCCCTTGCGGGGAGCGATACCGTATCGATTGATGCATCTCCACCGCCGCGCGGGAAGAGTTTCGTACGTGGCTCTCGCCTGGTTAACAATCTGCTATCAACATCCATACCAGGCCAGGCGCCGAATTCGGTCTTGAGAAATTCAATAAAGGAACGGTCCGCAGACGACTCCCCATACCGCGCCTCGCCCTGACTCTGGGTATCATTAGGGGAGAGGTTCAAGGCTGGTGACTTTGATGGACTCGCGCCTGTATTGGCTGCTATTATTGGCGGCCCTGGGAGGATGTGGTGTGCTTCTCCAGGCAGCAATTCCCTCGCAGTGGGCGTTGCCTGCTGGGACTCTTCAATAGCCTTGAGCCTCTTCTCCAACTGCTCGAGTCGTTCAGCCGCTGGCGGAACTTTCCGCTTGCGACGCGATTCAGGATACACGCAGTCTAAGCGGCGGTCAACGAAAACAACACATCTCAATATCACAGAGCCCTATTTCCAGAGATACCGTTGAACGAGGTCCGACAGTGTCCGCATGGCGTTGCGCCATCACATTTAATTTTCATCTGGCGACACAGCCCGCATGCCTGTCGTGTCCGTTCTTTAGGTCGACTATCTGTGGGCGGCGAATCTTTATTTGCAGGAGGTGGTTGCACATGGTGAAACATCATGAACAGGTTACACTTGACTCGTGGAGAGATGGTTCTTAAATGAATCGTTGGACAAGTGCGAGCTGATGATTTGGGGCCGACAGTTGACTAGAGGATAGAAAGGCTTATTAAGCAGTCTTTGCCTAAGGCCAAAACATCACGTGTCCGTGGTGGTCACGTCCGAGAGACGACGACGTCGACAAAAACCACAACAGCAACATTCGGTTCTTGTTTTATCTTCTCTCCAAGACCATGCCTTGTCCATGGGCTTCTTTTACTTGTTCTTCTTCTCCAGAACACCTATTCTCTGATTGTATCAATGATCTTGATAGAGGGCTACCCCGCATCTATAACAGTCAGAATCCCAGGATACTCCAACATACAAGGGCGTAAAAAGTCCAAAGGACTGATCAACCAGCTTATCAGATTCTAGGTGCAGACTATTCCTCTATTTGATCTTGGTTAGACCTCCAACTGCGCAATACGAGAAACTATTGGGTAGACGCCCACGAAGTACTGCAAGGACTGGAGAGCTGCAGCCTTGCGAACCCTGCAACACTGTCCAATGACTTAATTCCACGTGTACAGCTACAGCGAGATAGTGAGGAGGCATATATAAGGAGGGGAAAATAAATATTGGACTCAGACGGGGTCAAATCCACAAATATGGTGATATTCTTTTACTGCTCCTTTTCTTCACGACGACATCATGGAGATGAACCAAGAACTAAATACTTCAGGTCTATCCCCTGTTACCCCACAGTTCAAGTGCGAAGAATGTGATCAAGATCAAGAGACATTTGTGACAGTGAAAGCTCTCAAGGAGCATCAGCAAGCTTTTGGTCACGAGCCTTGGCCGTGTCATTTATGTACGGAAAGGTTTATGACTTTCAGGTCTCTACACGAACATCGCATAGTACATGATGACCATAAACAAGCAAAAGCACCAGTAACAGTTTCAGCTCCATCCGAGTCCACCAATGGAGTACTTTCAGTGCAGCAAGCGATACCGGTGGAGATCGAAGATCTCATAGACGGTATGGTATTCTTGTATTCATTTGATCTCCTGCTGAACAGGTCATATTTCTCGAATATGGACCTCATTCATCTCAAACCACGTTTCAGGGTTGGCCGTGACAATTCTCAGCCCTGCAAGACAAGACAAGGTCTTTCAGTGTCTGCTCTCCCGATGCCACTCGTACGACCGACTCCGGGCACAGAACTACACTCTGGCAGAGAATGAAATAGGGGGAGGCTATCGACACTCGAGAATACCTGTTCTTAGCAGATCAGCCTTCTGTAAAATCCCAGAAGCAGCTCCTGGCCTGGCGCCCCCGATGCGGAGAAGAGCTGTTGCTCTGAGCTGCAATATGGCCCGGTGTCATAACGCCCGGGAAGAACTGATTCATCTCAGTGCTGTGGATTTCCTCACTGGCGAGGTCCTCGTCAATAAAATTGTGAAAACGAGGAATAAGCCTCGCAATTGGCGAGCCAGTGTTACCGGCATGACAGCTGCTTTGATGGCTGAAGCGGCAGCGGCGGGACAAGCGCTTCCTGGATGGCCCGTTGCGCGCGAGGCCCTGTTCCAGTATATCGACAGCGAGACGGTCCTCGTCGGACACATGCTTCAGTATGATCTCAACCTTTTGGGGATTCTGGCCTCGCGAGTTGTCGACTCAGATATTTTGTCCGGGGAAGCGCTGTTTGGTGACTCCCCATTGATTCGTCCTTTTCGACAAGTCTGGAGGAGCCCAGGGAGGCTATCGAGCCAGCTTCTTCGTGGGAGTGATCAACCATACGAAGATCCTATTTCTAGCTGTCTGGAGCGTGCCATGGAGACAAGAGAGGTCGTGCTGCAGTACCTCCAAACCCCGAAAGTCTTCGAGCAGTGGACCCGCAGGCATTGTTTGAAAAAGAGAGATAAGAATAGAGAGAAAGAGCGAAGCAGAAAGAAGATCAAGCAAGCCAAGAAAGCCAAAAGGGCCGAGAGGAAGGCAGAGAACCTGCAAAAACAAAGATCTGGAGCTAGCATTGCATTGCACATGAATTAGCTGCTGTCTGCTATAGTGTATGTAGGAGACCCTCTAGGACTGGCTCATGATGATGGATCTAGTCCCTACTAGTCAGAAGCATTGACTCCTTAGCACCTTGACTTCTCTGACTCTCTCGCTCTCTCGCTTGAAGGATGGTATCAGTAAAATGACCTATCAACACCACTGCCGCACCGATGAAGTATATTGACACTTCCTCCTAAGGCTAGCGAGACTAATTTCTGATTCGTCACTTGGTGAGTAGGGAGCAACTGGGCTGAACCAGTTCAAGGTTGCCACCGGACTCCAGCGGACGTTGTCTGACATCTTCACCGAGACAACCTTCAGCCACCCCTCTTACTACCTTGCCTTGCAGGTGCCATTACCACTGAGGACGGCCGTAGGAATAATGTGGAACGCGTCGGATCCGAAGCTCATATTGGGAGCGGTATAGACCAGGCAGGCATCATCAGACATTTCAGCGTGGCCAATGCCACCAGCGGGAATGTGCTGCGCTGCGACTTCTGGCTTGGGACTGGGCAGTGTGTGCCAGGCTAAGTCTTCATTGAATGCTTACACAAAGCACGTCCAAGTAACATGTCAGATATTTTCTTTCAATTCTGACGGAGTCTCTTCCATACCTGACATCTAGATTGCTGTACCCACGCGCGATAACGACACCGCCACACTCACATCAAGCAAGTTTAAGGTTAAAAGACTAATCAGGTCTCGTATTGGGTCGGGGTATGTGTTTGCTGCCTTGAGTGGGCGCCATCTGCATCACTTCTCTAGCAGAGACCTCTCGATTGGTCTGTGTAAATCCCTCACGGACCAGGTGGTGATGTCGTAAGCAGCCATTGGCCTCGCGGGTTTGTATGAGGGATATCATAGGATCAATGAGAATCTTGAAGGTTATCAGTGGTATAGATCTGCTATCTGATCCAATGAATTTTTGGATATCATACCGTCTATTATCCAAATGTGTGATGCGATGCATGTCTGTCAGTTTCATCCGAGGAATGACAGACACATTTACGCAATGATAAGACTGCCGGGCTCACCTTCATGATACGAGGCAGTATATAAAGACTTCTCGTTATTTCCTTTCGCGTTCCCGATGGTATAACCGGCTCTTTCGTTCTAGAGCACCGCCAATTGCAGGGCGCCTGACTCCCGCCCACCATGAAGGAAACGACCATCACGATTGCCGATGATCGAGTGCAGAGAGAGCCGACGTCGGACGGGATCTACAACATTCGCTCGCACCTCGAAGATGAAGATCCCGTGCTGCGCAAACCGGGTGATTTCAAGCAGAAACAGGTCTTCAAGGGGAAAGTCCTGCTGTGGCTCGCATACCAGTCTATCGGCGTCATCTATGGCGACATCGGCACGAGCCCACTGTATGTTTATTCGTCCACTTTCACCGCACCGCCGTCCCATCGGGACCTTGTCGGCGTGCTGTCCATCATTATCTGGAGTCTGTTCATGATGGTCACCGTCAAGTACGTGCTTGTCATCCTGCGTGCGGACAATGACGGAGAGGGCGGAACTTTCAGCACGTACTCCCTGCTCTCTCGCTATGTATGTATAACCGCTACCAGACGACGCTAGGAGGTTGATCCGTGGTTGATTCTTCTTTCTGTCTCAGATGAACATAACCCATCGGGATCCCAGAGAATCGTCGCTGGTGCAGATCCAGCGGCATCGCTCGGGCGATCTCGAATGGGCCGGTAAGCGCGTCCGGCACACTCTCGAGTCAAGCGGAATCGCTAGAGGCATCCTCAAGGTGGTGGGGGTACTGGCGGTGACGATGGTCTTCTCGGATGGCCTCCTCACCCCGGCACAATCGGTTCTAGGGGCCGTACAAGGCATCGAAGTCGTCTCGCCGAACATTTCCAAGAGCACGATCGTCGGCGTCACCGACGCTATTCTCGTTCTCCTCTTCTTGATCCAGCCGCTAGGGATCACCAAGATTAGCTTTGCCTTTGCCCCGATCATCATCATCTGGCTTGGGTTCAACGCTGTCTTTGGCGTTTATAACCTGGTCAACTATGATGCGACTGTCTTCAAGGCCTTCAATCCCGGGTACGCCTTTGAGTTTTTGATCCGACACAGGCGTGAAGGCTGGAGGATGCTAGGAGGCGTGCTCCTTGCCTTCACCGGCGTGGAGGCCCTCTTTGCGGATCTAGGAGCTTTCAGCCGTCGGGCTGTTCAGCTGAGCTGGCTTTGTTATACATTCCCGTGTCTCTTGTTGGCATACATTGGCCAAGCTGCATATATCAGCGTCCACCCAGAAGCCTACTCAAACCCATTCTTCAACGCAGCACCACCGGGTACTATATATCCGGCCTTGGTCATTGCAATCCTTGCAGCAATTGTTGCTTCACAGGCCATCATTACCGCGACCTTTCAGGTATTCTGGATTCAATTGCTCCGTCGTTTGATATCTTCCTTTCGCTGACTTGAAGTAGCTTCTGTCCCAAATAATGAAGCTTTCGTACTTCCCTCAAATCAAAATTGTTCATACGTCGGACACCTTCCACGGACAGCTCTATATTCCGATCGCAAACTGGCTGTTGATGATCGGTACCATTCTTATCGCCTCGATTTATAACAACGTAAGCCTTGAATTTGCTTTCCTTCATTCTTGTAAGGATGATTGGGTTTCGGTTTCTAACAGTGGTCCAGACCACCTCTCTCGGCAATGCATATGGTGTATGCGTCATGTTCGTCACATTCTTCGACACTTGTATGGTCTCGCTGGCGGCCATGTTTGTCTGGCGCGTGAGCCCGTACATGGTTTTCCTTCCATGGCTGACCATTGCGTGCCTCGACGGAGCGTATCTCTCTTCGGCGCTGAACAAGGTCCCCGCGGGCGCCTGGTTCACCATTACCCTGGCAGCAGTTTTGGCCATGATTCTTCTGCTGTGGAGATTCGGCAAGGAGCAGCAGTGGGCGGCAGAGGCAGAGGATCGGTTCCCGACTTCGCATTTTGTTGCTAGCACATCTGATGGGCAGCTCCGTCTGACCGACCGGTTCGATGGTACCTCAATCAGTACGACTCGCGGGCTAGGGATTTTCTTCGACAAGGCCGGGGAAACGACGCCGATCGTTTTCAGCAACTTTGTACTCAAGCTCACGGCCATCCCCGAGGTATCCGTCTTCTTCCACCTGCGGCCGCTGGAGGTTCCGTACGTCGCGTTCGAGGATCGGTATGCGGTGTCGCGGCTCGCCATCCCCAACTGCTATCGTCTAGTCGTCAGATATGGATACAACGATGAGATTATCACGCCCGACCTAGCTTCGATCATCGTGGAGCAGGTACGCCGATACCTGCTCAACGATGAGAAAACCACGCCCGACGGCATCTCCAACACCGACTCGGACAATCCGCCAGAGAAATCGGCTCATCCCGAGGTGGTCAGACTGGAGGCCGCATACGCCCACAAAATCCTTTACATTCTCGGAAAGGAGGACATGAAGATCAAAGACGAGACGAACCTGTTCCGGAAACTTCTTCTGCGCGTTTTCCTGTGGATTCGACACAACACCAGAAATAAGATGGCCAATCTGCGGATTCCCCCCGACAGGGTGATTGAAGTTGGGTTTTTGAAGGACATCTAGCTGTCTCTTGAGACGCCCTTGTTATAAACGTGGTCAATGATGAATAATATGTTTCTGTTCAGTATGAAACACACCAAGTAAGCAACGACTCGAATAACAAAAGGCATTGGCAGGAAGAAGCGATACAAGAGGGGAAGGGGCGTGCCCTAAGAATCTTGCCCTAACTCTCTTTCCGGTAATATCACGTGTTGAGCTGTCTCTAGCCAATCAAAAGCGAAATATCACCCTCGGGGTGACCCCACACCGACGCCTAAGGAATCCTTCCCCTAAGCCAAAAAGGGACCCTTCCTGAGCCCTAAGTCAGTCAGCAGGCCAGCGTATATAAACCGAATCCTGCTTTTTCCCTCCTTTTCCCCCCCCCCTCGAGTCCCCCTTTCTCATCTGACTTACTACTGCTTACGTCTCTCAAGCGAAAGGTTCTACCAAGTACCTTGAACTTACCATCCTTCATCATGTCCTTCTCCGACGAGCTGTGTGCCAAGTACCCCTCCCTCCGCAAGTACGACGACGACGACTACCCAGAGTCTCACGATGGACGTGAAGCCGCCCTGTTGCGCCATATCTACTCGCTGCCCTCCCTGGAGGATCTACGCGGTAACCCCTCGGCGCTGATGGGTGCGATGGATGAGTTCGCCGCCCAGCAGGACTTCCTGATCAGCATCGGGAGCGACAAGGGGCCCAAGCTGGCCGACCTCATCGCTACGCACAAGCCAGCCGTCGTGGTCGAGTTGGGCGGGTATGTAGGCTACTCTGCTATTGCGTTTGCCCAGGCGATGCTCGCCGCTGCCTCGCCCGAGCAGAGGTCGAACCTTAGACTGTGGAGTCTGGAGTTTGACCCGCTCGTCGCGTCGATTGCGATGAACTTCATCGAGCTGGCGGGTCTGAGTGATATTGTTAAGGTCGTCGTCGGTCCAGCCGCCCGGTCCCTCAAGAGGCTCAGCGATGAGGGGAAGCTGGGTGGTGGTAATACCATCGACCTCCTCTTCCTCGATCACGATGAGAGTCTCTACGTCCCCGACTTGAAGGTCTGCGAGGAGCTCCAGCTGCTCGGCACCGGATCTCTCATCGTGGCTGATAACATGATCCGGCCTGGGGCACCAGGGTATCGTGAGTATGTGCGGGGGCATGCTGATTGGGAGAGCTGGATTATTAAGGGATTGGTCATGCCTGGCGAGTTTGGGGTGAGTTCATACTTGTTCTAACTGGGGTCGTTTTGATGCTGATGGAAATACACAGGACGAGATTGAGGTTTCCAAGGTCAAATAAATTGTCTGATAGATGGATCCCAGCTGGACTTGTCTCTCAGGTCATCACACTGGAGGCGTAATCATATATACGAGGAATATATTCATCTATTTCGTTTCATCATGTTGCGGTTCATTGAGTCTATCTACCGTCATTCATGGGGATTTAACATACTCCTATGCCTAGAGGTTTATCTCTACACATTCCCTCTATCCTCCCATCAATAGTCACCAATATTACACACATCTCACCCCTCTACTATGCCAAGTTTTCGAAATCGAGGGCCATCTATTTTCCGCTTGTTATGATCTACATAATTACCCATTTTCAGGGTCTCTTTCTGCGACTTTATTGGCTTCTCCCTGTGCTTCCATCAAGAGCTGCCCAACGCAGCTGTATAAGCTTCATTGTAAGAACCAATTATATATTATCAGTAGCTAGATACAGTCCATCAATTCTATTCGCCTTCTATCATTGAGAAAACACTATCATCCTTCCATATATAGATAAAGTCTCCCTTCCGCAGATCACGAATGATTATAATTTGGAAGAGCGCTGAGTTGGCTGACTCCACAACCATTTCAAGGCATCCGTGTATCGTTTCTCATCTGCAGAGAGATGCGCGCAATGCCCGGTATCATCATAGACAATCTCCTCCACCTCCCAGCCCTTGTTCCGAGCCTCGAGGGCATGATCGTGCACCTCCTTCCAGATGATCTGCGTGTCCGTCTTGGAGTAAATGTAGCAGACCGAGACTCCCGCTTCATTCTTAGACGGTACTCCGGCTATTAACGACCCATCCAGTAGGATCTTGCACATCGCGCTTTGGGGGTTCTCTTTCCCCAGTGCAAACCCCGTCCAGATCGGAAGTAAGACAACATGCGCTAGGACCGAAGCTGCGAGGCGGGATGAAGGGCGTCGCCCTGTCACGATCCCCTTGTGTGTTTGCCAGTAGGTCTTGTCGTCTGGCGCGCTGTCGAGCATCATCCCCACAAGAGGTAGGCGGTTTGTGGAATTCCCCCGAAGCTCGAGAAGCATTTGCACGGCACTGAGACATCCGCCGTTCGACAGGAGATGTAGCATGATCCTCGGTGAATCACCCTCTGCCAGCGTCTCCCGCACGACCTGGGCGGCAGGTCGGATCGTCGCTCGCTGGTGCGCGTAAGAGCTGACCAGCATCGCTGCCGCCGTCTCAACCAGCAAGATCCGAGCCCCGACTGCGACAGTAGTCCTGTGGAGAGTAAGATACTTGATAATGTGCTGTGGGCGCGCGCCCGTCCAGCTACACACAATGACCAGTTCTCCGGGAGTCGGGTTATCAGGCGTAAACAGCCATGTCCGATTATTCAGGCTCGTAAAGCCGGGAAATCTCTCGGTCGTCATTTTTTCCCCCCTTCGATCTCCTTGATGAATGCTGGAGACGGAGTGTGACAGCGTGCGGTTTCTGCATCGTTTGAGACAGCTAGTAGCGTCTAGCCTCGCCTTTTTATGCCGTGGTGGGTAGCTGGCTGAGCTTCGCCTCGGTTATTCGCTAGTCGTAGACCTGGTGGAATGGCTAGCTGAGGGTGTGATGAGTTGTTCTTGGCGCCTAAAAATATGCAGCTTTCCTCTCCTCCGTACCTATGATGCATAGACAAAAAATAGAGCTGTCCAGCTGAATAGAATACCGCTTCTGTGTCAGAAAGAGCAGCCCTGTGTTCTCGGGTTCACAAACTGAGAATAATTCCTCCCCATGGCTATCATTGACGGGAGTCTGGGTATTTTCGACGGAGAATTCCGTCTTCTTCAGATCTCTCATCAAATGGCAAAGCTCTCGTTTCCACGACGTCTGCGAAACCATCTTCTATCTGTTCGTCTGTCGAAGTTTGACTCTTAAGGGGTCGCAGCAGTGCCAGTCACGCGTTGCCTCACATGACCGCGAAACTCACCGACTTTTTCTTTCTCTGATATGAAGAAAACTTCAAGTTCCTCTTGTTAAGCTACAAGAGACACTTCAGTCTATCAATTCGTTTCTCATTATATATAACTGATTGCTTTATACACATCCTTTGGTCGAGACAGCTGCAGAGCCTGCCAGCTGGCTCTTCGCCCGCAGCCATGGTCCGTATATACGAAATACAACGGGGATGGGAATCATCACTGTTGCCAGACAGCCCAACAGGGTCCCAGCCCACTGCACACCCAGGTTCTCCATGAGCTGTTTTGAGAAGAGAGGGAACGAGCACCCGATCGCCGATCGCAGGATGGTGTTGGCCGCAATGGTGGAAGCCGCTCTAGTCGACGAGTTAGCTTTCTTTCTTTCCAATTGAACGTCGATAGAATTAGCTAATAGACAGGAGAGACGCTTACAAGGTGGGATAGCAGTCAACGATATAGTTGAAGCACTGCAGGAAGATGCAGAAGCTACCGAATCCGATAAACACCCCGGCGGCGGTCGGTACCATCCAGTGGATGGAGGAGGTGTACCCCGTCCAACCGAACCTGCAAGCAAGTATCAATCAATATAAAGAACTTATAAAGGGAGCAAGAAGGGGAAGGCCTACCAGAACATGCCGATTGTGAACATAACCGCGCCCAAGATCGCCGGAGGAAGACGCCATTCCGGGATGGGCCGGTTGTTGTTGGCGGCAAGCTTGAGGGCATATGATTTCTGCAGACACAATGCATAGGCGCCTCCCACGAGCTCACCGACGATCAGCCCGTTGAAGGCTAGACCTCCCACCCCCATACTCATCCCATACACTCCTTCGAAGACGACGGGATACGCTCCCAAGAGGGCATAGATGAGGCCGTACACAAAAGAAATATAGAGTGAAACCAAGAGCAGAATTGGCTCCGTAATGAGCATTCGCAAGGGCCGTGTGAAGTTCTTCTGAACCAGCTCATGAATGTCGATTTCGACTTCATCTTGTTTGGCGTGAATCCCCCAATTGCGTGTCTGGCGTCGCAAGGTTGATGCTTTATTAACTAGGATGACGGGGGCGTAAGTCTCCTTATATAAGACGAGGAGGAGCATGAAGCTGGTAAACAGCATGATGGCAGAGATGTATAGCGTCCAGCGCCATCTTAGTGGACTCGTGGCAATGAATCCCCCGACAAAGGGGGCCGCGAAGGGTCCGACAAAGACCGCCATGCAGAATACCGACATGATCACGCCTCGTTGTCGGTTGTTGAAGAGGTCCGCAAATGTAGCGGGGACGATTGCCAGTGGGCTGGCGGAAAAGACACCGCTGAAAAACCGACACAGCATGATTGTCTGGATGTCCTTGCCCACCGCAGATCCAAGGGTGAAGATTGAACTGCCGAAGAGCCCGACACACAGCGGTAGCCGTCGGCCGATGAGCTCGGATGCTGGCGCCCAGAAGGTCGGGCCGGCAGCAAAACCCAGCACAAACAGGGTGACACCAAGTATGCTGACTTCTTCACTCACATTGAACTCTTCGCTGACCTGAGCGGCTGTTGTGGAGAAGATGGCACTGGTAAAGGCTCCGGCAAACGTTGAAAAGCAGAGAATCCCTGCCATTACAGCCCTGCATCGACGAGTAGCATCAGCATAAGGAAGTGCCATGAGGAGAGGGAAGGAGGTGGAACAGAATAGCATACCTCCTGCTCATCGGCCAGTTGTGAGGATGTAATGGATCATCCGGGCCATCGAATTCCACCACGTATTCCTCTGGGTCAGGGAGCATGCGCGGGTATTGCTTCCCTCCTCCCATGGGCAGCCATTGATCCTGTGGCACTGGGCCTCGTGTCGACCCGACGGTCACCCTCTGTTGCAGCCGTGAGGTCTCGATTCGTGATAATTCCACCGGTTGCAAAGTTTCGCCTGCAGCTGTTGCATCAGATGAATATGCGACTTCTGAATCGTCCATGTCTTCCATCGTTCGGTAGCGTGCAAGCTCCTTATCGGAATGATACGGTTCTGTGCCGATCGGGTCGGTACCATGGATATTTCCTTCCATTCTTTGCTGACCAGAGGCGATTAGGATCCAACTGACTGATCGAATTCTGACAGGACCTACCTGGGTACTCCATCACGACCTTATATTATAGTCCATTCCCACAACCCGACACCCTTCCAGGGGGAAAGGAAAAAAGTGGACCTTGTCCTTTTCTTTCCGCTGTCTGCTTTCTGCCCCCATTCTGTGATATCACTAGCATGGTGGTTGAACACGTTAGATAAAAAATCTCCGGCATCTCCATCACAGTTTCCCGTGTCTTGCCGAGCACGGCCGTCAGTTCCGGGTTATATGAGCCTCGAAGGTACAGCCACAGAACCCGCGAGTCAGTCCCTAAACCCACCAGGACCACTGTCCAGCGCATACAACGTGCATGTGGAACGCGGAATGGTATCCGTTATTGTCCAACTTCATCGTCGCCAGGACGGGTACGCTCGGCGTTGTGGCTGATTAAGAAACCCATCAACCTGCAGGTTTTGGCCCTGGGCTGATAAGCACTCACCATCCTCCCTGTTCTCATTAGGTTAGGAATGCCATCCGTCAGTTCCGAGTGTCAGAACTAAGGCATTAAGCTTGTTTTTGCTTTTTTTTTTATCTTCCCTTGTTTTTTTCCCGTGGGCCGTGGCGTCAAGCAGTCGGCTCGCCGATCCGCCTTGAATAACCGAGAGTAGCCGTCCAGGACACTCAACGTTCGGAGCCGGAATACTTTGGGGACTTTTTTGGAAGTAGAGATGAAATTACATCTGGCTTGTCAATCACCTCTTTATATATGGGCTCCAACCCTTAAAGATATGGGAGTCAGACTACTGACAAAGTAGGCCGACCCTTCCAAATGCTGCAGCCGGGCTTCTTACTATATTGATAAATATCTATACAGCAAAAGATGGTGAATAGTCAATCATAGCTATACTTACAGTAGTTGTGACTGGGGTATTATTGACAAGATCCTGTGCTCTAGTACTGCTTTATAAGTACTTGAAATGAAGGCTCATCCAGGAAGAAACCGAAATGTACAAAGTGTCTTGATGGACTGTGATATGCTAATCCCCTTACTGTCATCACATAATAGTCAAGGTACAGTATATGATGTACTTGATTTATAGGGATGCTGGTTTGCTAGTGAAACTACCTAGTCTGGACCTATAGCCCTATATTAGAGCCCTTTTATTGACATTCTATACATGATAATAATTCCGCCTAGCATCTTACCCTCTAGGAAGACTATATAGGGCTTCCTTTGAGAGAAAAGAAGACTATAAAAAGTATTTACCTAGTGGCTATGGTTTTAGATGAATGTGTGGGTTAGGAGGGGAAAGGGTGTCCTTAGATGCAGATAGTTGCTTAGAGCAAGAATATTCAAGGAAGAGTAATGAAATGGTGAAAATATTATATTGTGAAGCATTCAGTATTATGCAAAAAGAACAGTGACAATAGCCCTCCAACCCTGCGCAAAAACGGCATCTGGAATGTCGACATTCTTGTCCGTGATCGACCACTCGAAATATTGATCCATCCCTTGAACGGCCAGAGGATCCCCGTTTACCAAGACCCAGTCTGGATCCAGCTCATGCATGAATGGCGAGGGCAGCGTCCACGGAAACACACTGAGACCCAGATCCCTCTCGACCTCGTCCCTGGCTGCAGCTAGGCGTTCCCGGGTGACTCCCCGGATATGCGTGTGGACCTGGCAGCAGGTGGGCACCTCCGGGGTGAAGTAGACGATGGGACGGCCGTCGGAGGTGGTGAAGTCTTTGGTGGCCTGGACGATGGCCGCAGCGACGGCGCACATCTTGCGCCATTTGCGCTCGAACGTGCCGATGTTGAGGTTGAAGGCACGCTCACAGTCGATGAGGACCGGGTAGGAGGTGACCATCCAGCCGCCGAGTCTGCGCTGCCAGAGCGCGGCTTCGGCCATGAAGGCAGCGTCGGAGCTGGCGAGGACACAGCCGACCGTGCCGCGGAGGCCCTTGTAGAGACTCACGTAGACGGAGTCGAAGAGGCGGGCGAGGTCCGCAAAGGGTCTGTTGTAGAAGGGCTGGATCTCCCACAATCGCGCCCCGTCAAGATGCAGCCGGATGTTCGCCGCTCGGCACAGGCGCGAGATCTGCACGAGGTCGTCGTAGGGGTACGTCTGGCATCCGAGATGGCGGTTCGGCAGCTCCAGCAGGATGACGGCGGGTCGTTCGTCTGCCGGTCGACGTGTCACGACCTGGATATCTGCGACCGTCGGGACGTGGACGGGAGACGTCCCGATGAAGCTGCGCTGAAGCTGGAACACCTCGGCGTATGCGTTGCTCTCCGCCGTCTCCGGATGCGAGCGACAGTGCCACGCGACGCGCTGGTTGTTGGCCCGGTCGCACCAGATCTTCATCGCCGCGAGTTGTGCCTGGATCCCCGTGATGAAGTATGTCCCCTTTGTCTTGCCGAGGAGCGTGGCGATGTGCTGTTCGAAGTGCTGCTTGTGCACGCCGCGCCCGTAGCCGTCGCGGTCGATCAGCTCGGTCGGGATGCTCAGCAAGGACGAGCGCTGGGTGACGACATCTTGTCCGAGACGTTGAATGAGGTAGTTCTCAGGGGATGTCGTGTATTCGAGCGTCTCTTGCAGCAGCCGGACGGGTTCGTCGTCTTCGTGGCCGGGGGCCAACCTCAGCGGAGACATTTTACTGAGGAGTGTCAGGAAGTAGGGGGTAATGTCAGGCTTATCAAGAGCATTTCTAGGCAGCAGGATAGTCGCCAATCAGTTGAGCTCTTCTAGCCTTTGTAATCGCCTAGACCATGTTCTACCGGGTATATCTAGTAGTAATGGTCAGCATAGGACAGTAGTGAGTACAATAATATAAGATTATATTAACTATAATAGATGTATACCTTTAGGTACTCGCTATTGTGTAGTGTATCTTGAATGTCTAAAAGACTTTAATCTGAAGAAGTCCAAGGTGGAGGTACTTCTAGAGAAGAATAAAAATCAAGAATGATTCTTTAATATCTAGCTATACCATACCAACAAAAAGCAGTTTCTAGATGAGGACCTGCCATCAAAGAAAATTCTTAAGCACCAAGTCCTAAGTATCTAAAATTAAATATTATAAGATGCCAGGGTGCACTCCTATTCACATCTCACTTCTATCTGAGAGCAAAGAGCCCCTCGCCGGCGCCCCTCACCATACTACAACAACAGCACCAAGGTCTTGATGCCGATGCTGATATACCTAAAAAATTCATATATAATGAAAAAAAATTTCTTCAGTCTCTCTCTCTCCTTCTTTCCTTTATTCTCTCCTCTGGCAACATGTCAAAAGATTAATATCAACATCATGGATATTAATAAAATTGTTAACGTGGATATGATGCCGGGCATCAGCCATGGCCAGCCTCTATATCTCTCTCGTCTTTTGCCCCAAGTTAGAGGGGGAAATATGCTCTTCTTGTAAGCTCACTATTCCACCACCCCACGACGAAAATCGAGAGAAGCCAGGTCTTCAGGATTGACGGCTGCAGGGCTCCTGAGCAGGGAAACCAGGGAAAGGGATTCGATCTCATCATCAGAACCAGAGAAATGGACTATTGCGCCCACAAGCATATAGTCTGTCCCGTCTCGCCTCCCATCAACGATTTGGCTGGAAGGTGGCCTGCTGTAAGTCCTTCTCAATGTCTTCTTACTCCGACAAGTAGGCAGAGCACACAGAAAATGAGCTAACGGGCCCATAAGGACTCTGTTGTGGCGTTCACCATCCCCAATGACGACGTACCTGTCTTTGCAATCCGTTCGTCGATCGATTACCTCTACAGTCGATCTTATGACAGTATCTGCACCGTAGCGAAGACTACTGGAGCGACCATCAGACCCAACCTGCAGCCTGCTACGTTCCACTCTGCGATATTTCTGGCAGCCAGCATCTTGCAGATCGAGCAACTTCGGTCCGAGTCCAAGAGACACTTCATGCACGCCTTTGAATTCCATCTCGGCAATTCCTATGCCGCGGTTCTCGAGGTAGCCACCGTGATTTTTAACTCGAAGTCCAGATACATGAAGGAATTGCAGAATCTCATCGTCAAGATGACCTTCCCATGGTTCCACAAGCTAATGATGGATGAGGGTTTCCAGGAGGTGCTGCGCAAGGTGCCTGGATATGCGGTTGATCTGCTGGTTTACGTAGCCTCTGCCATCTCGCGCGTCCCGCAGCCTGTTTTGCAAGCCGGCGGTTCTTCGACTTCCGGTGTTCCAGATGAGAAACCGGCATCGGTCGGGCTCAGCGACGAAGAGTCAATGTAAGGTCAAGACCACGATCTAGGAGATGGCTTCTTGCAACGGTTATGCATTCTGACAACATGACTTCCTTGCTGTCTCCTCCATTGGGGATTTTCACCCGTCAATGTACTCTTGTCAATGAATGGCATCCGTTTTTGATCTTAGAATAACACCCTACTTTCTTCGTAAATACTCTTCCCTCCTAGCCAGACGTATTCCATTCGCGTATGCCTCTTTGAAAGAAAACAGTAAACACTCCTTTCAAATACAGTCTACCAGGGTCAAGTGAGATACAAAAAACAAAACTGAATACGAGACTTGAGTAACGATATCTGATTTCAACAAGTTACAGTAGAAATTCGCCCCCCGTCTCCTTGACCATGAGGTTATATTCCGGCAGGAACTGCATGTACATGCACGCCGGCGACCCAGAGCACTCCTTGGTATACTGTGCTTCGACGTCGCCCACATACCGTTTCTGCAGCCCGTTGGCAGCAGCGGCTTCGGCGAGCAGCTGTGTCTGGCAGGCTCGCTCGAGCGCAATGAAGAAGGCGGCTGCTTCGCCGATGGTTTCGCCGCAGGTAAGGATTCTAGAAAATCCATATAATTAATCAAATACTGAATCTTGTCTATTGAATGACAGGCATACCCGTGATTCTGGAGGATGGCGTTCTTCTTCACTGGTCCGAGAGCATCGGCAATATGTTGGCCCTCTTCTTTGGCGAGGACTATTCCGCCGAATCCTTCATACACGGCGAGATCATTGTAGAACATGCACGAATCTAGAGACTAATCAGTCATGCAGACTTGAATTCTTCTTTTATCTCTTCTACTCACCCTGGTTCAACATTTCAATGGGCCTTCCGAAACTCGACCAGGCTCGTCCGTGGGGCGAATGCATATGACAGGCTGCATTGATATCCGGTCGCGCCTTGTGGATGGCTGAATGGATGATGAATCCAGCAGCATTGATTTTATACTTGGTGGGTTCTACCGGTTGACCTTCTTCGTTGACCAGGACCAGGTCGGAGACGGTGATCTGTCCGAAATGCATCGCATACGGGTCTTTCTATCTGTTAGTTCATAGTCTCGCGGACACGAGCAATACAAAAGAATATAAGAAATTCCATACTGATCCAGAAACAGTCCGGTCGCAACGGGTCTATTTTCCCTTGTCAGTGTGGTATTAGAAACGATACCATGCACTTTCCATCCATGTACCTCGCAGGCTAATATGTCCAGACGCTCCATCGGCATACCCCAACTTGGCGAAAATGCGAAAAGCGCCCGCCATCTGCTGTTTAGCCCATTTCTGCTGCTCTCGCTTGTCGCTGAAGGAGGGCACTTCATGCAGTCGCACCGGCCTGGATCCGTCCACGTTGGTATTGAGGACGCTGCCCCCCGCGGCTGGCGTGTGCAGCGGGACCTCAACGCCGCCCAGTCGAGTCGGGGTGTCAGTGGTGATAGTGGCGGTTACGGACATGGTTGAGAGATAAGCATACAAGATTAGCCGATCGATTGATGCACTCGTGAAGGAATGAAACGAGTCTTTGTATCAGTAGTGATGGAATTCCTCCCTTCCCCGCACGGTCGGATTCCCCCGTTAGCGCATCATAAGAACCTCGGAGAGCAAAAGGACACACAGAAGCAAGAGACTGGAGTCTGACGTCACCGTTGAAAATATACAAAGCATGGAGGGAATCCAATTCGTAAACCCATCCTTTTCTTTTGCTTCCTTTGCTGGCTTATCGTGGACCATCGGATGGGTGCCGAAGATAGCGTTGCTGTGTGCGGGGGTGTGTCGTATTCTTCCGATGGATTACTATCCCCTCATCCCCGATAAATAGTGGACGAAAGGGACAGACTCCATAGCTGAGAGCATCACTTCCCATCCCCATTGCCAACATGGTCAAGCCAAAGGTTCTTGCGCTGGGCTATCCCGCCTTCGCAGGTGAGGAATATGTTAAACAGTTTCAGGAGGAATATGAGATCGATGTGAGTGCAAAAACCATAACATTCCCTGCCAAAATTATTTCTTGGGTTTAGATTGACCTGCACCAGGTTTTGGTACCAACAGACCGAAAACAAACCGTTGCCGATCTAGCAGCAAAGGTGCAGTCATCCGGGCCATATCAAGCACTGCTCGTGCGAATGGGAATCGGTCCCTATGAGCCCTTCGACGAGGAGCTCCTGCGTCCTCTAGTACCCGATTGCAAGATTCTTGTCTCCTGCTCGGCGGGTTATAACGAATTCGATGTTTCCTGGATGACACAGCAGGGGATGTGGTTCTGCAACACGCGCAACGCTGTCTCAGAAGCGACAGCGGACATGGCCATGTTTCTCATCCTTGCGGTTCTTCGAGACACAACTCGGGGCGAGAAACAGACCCGAGAAGGCAAATGGAGAGGTACCCTAGCCCCGACGCGTGATCCAACCGGCTTGAAACTGGGTATATTAGGCATGGGGGGGATCGGCAAGGTATTTCATGTTGTCCATATCAGATCGCTGGTACTTATAACTGATGGTTCGTTGTAACTTAGCATCTGGCAAGAAAGGCCGCCGCTTTCAACATGAAGATCATCTATTATAATCGCCAGCGACTTCCTGTGGAGGACGAAGAACGGTTAGGAGCAACGTACTGCCCAACAATGGAGGAGCTGCTCGCTCAATCCGACGTTTTCTCTGTCAACTGTCCACTCAACGACCAAACAGTCGGTCTGATTGGCGAAAAGGAGTTTGCCCAGATGAAAGATGGCGTCTTCTTCATCAACACAGCCCGTGGCGCGATCGTTAACGAGTCAGCCCTGATTGCTGCTCTACAGAGTGGGAAGATTGAGCGTGCCGGACTGGATGTTTTCGACGGGGAACCTAGTGTCAAGTGAGTATTAGCAATTTACCGATGCTTAAGTCTTCACAGATTCTGACTTATCAACTCTCACAGCCCCTTCTTCCTCGAATGTGATCGCTGCACCATCCAGCCTCATCTTGGAGGTCTGACCGACGGGGCGTTTCAAAAGGCCGAGATCGAATGTTTGGAGAACATCAAGACCTTGTTTACCACGGGGGTTCCCGTGGCACCAATTAACAATATTTCAACATAGAATTCAATAGAATCCATATAGAAATGCTGTTTAGTAACCCAGGGAGCATCCGGGGCCTGGATATCCTTCTCTTATAATGCGTAGAAGAACCTCTACTGTAGAAACCGAAGAATCGCAGAAAATCGGCACAAACACGCCGTTGGTGCCTTATTAGTGCCTGAGGCAGTGAGATTATAGAGATCACCTGACACCAGCACTTTCCCCGCGTCCAACTCCCAACCACCACCTCTGCCATGTCTGCTTCTGCAAAGAGACTGCGCGTTGGTCCACGCACTCAAGTGGCCTGTGTGGCCTGTAAGGCCCGGAAACAGAAGGTAGACACACAAGGACTTCCCCGATTGGCGTTGTGCCTGTGGCTGATAAATGCAGTGCGATCCCGTCGGGGCAACGTGTCGAAACTGTTTGCGAGCAGGAAGAGGTGAGAGAGAGTTCCAAGAGAATTGAAGAAAGACCAGCTTTATAATAGTTTAGAATGTATCATTGAAGATCCGGCTACCAAACGGCACCAGCCACGGAATTATCTCCGATCGTTGGAAGAGCGTGTGGCCATGCTAGAAGGGTTACTCAGGGATGTCCGCCCCGACGTGATACTGGACCCTCAGCAAACATCTCATCAGGAGTCTGCATCCAGTGATTCTGGCCTTGATCTTTTGAGGGACTTGGAGCCAACGTCTAGCCCGCTGCATGCTGGTACCGAAGCTTCCGATGATCTGTCCTCGAAGATCGGCCTGCTGTGTTTGAATGCTGCCGGACAGTCGTCACACTACCTGGGAGCGTCGTCTGGTTTTAGTTTCTCCAGGGTCGTCTCTTCTTCTCTACGCCAGATTCGCAGTCAGGGCCCTGGATTCACCATGGGAGGGGCACGGGATACAATGCTATTTGAAGTGCCTTTGCCAGATCCAGCGCCGCTGCCAAGTCGTCAATTTGGGAAAGTTTTGTCCAACGCATACTTTGACAACATTCAACCTCAGGCAAGTAGTTTGGTCTAAAACAGTAGTGTTCTCCCTCCTTCCGGCTGACCGAGTCCAGTATCCAATCTTCCACCGGCCAACCTTTGAGGCTTGGGAGGAGGAGGTCATGGACGCTCGGGATAATGCAGTCGTTACCAGCTATGTGGCAAGCTTTTTCGTAAACATGGTGAGATAAACGAACAAACGATGGTGGCGACAATGAGACTAATTGAGGAGGTCTATGCTGTCGGTACACTGATTCTCCCATGTCCAATCTGCAGTCCGCCGGAATGTTTTTATGCTGCAGCCCAAGAGCATATGGATGCAGTTATCCAACTTGGCGGTTTGGAGGGAGTTCAAGCCATACTGAGCTGTGCTATGTACAGTCTACGAGGTAGCATTGGGGTTTCTGTATGGTTTGTCTCACCAGGCCTTCTCCTCCTCCACACTTGGTCTTTTAGGGTTTGACCAGACTAGGAGTCTCTCTGGCTTGGCCTTGCGTCAATGCGTTGAGTTGGGGTACCACCGTAACCCGCAACGGTTCAAAGCAAAGCCAAATCACCTGCAAATGGAAATGCAACGGCGAGTATTCTGGATGGCATACAACCTGGATCGGTGTGCCGCCATCACACTAGGTCGCCCATTCGGGATTGCAGATAAGGACATCGATGTCGATGTAGGGGCCACCTTCTGTCTCCTTTACTATTTGCTCTTGTGCTGCTCCATCACTAAGACTGAACAGCTCCCTCTTGATATCGACGATGAGATGATCACAGCTACTTGTCTTATCACCGTCCCCCGATCTCTCCCTGAGTCTCCCCCAACTGTTATGTCCGCTGCTATCCACACCACACATCTACGCCGCATCTGGTCTCGCATCCAGGATCAAATCTATTCTGTCAATACACCTATCAACATGCACCACTACACAGATGAACTACTTCCCTCCTTTAAGAAGGAACTCGATGGCTGGCTGGAGTGCGTGCCTTCAACTCGTCCACCCAGCTCCGGGGTGCTTTCAACTTTCAGTACAGCCGAATGGTTCCAGTTAGCCTATAACCACTCGATACTACTTCTGTACCGCCGCGCTCTAGTTAATGACCGCCAGGGTAAATCTACTGCCAACTACATGGAATGCTGTCAAGCTGCTCGAGATATCTGTCTCCTATACCGCAAGCTGTTTCTCAACAGCCCTGTTAGCTACACCTGGGGCGTACTGCATATTCTGTTTCTTGCGGGGCTAACCTATCTCCACTGCGTCATCACTAGCCCCGGAGTGAGAGAAGCGGTCCGTCAAGACGAGGTCTCCAGTACCTGTACTGCCTGCACTATTGTGCTCGTGATTATGGCAGAGAGATGGAAGGCGGCTGCACCATACCGAGATACCTTTGAGATGCTTGCTAACGCGACGATGTCAATGCTGGTGCGCGCATCCACTTCTACTGCTGCATCAACTCCAAATCAATGCGGCTACGGTCCGATCTTGGTCCCGGGAGACGTGTCTAGCCAACTGGAAGAGATGGTCGATATCGGCATGTGCTCTGGGACAGAGGAGCTTTTAAATCAGTTCCTCGGAGTCTAGTACTCTAGCGAAAGAAAAGGGATATGTTCAGGGACTGGCCGTAAATTTGATCTCTCTATACATACTACTCTCTCGTTTCATAATTACTATGTTATATTCTCCTCAACACCGCATTCTGTGATTACAGCTTTGCGCTTTTCTCCCCCCCACAGCAAGCTGGTGCTGGCTCAGGATGCAGCGTCGACTTGTTGAACGTCTGCGTCGACGCAGGAACATCTAAAGCTGGATTCTTTGTGAAGAACCCATCCGGACGAAGCATGACGCTGATTCGTTCCATAGGCATGACAGGGAAATCTTCGATGCGTGGGTTATGGGTTAAGCCGAAGGCTGAAATTTGGGTTAGTATTATTCACCTCCAACCATCTTTTTCCATCAGGGTAAGAACGTACTATGCCATAGGACGATGTCCTCGTTTTCCGTTGCATCCTTGCGCTGCACCCATTTCTCGACTCCCTCGGAAATTTTGCTCTGGTTCGTGAATTCACCGGCAGCGAAGAGCTCGTCGTCCTGGTACCGTGTGACCCAGATGGGCTGCGTGGCGAACTCGGCACGTTTGCTCGTGAATGAGCCGGCGGGAGCAAGGAGCATTTGGCTCGGGGCAGCCTGCAGCTTGTACGCAACAGGTTTGTAAGTGACAGGGTTAATGTAGTCATCGTTTCGGATCTTAAAGATGCGGTGACGCGCGACGTCTGTCGCAGCAGAGCCCGCAGTGGACAGCACAGTCTGTTCGGTGGTGTACCCAACTCCATATGGGTTGGAAGCTTCATCAACGGGCATGGGAACACTGTCTTCAAAATACACAGTGTTCTTGAAGCCGTCGATGGCCGGGTCAATACGGAAGGAGAACATGTGCTGATGGAACGGGGCGAGCACATTCGGTCCTACATTAGTGCCAAATGGGACTGTCTGGCCGTTCTGGTTATCAAATGGGACGGTTGACAAGATGCCGGTGGCGCGAACTTCGAGCTCTATATTGGCAGCCTGGTCGAAGATGAAAGCGAAGATATATTCATAGTTGGCCACAGTGCAGATCATCTGCATGACGAGCTGGCGGTTGCGGACGACCGTTGCAGCGCCGGATCGGTAGTTGGTGTGCTTATGCTGCAGGCCGTTGTCTTGCTCATGCATGCAAATAACGTTCTTCAGCTGTACCGGCTTTCCCTGTGCATCAATTCGGTAGCCATCAAAGTACTTAATATGGCCCAGACAGTCGCAGCCCAGTGAGAGCTGGTTGGCGGTGATTCCAAATCCCACATCGCCTACATCAAAGGCCTGCTTCCGGTGGTACGGTGCCCGGGGATCTGCAAGAAGCATGTCAGTACTTTATCAATGGTGTATTATTGTCGTTTAGATGGATGAACTCGCTTACCCCCATACGGGACTGTCATCTCGGACATTGACAGACGGTAAAACACGTTGCGTCCATCATAGGTGATGTTATACAGGACCAGGCCTTCACGATTAGTGAAGCCAACCCTGAACCGCCACTTCTGCCACGACACGGCATTGCCGTTGACCGAAAATGAAGCGCCCTCTGGCTGCTGGACAATGTACGGCTTCAGGTCAGTCCGTAGCGGTTCTGTGAGCAGATCATGCGCGTACTGGACCGTCTCGACAGGCTTCCAAGGCTGGGTCTCGGTAGTCTGCGCGTCTGCTCCACCGGGTAAGTAGTCCATTCGGACCAGTTCGTGCGTGATTCCGTCAAAGACCGGCGAGAACCTGCAGGGCAGCGAGTAGTGGTTGTTTTGCTCGTGGTCGACGGCGACGATATACATATAACATTGAAAGAGGCGGCGGCTCTCCTTGGGGTCGTCGGTGCCATAAATCCACGGATCGTTGCAGACCGTCACTCCTTCTGGCAATTGCATCTTGGCCACCTCGGCCAAAACAGCCGGATGCTTCAGACACAGCTGTTCGATCTCGATCATTTCGTCCACGTCGACCGGTCCCTATGATCATTTGCCAGTTAAACACTGTCTGACACTGGGGAATATATATATTTATATATCATCTATTGATATATATTGATATACATATATGAATGACCTACTTGCACCGCTTTCGGAAGTTCCTTCGCATAGATGACTTTCCGAGTCTCAGCATTCAACAGAGCTTTGTAGAAAGCTCCAGTATCCCGCCGGTGGAAGAGAGCCTGCAACAGCCGCGCAGGCTTGGCCGGCAGTGGCTTTCCCAGGCGCTCCGCTTCGATATACGGAATGACATCCTTCTTGATGGGCTCGTTGACGTCGATCCGCTTGTATCTCAGCGGCACACCGGGGAAGGCAGCCTCGAGCACCTGGACGGCCAAGGTGATTTCCCCGGGGGTGATGGGGTCGAAGGGGTGCAGAACAGTCATGGTGAGGATGACCCTTGAATGATTTTCTGATTTCGAGATAGTGGAGATTCCGATAGATTCCTACAGGGGATTTCTGACCTTTTATAGATCATTCATTCTCCAACAGAGTTTTAACCCCCGCCATGCACAGGAACCTGAAGCAAGGCGATCCTGCCGTGCTTTTATCTTCCTGAAGCCGCTGATTGGCTGGCTGCAGCTGGCGTATCTTTTGCTGAAATGGGTTTAGTGTGTATTATCACGTGATCCCTATTCCCTGGGGCCTGCCCAATATGGAAATATGGCTTGCCTTGCCTTCACTATGCAATCAGCGCGTCGGTGACAGATGAAGGGTGCCTATAAAGGCTTAGGTTCCCCTGCAGCAACGTTTATCTTTATGGAATAATGTTGCCCCCAATGGATTCATGAGGTAGGTGCTCTATCGCCTCAAAACTTTACTATACAGCTAGAGTCATCTCAGAGCTATTCTATCCTCATTATCGGTCTCCTCTTCCTCGCTTCCAGTAGGAGGTATCTATGGGTGTGGATATCTATATTCACAGAGTCGAAGGGGCTGCTCGACCACTCAGATACTGGAAATTGTCAAGACAATTAGCAGGGCACAATGGAGTCATTAATCCTGTAACATCAGTCAAATAACTGTAGCGCACATTAGATCATTCTTCTTGCTCATTTTGACCTCATCTCCGCTCTCTTCTGAAATAACATTCTGGTCGTAATCATATTCGCCATATGAATACACAAAATCTTCTGGGGGCATAGATTCCTCCACAGGCGCGATTATATTTACTCAGTTGAACTGATTGAGATCATGTCTGGGCCTTTCTTTGCAAGGCACTGAGCTTGTGCACCCCGAGCAGGAGACGTGAATGGTCTACAGATTGTCTTTGGAGTTGCCCTTCGATATTTCTTGGTATAGTCACGCTATATGGTTGAGCATCCAAAGATGGCATCTCCACGTCGTGTATTTGGGGTTCAATAGTTGAAAATAAAGGCAAAACGGTCTGATCTGGGTGGTTATTTTCAACTTATCTAGAGACGGGGCTGGGCTCGGCTGAGGAGTATCAAAGTAAAGATACTTTCTTCTTCTAATATGGAAGTCTCATTCTTAAATCAATAGACACGAAACTGTGAATGGCGCTAAGCTCATAGATGAGACTGAGTCAATTGTCAAGGTGGTGACCCCGGTCTTATCAAGAAACTGCGTGGTCTGTCTTCTGGGGTATACCAATTTGTGATCGAGTCAAAGTTCCTGACTGGTTTCCTGATAGCGGCTTGAGAGATGAATGTTGACCAGTTGATTCGCAAGGGACTCTAGGTGACTATCAAAAGAAAAAAAATAGGGGTCCAGTTGGCCAGGGGTCTAGTGGTAAAAATCACGGTCTTGTATAAAGGGAGGATGCTCCAGAAACCTCCTTTAGTTATTCTAAGAGACTGTTGGTAGGAGGGAATGGAACAAGGTAGTATCCAAATAATAGTGTAGATAGTACAGCTATAATAGAGGATATTTGAATAGTAGAAAGAAAAAAAAATGTTAAGAAATAGAAGAAGATGGAAGGGCGTAATTTATATAGAGATTTTAAATCAGGCATACACTGGCCTACTAGAAATAAAGTGAATGAAGAAGGCAACATGACAGTGAATGTCCATTGAACCCTTTATGCAGTACTTACTAATTCCCTCTATTCAGACCTGTATGCAGGCATTACCTTCCCCCTACACTGTCCAAACCCCAGGATCACCTCGCTAGTCTCCCGGTCTATGCACCATCCTTCCAAAACCACCTCGTCGCCATCCAGGAGGAAGGTCTCGGCGATATCGTCTGGAAGGGAAGAGAGTTTGTTCCTCCTCAGTTTCCTCTCAAGTATACAGCCTAGTCCAGTTTTCTCGCCAGAGGAATTGGTTCGCTAGAGCTGTCAGAAGTCTGTTCTGGGACAAAATAATCGAGGGAAATGAAGGGAGGACTGACAGAGCTGGAAATGGTGCCTGTGCCGAAAATATCTCCCGTAGACAGTCCTTCACCTGCGCTCCCAAGATGGACGAGCTGTTGGAAGGGTGTCCAGTGGAGTTCATTCAAATTCGCTTCAGTGAAGAGATACTGGGTTCCATTACCTGCAGGCAATCCATCAATCTATGTTAAGAGAACACGCATGGCACATAATATAAAGGAACTGCTTACGCAGAACTTTTGCAAAAACGTGGATATCAAAAGTTGCCTCCGTCTCTTCCGGGCACTGTAAATGCCGCAATGGTGCTGGACTCTGCACACTCGCTCGCGGGCAGACAACACGGTCCAGGGCTTCCAGCGCCACGATCCACGGTGAGATGGAAGTACCGGATCCCTTGGCGTGGAATGGACCCAGAAAGGGGGATTCGAACTGCTGAATATTCCGTGCGGACCAGTCATTTAGTAGGACAAAGCCAAATATGTGCTCTTTGATGCTGGCCATGTCAGGTCTTCTACCGCGGGGGACGGGCTTCGACAGGAAGACACCCATCTCCAGCTCGAAGTCAAACTCTCCTTCCGGCTGGAACTGGACTTCGCCTTTCTGCGCTTCACCACTGACCTGCGGGAAAACACCGCACGGGCGAGTTATAGGGGTGCCAGAGATGGCCAGGCTGGATGTTCGTCCATTGTAGACGGTGGGTATGACCGACCAGTTCGGCATAAAGGTTGGCTTTCCCAGCATTACCTCTGTAGACTATCAATTATTGTCAGAAAGCGCATTATCAAAAAGAGTTAATCAGTTCAAGTGATCTATATCAAACTCTCTTACGTTAACAGTATGTTCCCATGAGCAGAAAAAGTCGGAAAAGTTCCCCGTCGCCATCGGAAAATGGTTCTGCACGTCGCTCAGGGGAAACACAGCTGCAGCCGAAATGCTCTTCGTCTCAACTGCCTCGATCAGTCGTCCACGGACTTTCTGGCGAGTTTCGTGAGGAAGGGCAGCGAATATATTCAGCGTGTCCTATTGAGAGCAAGAAAATAAGCATTTGTTTCATTATTATATAGGCAGGGAGGACATACGCTAGCAAAGACGTTGGCTTCCAGACCGGGGATATCCTGGAACAGCCCATCCCCATGAACAATCGCCAGGTCAATGGCGTCGTCTCGAAATGCGGTTGCGCATCTTCTTTCCGGGTTGTCTGCAGTGGTGATCACTCCATACGGTAGGTTGTGGATGGTGAAGGGTGATTTTCCCTGAACCGAGTCGAGGACTGACGTTCTTGTCATTTTGAGCAGATCACTTAGAACAAGCAGAGAACAGTACATGGCCTGCAGGATTCACCGCTTTTATATATCTTGCCCTTCGCCCAGCTGCTGTGTTATGCAGGCGGTGCATGAAGGTAGTACATATAAAGCGTAGACACCAATGACAAAAATGTCGCTGCAGGGCACGTCGTCAGGAGTCGAATGAGGAAGCATAAACGCGACACTGCCTATATGAAGATCAAATGAGAATCGTGGTTTGAAATTGTATGCTGATATTCCATACTGAACTGCAAACTATGGCCTGTATCCCCAATTGCTTTGGTAACTGAGCCCGCTGTCAAGTGCAAGAGGCTTCCCTGCGCTCTGGCCTCCTTCCAAGTCTCGCAGATATTCCATGTCAGAGAATTTTAAAGTAGAATGAAGCAGTTCGCCTGAAGAAACAAGATGAGGTCGAAGATGAAGTGGAAGTTTGTTGCACTTGCCTCTTTCTGCTAGCATCCTAAAAGGGGATAGCTTCCCATGTGACTTGATATCAGGTGACGTCGGAGCAATGGGTTTATCCATTTCCAGGCGCCTTCCCCAAACGGTTAACCGGCAACATCGTGGGATGGGTCAGGGTAAACATTCATCATGAAGGTTCTTCCGATGACTAGAGATATGAACAGGTCTAATCCTTCATATCGTATCAACTGTCGTTGAAAATTTGCTCCCTTGGCTTGCTATCAAGAGCTTGACGAATTCTAGCTCGCCGCTACGGGTGATCGAACGTTCTTGAAAAAATGCACTGAGTTGAACTATTTACTGATCATGATAACTATTTAAAACAGATGGGCGTTATTCATCAAAAGGCAGGCTCCCGGGAGCTGTCGCTAGATGAGATTATGAGTCCCTAACATGGGGATTGAGTGACGGCGGATTAAACCGACTCCTTCTGCTCGCAAAAGCCCCCGGCATCCAACTTGCCGTTCTTGGTCATCTCCGCGAGCTCTGCTTCGGTAACGTCTCCCTCTGGCAGCTGTTTGGCCATGGATACGATGCTCCAGGGCGACGGAGCATCACGGAAGACATGGTTGAGCAGTTCCAGGTTACGGTTCATGGTTTCCGGGAAGAAGAAGAAGACCATGGCGGGGATACAGGCGGAAAGGATGGCGTACATGATATAGTACTGGTAGCCGATCGTGTCGAGGGCGACCGGGGTGATCATCACGACGACGAAATTCCACAGCCAGTGGTTGGCGGTGGAAATGGCGGACATGGCCACGCGAAGGCGCACGGGCGCGACTTCGGTGCAGTACAGAAAGTTGCCGCCCAGGAAGCCGAGGGGATAGAAGGCGTTGAAGAGAAAGATGAACACCACCGAAGCGATGGAGGCGGCTTTGTTCTCGGAGCCGAAGCTGGTAGTGATGGCCAGAGCGGTCATGCACAGGCACATGCCTGTGCCGCTGACCATGAAGATAAACCGGCGGCCGAGTCGGTCGATGGAATAGAAGGCCATGAAGCTGCAGAGAAATTTCCATGTCAGGGCGCATGCGGCGAGGATGCTGGACATTTCGGAGCTCATGCCCAGGTTCTCTTTGAAGATCGTCGATGCGTACACCGAGATGAGGTTACCTCCGCACATTTGCTGGAAGAATTGCAGGCCAACGCAGAGGCAGAAACGGTACAGCAGGCGTTCCTCGTCGTTCTTGGAGAACATTTCCATCAACGAGGCGCTGTTGGCCGTCAATTCCAAGGACGATTCGATACCCGCGATCTCATTACGGATGCTCTCGTCCTCCTCTGGAACCCCGCGGATGGCGGCAAGGTTACGGGACGCTTCTTCAATGCGGTTGACGCGAACGAGCCATCGCGGTGATTCCGGGAGCAGGAAGACCGTGAAGAGAATGAGGAGGGAGCCAGACAGCGAGATGGCCAGCGGGATCCTCCATTGCAGATTACTGTAGTGGATTTTGCTGCAGGCGAAGTCGATCCAGTTGCAGAGGGCGAACCCCAAACACATGAAGATTCCGTCTGCGACGACGTGGCGGCCGCGATTCTTTGCTGCCGAGCATTCCGACTGCCACACGGGCACAGCGACACTGAACTGCCCGATACCAAACCCTAGGATGACACGGCCGACAGTGAACTGGACCAGGCTGTACGCAGCGGTTTGCAAGACCTGACCGATGATGCTGAGGATGGCACCGATGAAGATGGTCTTGCGGCGGCCCAGCCAGTCACCCAGGTAGACACAGGAGAGAGCGCCAAACAAGGCGCCGCACTGGAATGCGGCGACCACAGCCCCCTTGCTGGTCGAGTTGTGTGCTTCAAGCGCGCCCGAGGTGTTGACAGTGTCGATCTGGGGGAACATGTGAACCCAGCTTTGGAGGCCGCTCAACGGACCCAGGCCGGCCTGGTTGTAACCGAAGAGGATGAACGACGGAGCGACGATGTATGCAACCTGGGCAATCCGCAGGGCTCGGCCGGAGAGGCCCATGAACTTGGGCGGCGATCCCATTTACACGGTACTAGGATCACACGCAGGGGAGAGAAAACTTGATCGTGAAAGAGATTTTAATGATGAGCGAAATGGTGAGAAGTTTTGGGAAGGGAGAGACAAGAAGAGAGAAAAGGTCTTATTATTATTACTCCTCAGGGAAGAGGGCTTTCCCCTTGTACTTGGCAGTTGCTGACTATTTGCAGGTTTCCCCTCAACCCCCAGATCTGTGTGAGCCGATCCTTACTGCATTTTGCCTGCTTTCTCCAGCCTATTTTCCTTCTTCCTCTTCTTTTTCACCACATTTGTCCCACCACGCCATACCTCAGTTCTCGCTAGTGACTACTACTGGGTGGCTCAGCGGTGGAACCATCTCTGCCCGGTGTGCGCCTGGGAGTAGTCCGTATGACTGTGAGTATGACTATGGAGTCATGGCCTCTACAGAGTATGGAACTCGGTTTCCGCGGTGTGCTGAATTGATTGCCAAGGCCGATCTCGGTTGGGGAGATGGTCCTTCTAGAAGCCGAAGAGCACTATTGAGCGACAGCTACATCGACGATATCAATTTTGTGAAGTGATTCTTTTTTGTCAAAAGAAAAAGAAAAGCAAAAGGGCAGATTTTTGCTACACGGATCGACCTGAATGAGGACACCGGGAATCCCAATGAAATATTTCTTTCTCCGTCTCGGCCAACGTCCGGCGTGGAGACAGACAGACAGAACGCGCGCACGGAACACAGCAAGCCGTGAACGGGGAAGAAGACCGAAGAAACCGACCCCAACCGTTTCGGGCCAGTGTCGGTCGGATTGATAATAGGAATTCAATAATGGACTCGGTCCGATGGCAGAGCTTACTAACTGGTCACCGGCCGATGGTAAAAGGGTGATTCCTGACTGGGTGCCATTATGGAGTCAGAACGGAATAAGCATTCGGCAAGCATTTCGGCATTGCCGATGACTTGACCGAGGAAGGGCCGAAGGACAGAGATTACTGGCACTACATAGATAAGTGAGGCTAACAGGCCTAGCTATGATATTGGACTGAATTACTACGGAGTAGAGTGTATACTACACTGTACGGAGTAGCGGACCAGGTTAAATTCCAAAATACCTGTGATCACGTGATTATTTTTATGCCTTAGGCCATAATATATTGTTGTAGCCTAAGGCATGCAGGTGTTATAGGCAGCCCTAGAATAAAAGAAGTAGTCCTTATTCAGTACATATATCTTTTATATCTTATTATTATTTACCTGAAATTCTACTATTTCTATAAGTGAATAGAGAGATCCTTTTCAATGGTGGAAGATAGAAAAATATGGTGGGAATCTAGTTAATGAGCCTTTTATATGTCCCATCATCTATATCTAATTATGTCTTTTATAAAGAAGTCTGCTTATAATTTTCACCTATATTCTATTATTCACCACTTCTATTCTATCCCATCTTAAATCCTGGCGATTAATTACTTGATAGAGCTAGCCAGAGAAAAGGGCAGATGACAAAGGGCAATCAATACTCCCAAGTAGAGAAATCCTCCTCCCATTCTGATTCATACCAGCGAGACGACTTGGGCGGTATAGCCAGGGAATACACTGCAAACTCCGCCGGTGTCCATTCCTCGCCCTCTGTTGTGTCACAATCATGGAAGCCGACAAAGTACAGTGGTCGCCTCTCTGCATCCCAGGCCAGATTCTTTGGTGAGCCAAAGGACGGTTCGAAGCCATTTCTAAGGAGGTCCCTATAAATTTTGTCAGCGAAGTTCCTTACTCGAGGTATTGTATACTTGTATCCAGCCTCAAAGGCCACCCGAATCTGCCGACGTTCCTCGCTTTCCAACTGCCAGAACACGGAATTTCCAATTGCGTCGCCCAGTTGGTTTCCGGGCACCTTCTCCCAGACCATCCAGACCATGAAGCCGTGCGGGACAAGGCCGGATTCATCTTGTTTCCCGACCCGGTAGTCCAGGAGACGAGGAGTATACGCAGACTGGGCCCTGGTGAATTGTCTCAACGCCTTCAATTCAGGGGGTATAAACTCGCAGGCCTGCTGTGCGCGGGTGCGCGAAGGCTCGACTTCGGTGCCTTCGTTGGGGACCTGCAGGTAGATGCGCATAAACGCCGAGGATGTCACGCGACGGTCGTGTTTCAGATGGACGAGCAGTAGCACGCAGCTGTACGAGGGATAGTTATACCCAACCCAGCCGGGGATGATGCCAGCCTCGTCGATCTGTAGTTTGTGTTCGTTGATCTTCTGGACGATTGTCCAGCTAGTCTCGTTGAGCTGGATCGTTGTGCCGGGGGCGATCGTCTCTTTGCTGAACCAGGTAAGGGGCATGATTAATGATGAATAGACGAGGATTAGAAGCATAAAACGGTAGAAATAGAGGACGATTGTAGAGGGTGAATGCAGTCAAGAAGTGTCATGGTGATGAGTAGGTACAGGTACCTCCTAGCCTAATTGGAATCCACCAATCAGTCCAGACGAGATTGAGTCAACGACTCTCACTAACAACTTCTTTCATAACAACGATGCATCCAAGAAAGGCTGCCTTGATGGAGATAGATCCATCGAGAATCAAGATTATCAAAGAGATTACGCGCTCTGATGCATCTTCAATATTTGAGGTTGATCTGGATGGACAAACCTACGTATTGAAGGTTTTCCACGACAACGGCGACCCTGGGTATACCGAGAAAGGCCGCGATCTGAACCGATTTCGCTGCGAATCAAATGCATACAAGAAACTCCTCGCCTCTGGTGCCTGTGAGAGCGGTTTCATTCCAAAATTCTACGGCTACCTCGATCGAGTGGACCCGGTTTTATTCCATCCTGCCTTGCAGCATTTCACCCACGACAAGTTACAGCCGAGCGCAATACTGCTAGAATACCTTCCCAATGCAGAGAGCTTGAACTGCGTGAACTACTCGGATGCGCTCTATCCGCAGGCAGTTGAGGGGATGAAGGAGATACGCCAGGCGGGCGTTCACCACCGAGACGTCTGGCCCCGGAATCTCCTCCTTGTCCGTGGGAACCCTGACCGGCTGGTCTGGACCGACTTTGATGTTTCCACCACCTTTACCGACCTTGGAAGTGAGCAGCAGGCTCGCTGTGACCATGAATTCGCACTTGTGAAGGGGATTGGAGATGCATTGGTAAGAGATCTATTGTTGCCTATCTATTGTATGAAAAGCATTTAGCATGCTGACAAGGAATATAGAGAGAGGACCAGGCTGAAGGACTGCCCCCGAATACGAAATTCTATTGAGTTTTCTAGTTTCATGTTTCTGACAAGCGGTCTTATATGGAGCTGGAGAATATGGTGAATTCCTAAGAGTGGGCAGTAACAGCGAGACAACAATCTCAATCCCACAAAATTCCTCCTACCCAGCCTTGACAAGCATGTCGATTCTCTCATTCAGCATCTTCTGGAGCACTTGAATTTCCAATCTCACTCTCTCCCTTGCACCAGCTGAACAAAGGCCGGTCTGCTTCGAAAGCTGCTGGTCGAGCTCCCGCTTCAGCGCGCGTTCTGCTTCCTCCCTCTTCTCCTGCCGCTCCTTATCCTCGGGTGTTTGATGGAATATGAACAGGAGAAACAAGCGGATAAACAAGAATACCCCGCTGACGATAACCACAGTAACGATCAGGGCTGGAACCTGCCATTCGAGGAAGTCGTGCAGCAGGTGGGGGGTCGCGACGAAGCCGATCCGGACGCGTTCGAGCAAACGTTCAGGGTATGAGGGGGCGGCCATTGTAATTTGTCAATTCAATAGTGAACTCCTGGAGTTATTGTGTAGCTTGACAGCTCGAGATCGAACAGCGTATTTATATTCACTCCGTATTAGATAACACGCTGGTCCCAAGGCAGGTGGAAAAAACAACAGAATCGATCCTTCACGAATACCAGTAGATGCTAATAGGAAATAGAAGCGAGTTCACTAATAAATATGAAGAAAAGCAAGGCTGACACAGCCTGAGGCAATTACAGATCGACTGCGCTACGCTACTTCGGGGATGGTTACAGGCGCACTTTAGGCAGCCATAAAACACAGCCCTTATTCCACTCTACCATTTCTATTACTCTGTCTACCAGGTAACCATCTCAGAATAAGGTATCTGCTAATACAGCTACTTACTCAACCACCCGATACATGAGATCTGTCCGCATCGTGTGCTTAACCCCACGAAACACGTCGTCCCCCCCGTGCAGCAGATTGCGCTGCTGGAAGATAAGCACCGACCCGGCGCGTGGGAAGACACGCACCGCGTCCTCAGTCGTCCAGCTGTCCGTGAAGGAGGTTGCTCCCCCGAGCAGCGTCTCGGTCTCTGCTCTGTCTGTCCTCCCTTCATCTTCCTCTCTTCGTGGCTGTTGAGGATGCTTCGACAGCTTCTTGATCGCCTTTTCTAGCTCCTGGATGTCCTGCTCTCCACTCCCATCCAGGTACAGATGGATCGTATACAGTGACCGCTCCGACCCGTCAGGCGTGAGGTAGCATCCATCCCAGTGCGGACGGAAGTACTCCCCTCCCTCGTAGCGGAGGAAGCGAAGCCGCTCGTTCAGCTGGCTGAGATGGAACACCTCGCCGCGTCGTGCGGAGCCTAACCCCGTCACGAGCGGTTGGTTGCGGATCTCCTCAAGCCCACACTCGCGGAAAAAGGGTACCAGTCGGTCGAAGATCCGCTGCGCAATCTCCGGGTTGTCCCATATGATGCGGCCGCAGTCGCGCGTCTCGACGGACATGGTCTGCTTCCCGTTGCCGACGTTGATCATGGCGCGCTCCCAGGGTCCCGTCGTGGTCGCGAGCCGCAGCAGTTCCTTGCATTCAGCCTCAGTCATGAAGTCGTCGATCACCACGGCGAAGTGGTCTTTGAATGCTGGGATGGGCGGTGTCGTCTGCGTGAAGTCGATTCGGCGTAGGGTTGCATTGCGCGCGGGTTGAAGGAGGAAGTTGCGAAGAGATGCCATGATGATATTTTGTTCTAAGTATTATTTCAAATTCAGAATGGCAGTAGGTAGAAAGTCAAGTCATTAGAAATCTAGACGATATGAGGCTGAGTCGCGAGTGGGCGCCTGGGCTGTGTAACTGGAAGTAATACGAGCGAATGATTCATCGGCAATTGATAGGAGTCATCAACAGACAAAATTTCAACAGCACGTAGCTACCATAACTTGCAGCTATCAAAGTTTGAAATGCATATGTTTAAAAAAGCCGATTCATTGAAGATGCTTTTCGTCTCGTTGTTGCATAAGTCATTCTGAATATGTATAGGTAACTGGTAACTAACTATCATGGGGTATCCATATCCATATCCATATCCGTATCCTTCTTTTTATTTCTTTCTTCTTTCTTCTTTACTCCTCTTGCATGTCGTCATCAATATCGAGATCGTCAAAGTCATCCAGCAACTCGTCCATATTGATCTTGGGAACCCCGTCGCCCTCGGACATATCCGTGTCCGCCACGCTCATGGCATCCCGATCGCGGCTCTGCTTGATCTTGTTATCCTTGTAGAGGGCCAGCGTGGCGCGTAGTTCCTCGTCTTCTTCCACATCCCGCAGGAACATCTCGAACTCGTTCTCCACGCGCCGCTGGTCAAAGTCCGTCTTGACCAGCTCGCCTTCATCCTTCGCCATCCGCTTCAGCTTCCAGTTGCGCCGGTTCTTCTTCTGTCGGTTCGGGTAGTGCTTCTTCACTAGCACCACGTCCGGGATCGTCGACCCGTACGCCTTGGACTGCTCGATCTTGTCGAATTCCGAGTTGTTGAAGTTCGTCCCCGTCATCATGTATCCCAGCACGGAGTCACCGGGGTGGAGCAGGTTGCCAAGATGTGTCCGCGTGAAGTACTGGCTGTCGCCACTGAGATCTGTCGCCCGGGCGACGGTCACCTCTGACAAATGCTAGAATCGTCAGTTTTGCTTCGGAAAGTATACGTAAGAGAGAGAGAGAAGTACCCATTTTCCGTGAGCCTGGCCGGTAGGCTCGATGTCGAGAACAATAAATTCCACCAGGTCATTCGCCTCGGCGAGAGACGTGAACGGTGCGCGCCAGTAGATCTTCGAGTTGAGATCGGCCACCTGTAGCGTGCTAGGGTCGAGGAAGGTGATCGAGGTACCGATCCGAGAGCAGAGCAGAAGCGGAGAGATGTTGCCGAGTTGCTTGGCCAGCGGAATCGGCAGCGCGACGAGGTCGTCCTTGCAGATCGGGACGATCTTCACCGAGTACGTGAACTTGTACGACTTGGTCGAAGTGTGGATATCTTCGGAGATGATCTGCTGGGATTTTGTGACCTCGACGGGAATCGCCGTGTTGAGGAAGTTGATGAAAGCCTCTGCGTGATTCCGTTGCCCGAAGAAGAAATCAATACCGTTCCGGGCCTCCTTGATGTTGATGGTATCCTGGTGCGCATTCTTGCGGAGGATAAGTTGCTCGAGGTAGAGGAATGTGCGCTTGTGCAGGACGTTCTGCCGAACCTGGACACTCGCCCGCCAGGTGTTTTGCGTGTACGACTTGGCGCAGTCGGGGCACTGCTGAGCCATAACAATATATGTGACCTCGAAGCTCTGCTGGAGGATGACGCCGTCGTTGACCGAATCCTGCACCGTGATCTTGACCTTGATTCGTCGAGAATGGGGCTCGGTCCAAATGAAGCTCGCATCGATGACCCGGACCTTATTCAACCGCTTCAATTTCTTCAGGCAGAGTGCCAGCAGCTCTCGCGACTCGAGAGCGGCGACCGTCCAGCTGGCGGGGGGGAGGAGCCAACGCTCGCAGTCACGGCAGTAGTTGAGGGCCGCCTCGCGTTGGATACCCTGGGAAATGTCGACCGATGATTTCATGCAGTCATTGCACAGCGTCGTCCCTGTTAACGGAGCCCCGCAGTTGTAGCAAAGCGTCCTAGGCAGACCATGTCAGCAACTGTTTGAATGAACCTTTCTTCATGGTTGGAATAGGAGCATCTTTCTTACGTCGGCACGGCCGATTGTGCGTCGGCCAGCGGGGCCATCGGCATCGGGGGGTCCAACTCCATTGTAGATCTGGAAAACGGCTTCGTAGTTGGTTAGATGAAGTGGTCGTGGACCTTGGAAAAATTTGCCCTCGAAATGTTGGATGATTTTGATTTTTTTTCCCTCTCGCCTTATCATGAATGACTAAGCGCGGGGTTGAAGTCACGTGTATCAGTTATCGCCCCTTTCCGAATCGGGAACTCCACCGGAGGAGAGATACAAAGCCCGAGTATTAAGGATTGCCAAAGAGATATTACGAGTCAAAGAGGCTTTGGAACGTCTATATGATATTTTTGTATAGGAATCATCTACCAAGAGCCATTATCAACCTATATAATTAGCTAAGTATCTACTATAGAGCCGTGATACAACCACACCCCCCCTCCTATGAGACTGTATGTAAGCTCAATATCCCTTTGATGCTATGTTTCTTTAAGAACTACCCTCAGTCTTCTAGTAGCAGATCCACTGTTTTTTCCATCATCGAGTAGGTTAGGCTATGATCTCCGTACCACCTCAATCATACAGTTAAAGATAAGATTTTCTTGCTGAAGAATGCCTAGATAGTAGAATACTAGCATAAAACATGCATGTCCAAACGACGAATCAACTAGCTCGGCTGATATAAGATTAGTTTCAGACTGCACTTGATCACTCAGACCTTGACTTACTCAAATTATGGCCTCCACGTCGGCCGGGCACCCTTGGCCCCTCTAGCCACCTTTCCCTTGGATAAGGGGGTCACCTCCTTGGCCAGAGCGGCCATGCTTCCTCGAAATCGCGAGAAAATTGTCTCCAGCTCCTTGTTTCGTTCTTCAAGAACTTCGAGGCGCTGGGCCTGCTGGCCTCTCTTCTCCACCTCTCTTCCTCCTCCTTATTTTTCTCCTTCTCGGCCTGCCTTTCTGCCTCCTCCCTTCTTCTGCTCTCCTTTCCTTCCCGCCTCCTGGCCATATCCTGCCGTTCTGTGGCCTCCCTCTTTACCCGATCACTAACACCATCGGAAATTAGTAGATGACTAGTTCAGGGCTTATTCAGTATTGATATCTTACCATCTCTCCATCCATGGCAAGACACCCCCGCCCATCATCAGCACCATGTACGCGAATCACAGAACCCACGCCATCACTCGGAAATGATGGATCACGCTCGCAGCGGTCTGGAAGAAACCTTCTGCTGCCTCCATTTTTGGGGTCTCGAAAGATAACTTGGATTTCCTGATGTTTCGTAGTAGCCTTTGATAATTTTAGAAAAACTTCGGATTCCACCATCTTGAGGGAGGAATCTCTTTCGTCTGATGTAGGCTAAATAGTGTGGATGTGGAAGAGAGATGGATGATAGATGAAGTTATTAGGGAGACGCGCTGAGGAGAAGAGAAAAGGCACTCGGTTGCCTAGTCTTTACTAGGCAACACCCACCACCATCCATCAACTTAGGTTGGTACAGAAGCCGGACCTTTGACTACTTTCTTCCCTTAATAGAAGGCAAACCTCTATCAGGTCACATGTAGTATGTAATGATCAATTCACTAGGTGCCTACTTGGAGATACTCTCAGGAAGAGACCACTAGTTCAAGACCTGCAGCAACCAATTCACTGTGTGATCCATCATCTGGTAAGTCAGATTATGCCCAGTCTCCTCCTGTTCGATAAATGTGACCTTATTATTCCCCGCGTACTTGTCCATCCAGGCATGCGTGAACCGACTAGGTACAAGCGGGTCCACTGCCCCGTTCAAGATCAGAATATTCTTTCCCGAGATCCGTTCCAGACTGGCATCCCGGTCCAGGTAGAGCTTTTCAATCGCCTTGGGCCACTCTTTGGTGTCTGTGGGAACCTCGGAAGGGGACTTGTACCCACCCAGACGGTCGAGCATCATGTCCGTCAGATTCGGAGACCCGATGACGATGACCGCATCTGTAATGCGTGGTTCCTGGGCGAGAAGATTCCACGACACATGGCCGCCAAGAGACACACCGCTGGCGATGAACCGTGCCGGGGTGAAGAGCCCGTCGACGTATGCTGCGAGGTATTTGATGACGATCTGTGCGTCACTCACAATTCCGTCTACTTGTGTTAGATAGACAGCAAAGATATAATTTCTGGAATGGAAGAAATCACCGATAGTGGACAGCATATCCTGCCTGCTTGAATCAGCATTAATAGATCACCAGTCAGTGTCAAAACTTACGCATGTCGAGGATTTGAGGCCTTCCAGTCCTGGCTTGAAGTCGATGAGTTTTTGTCCAGATTAATCACATTTTAACTCACATTGAGAGGGTATCGATCTAGAAACAGATTATATATCAGCAACAGGATCCATGGGAAGGATAGCTAAACGTACCGCCCTCGCCCCGTGGTTCCGGTTATCAAAAGTCGCGACGACGAGTCCTCCCATGGTTGCCGGGCTGCGCCGCTCCCTCACATCATGCAGCAGCTGGTGCGCCACGGCTTCGGAGTCCTTGTACGATCTCGTCCGTCCGTGCACATGAAAAAGGACAGTGGTATCTTTCCTTTGCTGTGGTGTCAGCTCGTCCACGCCGTACAGGTATACGTGGAACCCCGCGATGTTGATGGTTGTCTTGCTGGCGCGCGGGGTATCTTCCAGCAACCGGAATCGGTGGTTGGGCTTCATTTTTCTTGTCTATAAGAATATAATAGAAAATGAATAAATAAAGCAGCGAAGATTGATGGTAAATTGGGTCGAATGAAGATGACTGAGGTGAGATGAGTCAGTTGTCAAAATCAGAAAACGACTCTTTTCGCGGCTCACAAAAACTTGATTTTTTCATAAAGGGAGGGAGGGAATCGAGATACACATACAGAGCCAAATAGTAAAATATCAACCTAATTAAATGATGTAGACTATAATTTAGGTGTATATTGATCGTTAATAAATAATTACATATCTAAGTCCATGATATCAGTAGATCTACTATATGTATACTATAGCTTCAAGTAGAAGTACCATATGTGTACATTATATACCTCAGACCTAGGTATTACCTACCTACTTACCTAGCTAGATATTATATTAGAAAAAATTAGTGAATGGGCTGTAACCACTGAATAATGCAGTCTTGACTGACCTGATTATTTCTACCAGGAATCAACTATCTACATATTACAGTCATTGGATTGTCATAGATACAACCAGATGCTCTTCCTTGTTCTCCAAGGACTATGGCTCCTGTATTGCTACCTGATTAAATCAGATATATTGCTGTCTTCTTCTTGTCTAGTACCAGTCATTGTACCACGCAAGTGTAGTGCGATGACCTCATATAATTAACTATATAGACCTCTCGGCACTGCATCAAGTCTTCCTTCCTGGACATCATTGCTTGAATCTTTCTAGTCTCTGCTCAAGCAATAAACGCAATAGATATCTTTTTATCCTACATTTTTTTCCTATTTATATTCATTCCAGCACTTATCATATGGGGGTACTGATATGTTGTCTTATCATCACGCACCTACTGTCGGCGATCATTTCTCACTGGCCCACCTCCTCGCCCAAGAAACATCCCATCAAGCCTTGAAAAATACTACCAGAACGAACGAATAGATGAAAAGGGTCTGGATTGATATGGGGAAAGTATTCATCGTGAGAAGAGCAGAGATTGCCATAATATGTTACTTGAGTAGTCCATTCAGGCTTCCAACGGAGATGACTGCATTTCTATAGGTGTCATTACTGCTATGTCCTTCGCTTTTTGCTTTTCAACTACAATTTTCTTAATCATGAACCTTGGGAGGTCTTGACGCTGTAAACCGAAATAATTCTCATCGCGATGTCTCCTGTCACAATGACAAGGCCTCTCTTGCCGCCTGCATTTCCTCTTCGGACGGCATATTGACGATCATCAAGTATACAACTTTCTGGAACGGGGTTAGCAAGTCATGACTATCTATGTATTTAGAAGAGAGAAAAAACATACCTTCTTGAGAACCTTTTGCACGAAACCCAGCGGGCTTACACCTGTAAGCCCGCCGCCTAATCCACCACTGACTCTGCTCGACAATGACGGTTTTGTGTTTATTGCAGAAGAACTCGAAATACCTCTTCCGTTTTTCAACGAGGTGATGGTGGAAACTAAATCACCGAGTCCTCCGCCTCGTTGGCCGTATGGAGCAGATCCACCGCTACCACGGCTGGCAGTCAACTGACTGAGTGTCCCGCGGCCCTTCAGGTTGGATAGCTTCTCTTCTGTGAGGTATCCCCCTGTGACCAGTCCCAGCAGGGATCCGCTACTTGCCGGGTGGGAAGGGTCGGCGTAGCGAGAGGTGAAGATAGGCTTCGGGCCCATGTTGAGTTCGCTGTCTGGGTTTTCCAGTGCCTGGGCAGTCAGTACTTGCAGCTGTAGCGGACTTTTTTTTTCCAATACTTACAAATTTAGCACGGGCTCTCCGGTCCCAGTAATCAGAGGCAAACTGTTTCTGCTTCTTGAGCTTGCTAAGCTTCTTCTGAATCTCTTCATCATCGGGGAGCTGGTCGAGAACAGGGAATACAAGCGGCGCTGTTTCCGGGAAGGGTAGGTTGCCATACGTGTCGGCGTTGGCGGTTTTGAATTTATGTCGCAGCTTGCCGAACATGTCAGACCCGCCCCGGTCCATCGCGGTCATTACGGTGGAATTCAAGTTAAACGTCGCGTACGGATCGGCAGACTCGGGATTCCACGTCATGATAAGACAGTATAGACCGCGCGGACGGAAGAAGCTGTCGTTTATCTTGTCAAAGTAGGCGTTGGTCCTGTCTATTAGTTAGAAACGGATCATTTGTTCACCAGGGCGCCATAAAGAGATTACTCACTTGCGTCTGCCCTCAGCTGCCATCGCCATATTCGTGGCTATCTGGATCGCAGCCGAGACGAGGAACCCAGTCAACGTGGGCATGAACATCGTCCCGATCGAGGCAAGATTGACGGCTTGAATCCACGGAGAAGCCTGACACGCCTTATTCGACGTCTCGAGAAATTCGAGGAACATTGACTCGTCGATGCCAAAGTCCTGAAGGACCGGAGAATATGCGCGAATAAACCCTCGCATCTGTGACTTGGGTCTGCGCTGGGGCAGCACCACAGGACACGGTAGTTGAGGCGTCTCGGTATATGACGGTGGAGGATAGTTGCGAGCAAACGATTCTGCCAGGCTGATAGTATCGGTATCACCATTTACTGTGTCTTCGTCGGTGATCACAGTGCTGGTCGACTCTGGTCGGCCACACAGCTGATCCTGCACCTCGTCGAGCTCCCACTGGAGCTCATGGCATTCATCCACCTCCCTTTGCTCCTCCCCAATAGCTTCTTCCCGGTCTACCGGCGAGCTACTCCCACTGTCTCTCTGTCTGGCCGCCTTTTGCTTCCTCGCCTTGTGTGCGCTGACGCTCTCCGAGACCAGGCCGATGCCTGCCGCGACGCCCTGGACGGCTCTGGTGCGAAGATCCATTGCAGTGGACTGAAGCTGAAGTGTATGATATCGTATAGTAAGGAAATGAACCTCTCTCTAAAGTTGGATTTGATGGCTGAACCTCCAGGGAGGCTTCGAGCCCATATTTAAACCCCTCTCCCATGATGACTAGATGGCAGCCTCAGGCGCTGCCAAAATGAGCTGTACGAGGACTATCAGGCACCCGCGTTATGATTGGTCCACCGCTCTCCGGCTTGGGGGGCCTTAATCGATGCCGCGCTGTGAATGGACAGATTACTCACCGCCTTCGTATATCGGTTTCGCTATCGGTTTCGCTTCAAGATAAGCTGAAGATGGAAGGAAATTCAATCTACGGATGCTCGTTAAGACACAGCCGCGTTCGTTTAACACCTTCGAGATGCATCAGGATGATGACCAGCCAGCTGAAGAAGGAGTATAAAGATGTCAAGATTCTCGGCCTTGTGCTGGGGACGAACACAATCTTCAGCATCTTGCCTAAGTCGTTGACTCTACAATCTGACAGCCAACTTTCTTTTCAGACTTGAAAGTGATTCACTATTCCATCCAATACCATGTGTCTCGCAATCCCTTTCATCCTCAAGGTTCGTTCGGACAAGAAGAAGAAAAACGGAGCAGGCCCTCGCCTAGTACCGGTCTCCAATGCCAGTCAGCAAGGCTACAGCGCTCACCCGGCACGATAGAAAGGGATAAGAAGTTGGGGGATGGAGAATGTACAGTACATCAGTTTTCTTGATGTCTGGTGAACTCATTTACCTATTTATTGTTGCGTTTTTATACTGACTAGTTGGCTGTATCAGGTATCTCCTACCAAGCCCCGATGCCTCGCCTTCCTTTGAGACGGTTCTAGACGTTTAGAATTCCCTGGGAGCAGTACTATGAGTCAGTGATCTACCAGAAACGTGGATAGATAGGCGATACTATACATTTTATATAGCTGTCAACCGGCTTTTTCGGTGACAGAACGTTATTCCCACTGAGACAGTTCCACCCGTGTGAATACACGTTCTAAAAGACCTGCTTCAAGTAATGGCACATGCCATCGAGCCTAGTATTGTTTTATTATTCGCAGTTCTACCGAGTGGCTTCTTGATGAATGCGGGGTAGGGATCCTTTGGTAGTATCATTGTCTTATCAGTGTGTCGTTCGCCCAACTCACCAAGTCGAAGATAATGAACGGAAAGACTCCTCGACGAGCTGCCAATGCGTGAGTCAGCCCTGAAAGCCTATTGATTCTTGATTCCCTGCTGATCTTCTATAGATGCCAGCGGTGTCGTGCTCGCAAGGTGCGATGCTCGGGCATGCATCCGTGTGACAAGTGTCAGCAGCGACGACTGGAATGTCATTTCCAGGAAGATAAAAAGATTGCCGTGTCGGAGGAGTATATTCATTCGTTTCTTTCTGTTCAAGTTGTATTTTCTAAAATGATATTAGGCTATTTCTATCCATGAAACGTAAATTGGACGAATTCCAGCGGCAATCCTCCCCTGCATCTGCAAAGCGTCTTCGGTTAATTCGAGGAGGTCTGCTGTGCTCTGATGGCGGTAAGATATTCTGTTTCATTAGTCGTTTCTGAAAGCTCATTTCTCTAGAAGAAACAGTCTTGGAATCCCCCAGGGCAAGCGAGCAGAGCAGTGAGTCTGCCGCACATAGTCGCCCCAGCGAAACCCGATTCGAGTCGAATCTACTGGTCGCCCCGCGCTATCTGAAGAATACTGGACGTCAGCGAGCGTGGCGTAATGCATCCCTCATACCTTATGACGCTGGGAATATGCTGACAGCCAACGGGTAGTGTGCCTTGGTCCTACATCGACCTGGTCATTCAGTCGACGGGTATTGAGCATTATTCGGGACCGACTGAATCCCGACAATACCAGCCCGATTCCTCTTGCGGTCGACGGCGATGCATATCAACTGCACTGGGACCAAGCGAGGGCCAATGACCCGCCTGATCTCAGTGGTCTACCCTCCCTTGAATACGCGATATACATGCTTAAGACGGTCCAGTTCCATCTGAACCCGCTGTGGCATCTCATCGACGAAGACGAGTTTGTGAGAAACCTGCATGAGTTCTATAGCAATGCCCCTGTCAAAGCCATTGAAGCGCGAATATGGTATGTCCAGTTTCTGGTTGTTCTCGCATTCGGGGAAGCCATTCTTACCCCTGTCCGCACTGGCACAAACCTTTCATCCTGGACCCGATTCTTCACTCGGGCTATGGCTCTGTTGCCAGACATCACTGCACTTTGGCATGACCCGATCTTAGCCGTGGAGCTGCTAGCCTTAGTGGCACTATATTTTCACTCGATTGACTTGAGGGACTCCGCCTACTGCTATGTATTTCCGTCTCTCTTTTCTAATCACTGTGATCTCCATTCTGATTGGAGAATAGATTGGCCACGCTATGCGCATTGCCCTCGTCGAGGGTTTCCATCGCGCACTCCCCGTCGAGCAGCTGGGGGAGAGACACGTTGAACGATGCAATAAGATCTGGTGGACGGTATACATCCTAGATCGGAAATTCTCTGCTCTGATCGGGGCTCCGAACGCTGTCAACGACGAGGACATGACAGCTACGCCGTGGGATATCAGAATATGTTCTCAGGAAGCCGCGGCGGTAAGTCTACATGTCAAGATTTCACAAGTGATTTCTCGTGCCTTGAACAGTATGTTACATTCTTATCACTTTTGAGAGAGAGTTATGCATCATTGACTTCCAACAGCTGTCTACGCCGTGGATGGAAAACTCGGCGGCATCTTCCTTGGCAGAGTGCGTTCTGTCCTGCATGAAATGACGGGCTTCACGCGACAGCTCGAGGAAGTCTTTGCCCACCGGTTTCACAGCTCGGTCGAAACACTTTCTGGTGTAGCCACGCGGTTGAAGCTAGCATGCCATCAGGTCTGTTTACTATAAGAATGTGTGTATGAGTATCACTGACAAGCAAGTGCATCATTGTCACCGTTCGGCCTCTTGTGCTTAGTCTTCTCTGGGAACGCCTCGCCTGCTTCAACGACGATGAGACTCTGGGCCAACTTTCGTCTCCGGTTCGGACGCTGATCCATGCATGCGTTGAATCTGCCACAAAATCCCTGCGACTACTTATTGCCCTTCGGGAGCACAATATTCTTGGTATTAAAGGTTTTCCTCGTAAAAATAGAAGGAATAAGAGTGTTAACAAGCGCAGAGAGCTTCTTGCCCTTCGATTTAGAAAACGCCTTCTCTGCCTCCTTCATCCTCACCCTTGTTGCCGCCATCCTCCCCGCCGCGCTCCCCGACCAAACCTACCGAGACATGGGCTTCAGTGTCCTGGACGAGATGATCGCACGAGGAAGCCGCGTGGCCCAGCTCCGCAAGTCTGAGATCGAACTTCTGGAAGACCTCGCCCGTCCGCTCAGGCAAGCTCAAGAACAACCTCCTGCACATGGAGAGGGAGCGCAGCAGCAGCAGCACCTCCACCTAGCGACGCCTCTTCGATCCTCCTCCAATCCATCCCCCTTTGTTGAGATGTTGGATCATCCTGTTCCCTCGTCGGCAAACTCGGTCCCAGACGAGGAGATGCTCTTTGATTGGCGGTATTTCGGCCTCTCCTTGAACCAGATGCTTTCCGCTGCAAATGAGCTGAACGCAAGTACTACGGGGGACGAACTGCAGGACCTGTGGCTATGGAGCGATCAGTAGGTGGAAATACTCTATTGTTATTTGCAGAGAATAAGTATCGGTTTAGTTGTTGAGGTATCCTCTTCTTGATATGGCTCAATTCCTGCAGAACATAGGACAATTCACTTAAACCTTGGTAAATGTGGAAGCATAATATTGACTCGAATTATCCTATTAATGGCTTAAACCGCGGTCTTTACTAAACTACATTTTACGACGATTATATAATCATTATGTTATTTCCATCCTCTGTTGCCTAGTCTTCAACCAGAATGACAACATCGTTTTCATAGATACTACAGCCCGACCGTCTATCTAAAATATGGAATTCGGAGGCAATGAAACAGGCTTAGATGCCCTTCTTCGTCGCTCAGAGCAGGAGAGTATCCGGAGACGCCTGCTCAGGTCCCCCGTCACAGTGATCGCAGAACTGATCTACCGCCATTTTTCCCTCCGCGCTGAAAGAAGCCATATCAATGAACAACCCGTCCGCGTGGTGTGTATTTCAGACACACACAACACCCAGCCCGCCTTGCCAGATGGAGATATCCTAATCCATGCCGGCGACCTGACCCAATCGGGGACTCGGGCAGAGCTCGAAGCACAGATCGAATGGCTTCACAGCCAGCCACACCGGTTCAAGGTCGTGATTGCAGGGAACCATGAACTGTGTCTTGACCAGAAGCAATTGACAGAGAGATCCATTGACTGGAGATCCCTTCACTACCTGGAAAACTCCTCTGTGACTCTAGACCTTGGTTGCAGACGCCTAAAGGTATTCGGGTCCCCGTATACGCCGAAACACGGGAACTGGGTCTTCCAGTACGCCCGAGCCGAAAATATATGGGACGATATTTCAATACCCGCCAACCTTGACATCCTCGTCACACACGGTCCACCCCGGACGCATCTGGATCTAGGGCGGTTCGGGTGCCAGTTCCTTCGGGAGTGGTTGTGGTCAGCACAGCGGAAACCCTGTCTCCATGTGTTTGGACATGTGCATGGTGGGTACGGGAAGGAGACTGTCGCCTGGGATGGTCTGCAACGGGCATATGAGGGTGTGATGGATGGGAAGGTCAAATACACCAATCTGGTCAGCTTGGGATACCATGCTCTTCTGCGAGTGGTGGGTATTGTGAATCCAACTCAACGTACTGTGTTCGTGAATGCGGCTGCAGTGGGAGGCGTTCGAGATGAGAAGCAACGAGGTGCTATTTCTGTTGATATTTGAGGCATTTGTCAATGTAGACTGCGTTCTCCTTCCATCGAGCACGCAGGAAGAGTCAGGGGAGGAGGTAGTGGTGAAGAAAGTCAGAAAAGATAAAATTAAGAGGAGCTCGGTGAGGCAGGTGACCATCAGGTGACTACTGGGTATCTATGGTCTATCATTAAAATCTAATAGCTACACTATAGAGATATCCCTGCCAGTATATGGATCTGTGCATCAGACTGGGTAGTAGACTATATATTATTCATTTCCTCTTTATTCATCTACTAGTGCCTAACCTATATATTATAGGTATATCACTGCTATAGTCTCTTTTAAATTATCTACCCAGCCAGTTCAATATCTCCTATTGCCGACTCACAAAAGAATCTGCCTTGAAGCTGAGAAAATAGTCATGCCTGAGGCAGTATATAATGCCTGAGGCATAAACACAGCCTAGGCTCTACCGGGCTAGCGCTACACGTGCGATACCAACCGCTCTAAACCCCTTTCGGAGCAGGCGTCCCAGTGAGGAAAACGATAAGCAAAGAAAATCAAGAAATTAAAAAAAAACCTGGAAATCAACACTTTCTTCCCCTCCTCAACAAAACGTCGACGGCCCTTGGGTGAGCTCCCCTCCATCGCCCTTCACGGTCCGAATCAACTGTGAAGCCCATCATCTAACTTCATGATTGATCTCTAGTATATTGGATCTGCACCGTGCCCGTCTCTTGACAAACAGCTCCCCTGGGAGTCCCCGCCAGGTTGTCCCTCCAGCCCACATCTTCTCCCGCGTAACACTAATACTAACCAGCCAGCCAGCCAAGCCCACCATGGCCGTCATCGACACCTCCAAAGACTTGGCTGCTCTGTTCAGACAGCAGGCTCTCAAGACCCCGGACGCCCCTGCGTTGGAAGACCACACGGCCACATATACATATGCGGAGCTGGACCGCGAGGTGGACGCTCTTGCCCAGCGCCTGCGGAGCTACGGGGTGAGTCGAGACAGCCTGGTTGGCGTGCTGCTGCCGCGCAGTGCGCATTATGTGATCGCCTGTTTGGCTGCCCTGCGTGCGGGGGGCGCGTTCCTGGTGCTGGAGCTGGCGTACCCGCCCGATCTGCTGGCGGATGTGCTCGACGATGCCAACCCAGCCGTGGTGGTCACCCATCGGGCGGAAGTCGGGAAGATCAAAGCCAGCGTTCCGCTGGTCGTTCTTGACGAGCCGGCCAAGGATGCCAACGGCCATACCAAAGAGCCCGAGCCCTTGCCGTCCGACCATGACTTGGACCGCCTGGCCTTTGTGTCGTATTCGTCAGGTACCACGGGTAAACCCAAGGGAATCGCGAATCCGCATCGCGCCCCCGTGCTTTCGTATGATCTGAGATTTGACATCCAGGATCTCCAACCGGGAGACCGTGTCGCTTGCAACGTCTTCTTCATCTGGGAGATCTTGCGTCCCCTGCTGCGGGGAGCCACCGTCGTAGCGGTGCCGGACGATGCGAGCTATGATCCCGCTGCGCTCGTCGACCTACTGGCCGCCAAGCGTATCACCGAGACTCTGATGACCCCTACCCTGCTGGCCACTGTCCTTGCCCGTCACTCCCGCATCGGAGCCCGCCTGCCAGAGTTGCGCACTTTGTGGCTGAACGGAGAGGTGGTGAGCGCCGATCTGGCCCGACGGGCCATCAAAGCCCTTCCAAACACACGTCTTCTCAACTGTTACAGCGCCTGCGAGACTCACGAGATTGCCTGTGGAGATATTCGGGAGATGCTGGATGACGAGGCCACTTACTGCCCCGTTGGCCCGCCCCTGGACCCTGAACACACATACATTCTGGACGAAAGTGGCCAGAAGGTCCCCGAGGGCACCAGCGGCGAACTCTTTGTTGGTGGTCCTCTCCTGGCTCGGGGATACATCAACCGGCCTGAGACCACGGCTCGGGCGTTCACGCCAGATACCTTCAATCCTACACCAGATGCTCGTATGTACAGAACCGGGGATCTAGCGCGGATTCTTCCGTCGGGACTGCTTGAGATTACCGGTCGTGTTGGAGCCATGATCAAGCTCCGCGGTTACTCTGTTGTTCCTGGCAAGGTCGAAAATGATATCGTCAAGCACCTCGCCGTCAGTCGCTGTGCTGTTGTGCCTCACGGTGAGGGCCTAGAGCGTCAGCTTGTTGCCTATGTCGTCCGCGACAATAAGGAAGCTTCCGCCGATCGTCCTGCTCTCGAGGTCAATGAATCAGGCCACAGCCCTGCGGCGCGTCGTATCCTTTCGCCCTATCTGGCACTCTATATGATCCCAGCTCTGTGGGTGGAACTGGATGAGCTCCCCACCCACGAGGTCTCGGGCAAGGTCGACCTAAAACACCTCCCCCCGCCGCCAACTCCGAGCCCCGTCAATGGCACCAGCCCGGCTGCTGGAAAGGAAAAGGACCCGGTCAATATTGATGAGGTCGCTTTGATCTGGGCAGCAACCCTGAAAACTTCACGGTCGCTCTTGAAGCCGACCGATGATTTCTTTGATCTGGGTGGACATTCCCTCTCGCTTGCCGATCTTGCTTCCAGACTGTCGAAAGTCTTCGGCTTCGCTGTCCCCATTGCTCGTCTTGCAGACAATACAACCCTCAACGGTCATCTGGAAACAATTCGTGCGATCAGAGATGGACATACTGCGGCAGTGCAAGCAGACCTACCAGCTGTCTTACGTGCAGACGCCGCTCTCGATGAAGACATCAGACCTTCGCCAAGTGTGCAGATCTGTTCGGTCAACGACGCCAATACGATCCTCTTGACCGGTGTCACTGGGTACCTGGGTGCCTTTCTACTGAACGATCTGTTGGAGAGCACTTCGGCTCACATCATCTGTCTGGTCCGTTTCAACAATCCCGAAGATGATGATAGGGCCGGCGGTGTGGCCAGGATCCGCCGGAACCTGCTTGACATGGGCCTCTGGCGCGATTCGATCATGGAGCGTGTCGAGGTGCTCCCGGGCAACCTTTCTCGATCTCGCTTTGGTCTCTCGCGGGAAGCCTTTGGAGAGCTCGCCGAACGTGTCCAGGTCATCATCCATGCCGCTGCGACCGTGAACCTGGTGTACCCATATGCCGCCCTACGAGGCGCTAACGTGGGCGGGACGCGAGAAATCCTGCGTCTGGCATGCAAGGCAGGCGCCACGGTGCAATATGTGTCCACCAACGGAGTCTTGCCCCCGTCTGGTGAGAGTGGCTGGCCCGAGACGACTATGCTCGATGTCGACGACGTTCCCGCCAAGTTGCTCGATGGATACGGACAGACCAAGTGGGTTGCCGAGCAGCTCGTTCTCGAGGCCGGCCGTCGAGGATTGCCAGTGAAAATCCACCGAGCGGGCACAATCAGCGGGCATAGTGTCACCGGCGCTGCAAATGCCTGGGATCTCCTGTCCGCGTTGATCGTGGAGTCAGTCAAGCTCGGCTATGCCCCCGACGTCGAGGGCTGGCGTGCTGAGATGACTCCCGTGGACTTTGTTAGCAAGGCCATCATCCACCTCGCCAATCAAACCCAGGCGGAACAGGTCGTGTTCCACCTCGGTGACCCGAACCCTGTCGATACACGAGCCGTTTTTGACGCCCTGAACGAGCTCGGATACCCCACCCAGCGGCTCGGCTGGGATGAGTGGGTTGCGCTGTGGACCTCCAAACGAGGCAACGTCAAAGGTGGTGACGGTGCCTTCACGGTCGACATTCTTCGTAGTGGCATGCCGACGGTCGAGTTCCTCCGGGGCATCGTCGTACTGGACAACGCCGCCACGAGACCCTTCCGCTCGGCCGTTGAACGGCCCAAGGTCGACCGCGTTCTGCTGGAGACGTACACGCGTCATTGGTTCGCCAGGGGCTGGCTCCCACGGCCCCCAGCACAGCAGAGTGCCCTCAACGGAACTGCAAAGCCTGCCTCCCGTGGCCCGCTGAGCGGCAAGGTTGCCGTCATCACCGGTGCGTCTTCTGGCATTGGAGCCGCAGTCGCGGCCGCTCTAGCAAAGGAAGGCTGTCACGTCGCACTTGGTGCTCGGCGCCTCGAGGTTCTCGAAGCCACCAAGCGCAAGCTCGCGATCCACGAAGGCAAGGTGGTCATCCGCCAGACCGACGTCACCGACAAGGCACAGGTCGAGGCCCTCTTCCGTGCAGCCAATGACCAGCTCGGACCCGTCGACATTCTCGTCGCCTGCGCTGGGGTCATGTACTTCACTATGATGGCAAATGTGCAGACAGACGAGTGGGAGCGCACCGTCGATGTGAACTGCAAGGGTCTTCTCCACTGTCTTTCGTCCATCGTGCCGGGCATGCTCTCGCGCGGTAGCGGTCACATCGTCGCCATCTCGTCCGACGCGGGCCGTAAAGTGTTCCCGGGCCTGGGCGTCTACTCGGCCAGCAAGTTCTTCGTCGAGGCCACGCTGCAATCGCTGCGGCTCGAAACGGCAGGCAGTGGACTGCGCGTGACCAGCGTCCAGCCCGGTAACACGGCGACGGAGCTTTTAGGCATGTCCACGGATGCCGAGGCGATCAAAAAGTACGGAGAGCCCACTGGGGCACAGATCCTCGACCCAGAAGATGTCGCCAACTCGATCGTCTACGCGCTGCGTCAACCAGCACACGTCGCTGTGAACGAGATTCTGATAGAACCGCGAGATGAGCCGATCTAGACAAGCATCGTTTCTCTTAGATTTCTTCCTTCCTCTCTTGCTCTATTTTCGGCCTTTTCTTCGACCACGATCTGTCTTGCTAGTAACGATCTTTTTTGTTTGCTAATGGCTAACAGGAGTTGCTTTTACCATGGTATATTTTAGACGAGAGGATATACGTACATATCAATCACTGCAGGGATAGATACTATCCTAAAAAATGACATCGCATTTAATAATAATCTCGATTCAGAATCCATGCCTCGTTGGAGTGGTTATCTCGTAACTACACTGTAAGATCAAGTAGAACGAATGCTAGCAATGGAGATCCTTGTTTGTCTGGAGCATCAAGAAAAAAGGAATATAATGTCATAAATTTAGTCCCTTTCAACAAGCATCCGATATGGTGTAGTGGCTAACATCGGCGTCTCTCACACGCCAGCCAGGGGTTCGATTCCCCTTATCGGAGTTCTTTTTTTCATGCCTTTTTTTGTGCTTCTTCTAATTTCTGACGTTCTTGCTTTCTTTCCTCTCTCCTTTTTTTGAATGATTAGGATATCTAGTACTATGTCTGTTGACTGCCTAGGTTTTCTATTAAACAACTACCATTTACTTCCCTGTCATGATAGTCAGTTATACGTGACTATATGGCATTATAGTACAATTTAATATCACTGTATAGTGTATCCTCCTACAGTCACTACACCTAGACAAGTTCTACATCGATCTGACATCACAGTGAGAGGCTATAGGACTAATTATCTAGAAAAGCTGAAGGAGTTCATCATCCTGACCAGGGCGGAGATGATGATGAACATCTTGTATCCCAACACAGAAGCCGCATTGTATATCACCTTGTCTGAGGTATACAGGTCCCGGCCCCCGAGGATTATCCTGGCGATGACTGGCAACCAACTACAGCGGGAGAGTACGTTAAACCTACCTAAACAGTGAACACTGACGCCACCTATACGGTGGGATATGTGGGCGGGGCCCATGCAGAAGGACGGAGTAAGCACGTCGATCAATGGATTATTATACCTCTCGAAACCTCGCCTATAACCACAATGTCAGACAGGAATAACCTTGCCACGAGGAGGGGCTCTATGTATTTGACAGAGAGTCAGAGTCACCAATTGTCTCGGGGAGGGAGTATGTATGATACTCTCGTCGTATCGGGTACCTGTCCTAACAATCAATATCAATGATGAAAATGATCTGCTTGAGCCGAAATCGGTAGACCATTTTAGCCTGACGAAATCCTGCTTGGGATTTGGATCGGGTCCACCAGGAATGGATCGGGGTATAAGCTGAGGGACATCTCAAACGCATCACACTCGGCGACAATATACTATTATTGGGTACTCCTAACCTCAAGGCAAGGCAAGGGAACTTCGGAGAAATGCCGGTTCTGGAATAATGCACTGAAGAAGCGCTAAAATAGTCGTCAATGGGGACTCGTTCATTGGCCATGAACAATATTCCCGTGGACTAGAGGGTTCCACACGTTTGAAAAACGACGGTGCAGATTCTTTACTTTGACGTAACTGTTGTTATTATTATTCTGGACACACGGTGGAGAATAAAAAAAAAAGGGCACGAAAAAAAAGAAACTCCGATAAGGGGAATCGAACCCCTGGCTGGCGTGTGAGAGACGCCGATGTTAGCCACTACACCATATCGGATGCTTGTTGAAGAACCTGCCCGCTTATGGCTCTATGGACCAGAGTTTAACATAAAATGCTAATGTTCAAATGTTCAACCGACTCCTATCGCCTGTCAGGGTATTTCCTTCCTACTACCTAGCTAGTATCAAATATATAGCATCTCTAGTCCCTCCATACCTCCCAAGTCAATAGCATCAACCGTTTGAGTATTCTAGTGGTAGAGTGCTGTATTTTGTGATCCCAGAGAATGTAAGATGGCTACCTAGGTAGCATTCAGTGACACACCCCTCATATAATAGACAGCCCCTGCTAATAGCCTCACGCTCATCAGCTGCAGGGGAGGTCGCAAGTCTGCCCAGACATGGTGTTTGGGGCTCGAAACTCAAGCTTTATATGGATATGTTGCGGGTATACCTGTGGTGCCTTGCCAGTACTAGGATAGACGACAGGATCAAACGGGCGCCTTGATCGACTATGTGTTGGGTGTACGGTAGGTGCCAGTGACTCTCGGTCTGTTGGTTTTGTTGTTATGCGTACTAGTGTTTATTTTGCCATCATCGATAGTGTCTATGTGAGTTGTCGAGAACAACCACCCGCTACTTTTATATATATCCATTCTGCACTGAGACATACCCAACACCCATATTATCATAGGTAAGATACGATAGCTTGATACAGATAACGATTTAAGTGCAAGTAAGGTTATTCGTTCTTAAGTAGAATATAGAAGACTTATTTCTTCATTATAAGGTCGGTTCATCTTACATCGTGGGAATTAGGTGGAATGGGGCTTTGAACGGCTTTTAGTTACCAGATTTCTGCATAGATAGGCTTATATTGCCATAAGTGTGTGGGTTACTCAACAAGATCCGATATGGTGTAGTGGCTAACATCGGCGTCTCTCACACGCCAGCCAGGGGTTCGATTCCCCTTATCGGAGTTTCTTTTTTCTTTCCTTCATTTTTTTTCCGCCGAACTTCAAATCTATGTAGTAATTATTCTCCACCACATGAACAGAATATGTTTTTTCAGACGTCGAGAATTATCTAGACCTCAAGACAGAGGCTGCTACTATCTGTTGTCCCTATAATGACGACAGGTGTCTCTTTTGGTAACTAGTTATAGACAGAGTTCATCCATAGTTCCTGGATACGAACTGGACTAAGCAAGGAGACGCGGAGATCCTCCAAGTCGAGAATAGAGATCTAGTCTAGTAGCGCTTCTTATTAAATGGCGGTCGAATCATGATGATTGCTAGTCTAAATAGCTCCATGACAATCCCTGAACTTGGTGTGCTCGGACGTCTCCAAACCCTGGTGAACAAAGAATTTAGAGGAGTACGGTACCCCGTAAGCATCCAAGTAGAAACTACCTAACCTCAGCAGTAGTGCCAGTGCCAATCCTTACAGATATCATGGCTAATTCAGAGTTCGTCCCGAGAGGGAGACAAAGCAGAGTAATAAGGGCAAATGATGGTTCCAGGACCGAGGATCCGCTCCACAGACCCGAGGTTTTGCGTGGTACACCTAAAATTCAACGAACGGAACGTGGTTCCATTTAATAGTAGGGAGGTATGGCATATGTTGTGTAACAAGAGGCATACCTTGTCCAAAGAGCACGAGTCTGGCCATAGCACTTACTACTGGACTTGCATTTCACCATGTAAAGTTGCCAACGTCCTTGAGAACGAAGTAAGCGAGTACAATACATAACTGATGATAGATTGGTTGCGCTGGAATCCATCCCCTTTCTTGCTTCAACTCAACGCACAGATCCAACTTACTACTAGTGGACACTGTGTAGTGCACACTGACCCTTCCGTGCCCTCCCCGAACAGGTACCAGATGAGCATCGGCGCCATGGTGACTAGCCCATGACGCTTTCGGTGGGGAAAGATCGGCAAGATCGCAATGCTAGGGCATCTTGGCTCCATCCCCCGGCGGCGATCCCTCTTACGTATCACGTTGGAGGTTTTCTTTTTCCCTCACTGACTCGGCATGAGACGGCGCAAACGGCTGCTTGTCGCGACTCGTAGGAAGTATCGGGTCCTTATCAAGAGATCAGCACCAAGCATGACGACAAAGAAACCAATACTATCAAATGGAGGACAGGATGAAACCGATCACTGATATTCTCACACCGGCGCTTCTTCGGTAGTTCTGGACCGTAGTAGTTCCTTGTCGTGCGGAACGCATGAGGACCTGACCAACTGACAAATAATGATAGACCCTAAGCGGTTGGCTAGAGGCCTGGAGCTTCCGAGTGAAGCCATGGGGAGCCAGCTCAAGCCAGAAAGCTAGAAGCATTCTAGCACGGTGAAGCTTTCTCGAACCAAATGTGGAGTAGGTAGACTCAGGCCCAAACAGCTAGCTCCTCAGATCTTGTTGGGACCCTAGCACTTTCCAAGTAAGGATATCGGGTAAATACAAAACATCTGGGTCATAAAATTTCAGGTCCACTTGGTGTTCAGCTTGTCTCCAGGGCAAACCAAGGCCATGGAAACAAAGCCAGGGGATGTGTTAGGAGCTACAGACAGACTGGAACAGCCAGGGACAGTGGGGAACAAGCGCAAGCCGTACCCCGTACGGAGTAAACATTGCAGAACAAGCTGAACATTGTATATGTCATCCAGAATGGTAATAATGAAGCCCGAGTATGAAATTCTGTCTTCGAGTCTGCCCTGCGCTTGCCCCGAGTATCAACCTGCCGTTCTTGTTGTTGATATTGAAAATTACTTGCCTTTAATCTTTATAAATATAACCAATCTTATTATTGGCAGACCATTCGTTCAAGTCTGTACACCTATAATACCATTCTTCAGCATGTCTTGTTGTCTCCCACCATTCCCCAACCCGACAGATCACGCAAGGCTCCCGGAAGTCGTGTATCTGAACCTTCCACAGCCCCAGCAGGAGCAGCTGAACCGGGCTGCCGCGCCAGAGCTGTTACTACAGACTGCCTGGGCATTGCTTCTCCGCTGCTACACTGGCTCGGACGAAGTGTGTTTCGGTTGCTATCAGAGCAACTTGGAGGATCAGGGAGCATCTGCAAATATACAACCCGTCAGCTTCAGCATTGCAGAGAGTGATCTTCTCCAGGACCTTGTCCATCACCGACAGACCTTGGAGAACGCACAGGGCGATGAGGCAAACCGGCTATTCAACACAATCATTTGCTTTGTGAAAGTCCAGACAGAAACCCCGTCGTCGATACCCCAGTCCGACAGGAACCCTTTGCCTGAGACTGTGCGTTAGCTCCTCCAGTTCTAGGCCATACTTACTGACTCCCATCATTCTATAGTGTCGTATTCAATTCCTTGCCGAACAACGCCCCGAAGAGACTCGCCTGGCCCTGGAATATTGGAGAGACGAGGTTTCGAGGGAGCACGTCACGTGTATGGGCAGCGCGTTGGGTCATGTGCTGCGCTTGCTTCTTTCGGAAGGAACCTGCGCAGTCCGCAACGTCGACCTCTTCACCGACGAGGATTTGCAGCGGCTGGCTCGATGGAACACAGCTCTGCCACGGACACAAGAAATTTGCGTTCATGAAGTGATTGGGGGGCAGTGTCGGTTGCAGCCGGCGAAGGACGCCATCAGCGCCTGGGATGGACGGCTGACGTACAGCGAGTTGGACGCGCAGACGTCGCGTCTGGCGCACTACCTGCAGTCCCGGGGGGTTGGATTGGAAGACAGGGTTCCTCTGTGCTTCGAGAAATCAGTATGTGGTCTTGTGGTTGATATTTATTTTCATATGTGAGACAGTGGGCTAATGTTGATAGAAATGGTACACTGTGGCGATGATTGCGGTGCTGAAGACAGGGGCTGCTTTTGTACCCCTGGATCCCTCTCATCCAAAGCAGAGGTTGCAGTCCCTCACTCAGGCTGTCGGGGCATCGATTGTGCTTTGCTCAACCAGATACACGGTCACGTTGCAGAACAGCGCTGTGTCTGTACCGATCATCGCGGTGGATGATTCCCTTCTTGAGCAGTGCACAGAGATATCGGTTTCTTCCACCGTGAAACCTGGGAATGCTGCCTATGTGCTATTTACATCTGGGTCAACCGGTGAGCCGAAGGTATGTTGTATTTCCCCTGGTGATATTTGATGCATTGTTCACTGACTCTTTCAGGGCACATTGGTTGAACACCGGGCATTTTCGTCGAGTTCGCTCGCCCATAGCGGACCGCTGCGCATCAATTCGGACTGTAGAGTATTTCAATTTGCTGCACACACCTTCGATGCGAGCCTGTGTGAGATCTTGACCCCTCTGATGAACGGAGCGACTGTCTGTGTGCCGAGTGAGGAAGCTCGCGTAAACGATCTCGCGGGTGCCATAAATGGTTTCAACGCAAATCATCTTTGTCTTACTCCTTCTGTCATTGAGTTCTTGAGCCCTTCCATGGTGCCAGAAGTGACGACTCTCGTTCTGGCAGGCGAGGCAATGTCTGCCTCGCAGCGTGATATGTGGTGTCACAAGGTCAACCTCGTCAATGGCTTTGGTCCGACGGAGACGTCCATAACATCTGCAGTTAACTCCACCGTCACCGTGCAGACGGACTGCAGGGATATCGGGACCCCTGTCGGAGGCTTCTGTTGGATTGTAGATCCACAGGACCACAACCGACTGGTTCCAGTCGGGGCTCCAGGAGAGATGCTTGTTGAAGGGCCTTCGCTCGCGCGCTGTTATCTGAATAACCCGGAGAAAACCGCAGATGCATTCATCTTTGACCCGGCCTGGACTCAACAGTCAAAGGATAGAAATCAGCCACGGCGGCGATTTTACAAGACGGGCGATCTAGTGCGATATAACTCTGAGATGGGGACACTTTCATACGTCGGCAGGAAAGATACCCAGGTCAAGCTGCATGGCCAGAGAGTTGAACTAGGGGAGATTGAGAGCCGGCTCAGTGCGGATGGCGATGTTCACCATGCCCTTGTGCTCGTTCCCCGAGCCGGGTATGCAAAAGGTAAGCTGACAACTGTTGTCTGTCTGTCCGGCTCCTATGAGGTCAAACAGGAAGAGCTTGTCTTGGATGCATCGCCCGCCACACAGAGCCGTATCTCTGGATTGCGGCAACGTTTGAGCTCTCGCCTGCCTTCTTATATGATCCCGAATATCTGGCTAAACGTCTCGTCTCTTCCCTTGTTGCCATCTGGGAAGCTTGATCGCAAGATGGTGGCTCGATGGCTGGTTGAGATAGTGGACGATCCTCAATTCCAACCGGCCGAAGACGACACCCAACTGTGTCCAGAAAATGAGACCGAGAAGCAACTTGCGCTGATCTGGAGCCGTGTCCTGAATATCCCTTTGGCCCGAATAAGGTTGAATGATAGCTTTTTGAAACTGGGAGGCGACTCCCTGGCTGCTATGACCTGCGCCAGTCAATGTAAAAAGTCAGGGCTCGGTCTCAGTGTCCAAGATATCCTGCGTGCCCAATCAATCCGCGAGCTCGCTCGTCACACAACCAGCATCAAATCCGTTGCTACCTACCGGGAAACCATTGATGAGTGGTTTGATCTCTCCCCAATTCAGCATTTACATTCTCTTGTCAGAAAGGAAGACCAGGGATACTTCAACCAGAGTATTCTGACAAGAGTAAACGAGAGAGTCAATATCGCCAAACTCAGACAGGCTGTGGAGGCCCTGATTTCCCGGCATTCCATGCTGAGGGCTCGTTTCTCCCTCAGTGGACCCGAACAGAAGATGCGACAACGGATCACGCGAGAAGTATCATCTTCATATCGCCTGGCTGGGCATACGGTTGCCGGTAAGCAAGAAGTTGACGCCATCATTGGGGATAGCCAGCAGAGGATCGACTGCGTTGCGGGCCCCGTCATGGCTGTGGATCTCATAGACGTCGCAGGCCAGGGCCAGTTACTGTCTCTTGTCGGTCACCATTTAGTCGTGGATATTGTATCCTGGCGACTGATTATAGAGGAGTTGGAGGAGCTGATTTTGGACGAGGGCAAGGCTGCTATGACAAGCTCATCGATGCCATTCCAGACGTGGTGTGTTCAGCAGGCCGAGCATTGTGGAAACTTTGGCAATGAGCTTAATGACATTCCGTTATACGACGACCATCGCCGCCTTTTATCATTTTGGGGCGTGGATGAGTCCTTCAACACCACTTACGGCGATGTACAGTGTGCTTCGTTTCAAGTAGATCTTCAGACCACATCCTTGATCCTCACCGGATGCCACGAAAGTTTGAAGACGGAGCCAGTTGATGTGCTTCTAGCATGCCTTCTCAAGTCCTTTTCCCTTGCATTTCCAGACGGTCCGGCCCCAGTCATTCATAATGAGGGCCACGGCAGAGAGCCATGGGACGCCTCGATCGACATTTCGCGCACTGTGGGGTGGTTCACCACCTTGTATCCGATCTGGTCACGGCAAATCAGTGAACAGGACCTGGTTCAGACGGTAATTAATGTCAAGGATAATCGTCGTCGGGCTGTGGACAATGGCCGAGCGTTCTTTGCATATCGCACCCTGACGGAAGCGGGCCACGAGAAATACCCGCATCCGACGCCGATGGGAATTAGCTTCAACTACCTCGGCCAGAACCGCGACTTGCAGAGACGAACAGGCCTTTTCAATCTGGCTGACCAGATGGTCGGAGAGACGCGAGAAGGTGGCGGTGCTGCTGACTTCGGCCGTGACACGCCTCGCTTCGCCCTGTTTGAGATTTCAGCGGCAGTCATTGCTGGACAGCTGCGCTTCACATTTTCATTCAACAAGTCAATCCGCCATCTGGATCGGGTAGCGGACTGGCTGTCTTACTGCAAGAGCATACTCAATGACTTGTCTCGCCAGCTGCACGCTTTGCCTGCAACGCGGACACCTGGAGATTTCCCTTTGCTCCCGGTGACATATAACGAGCTCCAGAAAGTCTGCACCGAGACTCTGCCGCAGCATGGCATCGCATCTCTGGACCAAGTGGAGGATATGTACCCGTGCACACGAATGCAGCAAGGAACCCTTCTTAGTCGTTATCGCAACCCAGCCTTGTACGCTGTGCACATCACTTTTGAAGTCAAATTCCCTGGCCAGCAGCAGCCCAATACAGACCATTTGGTCGAGGCCTGGAATAGACTGGTGTCATACCATTCTATGCTGCGGACAGTCTTCGTTCCAAGGTTGACAGCCAATATTCCTTTTGCCCAGATCGTTCTGAAGGCCGCTACTACCCGGTCTACCCGACTGGAGCGTGATGATGAAGCCCAGGCCATCGCTGCCTTTGAGAGCCAGAACCCCGTTGAGTCTTATGCTACACACCGCTTTTCAGTCTGTCAGACCCGTTCTGGCCAGCTCTTCTGCCGATTGGAGATGAACCATGCAGCCATGGATGGTGGATCAATTTCGCTGTTGTTGCGCGACCTCCGACGTGCACTTGGTGGGGGTGCAGTATCTTTTGATAACATCAAATCTAAGCCGGACTTCAAAGCATTTGTTCATTATCTACAGCGACAATCACCAGAGCTTGGTCTAGACTACTGGTGTTCTTATCTGAAGGATATTCAGCCGTGCCATTTTCCAGTAAATACCAGTGGTACACCTACAGGAAATCTTCGCACTCTCCGGGTCGAATATCCAGATCTGGAAAGACTTCACACTTTCTGCCAGACGACTGGAATCACGCATTCGACTGTTTTCAACGCAGCTTGGGGCTTGTTATTATCGTCACTCACTGGGTCGGATGATGTATGTTTTTCGTATACGACTTCCCTACGAGATGCCCCCGTCAACAAGATCGACGCAATCATTGGACCTATCATGAACCTGGCTGTTTGCCGGGTAAAGCCTACCACCGCTGCAACAATGCTGAGCGTGTTGCAACACATGCAGAGCGATTATATGGAATGCCTTCCTTACCGCTCGTGTTCCCTGATCGAAATCCAGCATCGCTTGAAGCTGGCCCAGAAGTCCTTGTTCAATAGCGGAGTGTCGTATAGAAAGCTCCCTGCGGAGCCAAGTAGCGACACTCCTTCTGTGGAATTTGTTCAAAAGGGTCTCATTCACGACCCAGCAGAGATGGCTGTCTATATCAACGTTGAGGCTGAGGACCGGCAGGCGCAGATTGAGTTGAACTACTGGACAGATTGTTTGTCCTCCGAACAGGCGCACACATCAGCGACTCTATTTTTGGCTCATGTTGATTCGATCATTGACTATGCTTCCAGAGGCTGGACAGAGCTGCTTGTGGCTAGTGATGAACAGAAAGCACAATTCCAAGCCCACTTTTCATCAAAGATCCCCCTCACTGAGATCGAGTCCTGCTACTTGCTCGAGTTGGGAGATGCGTCGGCCAAGCACGGATTACAATCGGAATACAGGACTCTCAAGCGAGCAACTAAATTATACACATTCTGCCAGGAAAATACTCTTTCTGCATCTGCAGTTTACGGCTTCGTTTGGGCTATCCTTTTGCGACTATACTCAGGGTCTCCAGAGGTTTGTTTCGGAACTGTGCAGGACCGGAAGTCTACCCACCCTCTGGGTATCTGTAGTTCTCTTGTTGAGGACGATGCTTTTGTTCTTGACGCCATTCGCCAACAGCATTCTATACCTTTGCCGGATGGTTTTGAGTCGTCTCAAGATAACCTATTTAACACTGTACTTTGCGTCAACCCCTCATCCGATGCAGACCTCACCGCTTCTGGTATTCTCAGTCATCTTGAAAGTGGGAAGTTTGCTGTTGCCATCTGTGCCTCGTTGACAAGCACGTCCGGCACCATCAGTGCCCACTATTCGCCGAAGAGTGTCTCAAAGGCTTACATCGACAGTCTGATGGCCTGCTTCGAGCACATCCTCAACCAGCTTCCTTCAGCTGGTCTCAAGAAGCGCATCGGGGATTTGAATCTTGTTGATGATGAGACATGTGCGCAGCTGCAGGTTTGGAACCGCTCGCTGCCCGTACAGTCTAACAAATGTGCCCATGACATGATTGCAGAGCGAGCACAGCACCAAAATCCATCTGCTCCAGCAATTTGCTCCTGGGACGGCAGTATGACGTACTTTGAGCTTTGGGCTTCATCAATGCGACTGTCGCAGCATCTGAGGCGGTTGGGTGTGAGACCAGAGACCTTCGTTGCTCTACTCTTTGAAAAATCCTCCTGGGCTATCGTGGCCCAGTTGGCGGTTCTTCAAGCCGGCGGAGCGTTTGTCTCGCTTGATCCTTTACACGCCGAAGGCCGTCTAGAAACATTGGTCTCTCAACTGGGCGCTCCCATCATGCTGTGCTCGCCCGAACATTATGAATTATCTTCCCGGATCTGTAATGTGGCCTTCGCTGTTGATGAGTCTGTTATTGACGAATTGCCTGAATCTCCACCGTCAGCGAGAGGAAAACAGGCCTCACTATCCAATGCTGCATACGCCATCTTTACCTCCGGTACGACAGGCACACCCAAAGCCACCGTGGTGCAGCATTCCGCGCTCACTACCTCAGCTCAGCAATGGGCGACTGTGCTGCGCTTCAACACCAAGACGCGGACTTTCCAATTCTCTAGCTTTACATTTGATGTCAGTGTGATGGACGTCTTCTTTACGCTCATAAACGGCGGTTGTGTTTGTATTCCCAGCGAGACGGAGCGCATGAACGACCTGGCTGGTGCTATCAGACGCACCAGCGCAACGCTCCTCTCTGGCATCCCTAGCTTGGTCAACACACTTGATCCAAAGAGTGTACCCACTCTCAAGACGCTCGTCATGGGTGGGGAGAAGATGCCGACATCTTTTATCAGCCGCTGGTCTGATCGGCGCATCATCAACGCGTATGGCCCCTCCGAAGCGACAGTTGTCGCAACAGCCAGCGCCAAGACCGATGGTTCTGGAGCAGTGTTGAATACAGACTGTAGCGATATTGGCGTGGCCTTCTGTGGTCGCTCATGGGTCGTTGATTCGGCCAATTTCAACCGTTTGCTTCCGTTCGGTGCGGTAGGAGAACTGTTAATGGAGGGTGCCAATGTGGCGCGCGAATACCTACACAACAAGAAAAAGACTCAGCAGGTTTTCGTGAATGATCCACATTGGGTAACAGAACCTAGGATGAAGGAATCTTTTGGTCTTTCGGAGCGCATGTACCGCACTGGAGACCTGGTGCGGTATAAGCCGGATGGCACGTTGTCATTCATTGCTCGTGCAGACACCCAAGTCAAGCTCAAGGGGCAACGTGTCGAGCTGGGCGAGATTGAGCACCACTGCAAATCACTATTGCCATTCCAAAGTGAGGTGGTCGTGGATATCGTCGTGCCCCAGGAGGGGACGATGTCTCGCGGTCTTGCAGCTTTCTTCACCACCTCTCTTCAAAAAGAAGAAGAAGAAGAACTCGTTAACAGCGATTCAGATGGTATTCTTCTCTCAATGACCGCAGATCGGATTGCAGTCGTAAACGGTCTTCGCCAGCAATTGCCGCAGCGTCTGCCCCGGTATATGGTGCCCACGTTCTTCTTCCCTGTCCGCTACCAACCACGAACGACCTCGTCCAAGTTCGATCGCCGCAGGCTGAAGAGGAGTGTGGAATCACTGAAGAAGGAGGAATTGAAGCTTTACTCTCATTCAGTGTCAACACGGTCCCAGAAGACGGGGTCGAATGGTCTAGAGACTACCCTTCGTGGACTCTGGGAGGAAGTCATGAACCTGACTGTGGGCTCTGTTACCGATGAAGATAGCTTCTTCAGCCTGGGAGGCGATTCCTTTGCAGCCATGAACCTAGTTAGCGCCGCGCAGTCGGTCGGAATTACGCTTACGGTAGCCACAATTTTCAAGTATCCCACTCTTTCGGAGATGGCTGCGCACTGTGAGAGCGACAGCAGCAACGCTCAATTGCCGAAAACCGCCATTATTCCGTCTTTCAGTCTGCTTACATCTGCTGAGGATACCAAGGAAGTTTTGGATGAAGCTGCAGACTTTTGCCAAGTGAAAGCCTCATCGATCGTGGACGTGTATCCATGCAGCCCTGTACAAGAAGGTCTCATTACTTCATCTACGACTCAGCAGGGTGCGTACGTCGTTCGCTCGATCTACCAGCTTGCAGAATCTGTAGATCTGGACGTATTCAGATCTGCGTGGCAGAAGACCGTCGATGAAGTGGAAATCCTACGCACTCGGATTGTCCATACAGCGGCGGCAAACTTCTGCCAGGTCGTTCTGCAATCGACTCCTATCAAATGGACTTACCGGACAGACCTGCCGACCGCTTCCGAAGAGCTTCCTGCGCTCCCAGACCAACATGGAGGCTGCTTAACGCACTACGCTATTGCAACTTCTGAATCATCTAGGTATTTCCTCTGGTCGTTGCACCATGCAGTCTACGACGGTTGGAGTGTGCCTTTGATCCTCCGCAAGGCCCAAACCTATTACCTTCAGTTGACGAAGACACAGCCAGCAACTGTTACTCCGGTCATGCCGTACAATTTGTTTATCGACTATCTGGCCAAGGTTGATGTTGATGCATCTGACCGGTTCTGGAAAGCCTACCTCGCCGGCTATAATACACCTTCCTTCCCTCGGATCCAGGAGGTTAGCAAACCGAACGCTGGCCAGCGACAACTCATTTCAATAGACATCAAGAGGCCGTCTAATGCCACGTCCGTGACCGTGCCTGTGATGGTCCGCGCGGCATGGGCCCTTGTCATTGCCGAGCAGAGCGAATCGCAGGACGTCTGTTTTGGTGAAACCCTGATGGGCCGCAATATTGACCTGCCTGGAGTTACTGAGATGGGTGGCCCTGTGCTGACAACAGTTCCTACACGTATTCAGGTCGATAGACAGATGTCTGTCAAGGCTTATCTACAGCGGGTCCAGAAACAAATGTTGGAGATGATTCCTCACCAGCATGCAGGCCTTCAGCGTATTCGCAAGCTTGATCAAGGTGCTTCTGCGGCATGCGGATTTCAAAATCTTCTCGTGGTGCAACAAAATGACGAAGAATCTCTTGACGACACGGTCTGGTCTTTCAGTGAGATCCATGCCAGTCGCGAGTTTTTTACCTATCCGCTCGTGGTAGAGTGCAAGGTTGCGCCCAATCAAATTCATACGACAGCGCATCATGACGAGACGACGATCCTCGGATATGAAGTGGAGAGACTCATTAATCAATTCCACTTTGTGCTGAAGCAGATCCTCGACATATCTAGTGACAAGGAAGACGGAAGCTGGACTGTCGCGATGTTGGATCTGGTCACCCCGGCAGACAAAAGGCAGATCGCAGATTGGAATTCCAAGCGTCTCGCACCAGTCAAGAAGACTATCCATGACCTCATCTGGGACCAATGTGCACTGCAGCCGGAGAGCGAAGCTATCTGTGCCTGGGACGGAAGGTTGTCTTACCGTGAGATGTGCGAGTATGCCGCAGCTTTTGCCAAATATCTTGTATCACTTGGCGTTGGTCCGGAGATTTTCGTTCCCGTTTGCATGGACAAGTCAGTTTGGATGGTAGTTGCCATTCTGGGTGTCATGGCTGCCGGCGGTGCATATGTGCCTTTGGATCCTGCGCATCCCACATCGAGACACGAAGAGATTATCGCGGACGTTGATGCAAGTCTGCTGCTATGCTCGTCTGCATATCGGAAAAAGTATACAAAAACTGTCAAGACTGTTCTCCCAGTTGATCAGGAGGTCTTTCAGAGTCTCCCTATCGGGTCCCTATATCCACCCATGAATAGGGCTACCAGTTCAAACATGGCATATGCCTTGTTTACATCTGGCAGTACAGGTCGGCCCAAGGGCATTGTGACCGAGCATGCTTCCTTTGTGAGCAGTGTGATGGCTTTCGGACCGGTGGTGAACCTCCAGCGAGGTACAAGAGCCTTCCATTTCGCCTCCATGACTTTTGATGCTGCAGTTATGGAGGTCTGGGGGGCCCTGATTTTTGGTGGTTGTGTCTGCATCCCCAGCGAAGAGGAGCGCTTAAACCATGTTGCTGGTGCAATGCATCACATGAATATCTCCTGGACCTTCTGCACGCCATCGGTGGCGGCGATCATCGAGCCCTCGAGCGTTCCAGCCTTGAAGACGCTTGTCTGCGGTGGAGAAATGCTCTCGGCGGAGGTTATCAACAAATGGTCTCGACACGTCGAGTTGATAAATGGTTATGGCCCGACTGAGACTTCGGTATTTGCTACACTGAATACGGGAATCTCCCCATCCACCGAGCCGGCTTGCATCGGCCGCGGTATTCGCTCTACCTGTACATGGGTGGTTGACCCGGACAACCATGACAGACTCATGCCTGTTGGTGTTGTGGGTGAACTGTGCCTTTCCGGTCGTCCGCTGGCTCGCGAGTATCTCAAGCGACCGGAAAAGACTGCGACAGAGTTTATAGACAATCCTCGCTGGGCGAGAGACTTCCCCGGTAGCTCTGCGAGCCGCATCTACAAGACAGGTGATCTGGTGAGGTATTATCCCGATGGCTCTGTAGAATACCTCGGCCGAAAAGACCATCAGGTGAAGTTACATGGACAGCGCATGGAGTTAGGAGAGATCGAATCACGTCTCGGCGAGCATCAGAGCATTCGCCATGCGGTGGTGCTGTTGCCAAAGACTGGCCTGCTGAAGAAGCGTCTGATTGCTATCCTCTCTCTGAATGGCGTCTCTTCTAATCAGCAGAGTCTCATCATGTCTAATGCTCGTTGTCAGATGGTTGAAGACGGCATCTTGCAAAGCGCAGGATTGTCCTGCATCCAAAACTCTCTCCAAGAACAATTACCCATATACATGGTACCCCAGGCCTGGATCGTCATGCAGTCGCTACCCATGCTGGTATCCGGCAAGATCGATCGCAAGCAGATTACTGCTTGGGTTGAACAAGTCGATAAGGTAGCGTATGAACGTATCATGCAGGATTACGATACAATCAAACGCCGAAGGGACGTGGAGACAGTCCAGAAGACCTCTGCCACGGCGATGGATGTGCTTCGAGAAGTTTGTGCTCAAGTCCTGGATATTTCAAGCGTTGATGTCACTCGGTCTTTCATCAGTCTCGGTGGGAACTTCTCCCCTATTTTGGCCATTGCTATTACTGATACATCATTTAATACTTATACAGGCGGTGATAGCATCACTGGAATGGCCGTTGTTTCACGCGCTAGGAAGCAAGGCATGACGGTTCGACTCCAGGACATCCTGCAAACAACATCTCTTGAAGAGCTATCGAAACGTGCCAAATTCAGTGTTGTCCCCTCAAACACCGCGGAGGAGACGGACAAGCTCTTTGGGCTGTCTCCCATCCAAGAGCTCTATTTTAGGTCCGCGACAAGACACCGGGATACCGATCGATTCAACCAAAGTGTTATTGTGCGAATAACCCGCTGGATTGATTCCAACAAGCTCCAGAATGCTCTCCGCGCTATTGTTGGTCGCCACGGCATGTTGAGGGCCCGCTTTGTAAAGGTTAAAAATGGTGCCTGGCAGCAAAAGATCACCAAGGTGAGCCAAGGAGCAAGACTTATGTTGCCATTCTGAGAGAGCATGAATATCTGACATAATTTGATGACAGGATATCGAGGAATCGTACAAACTTTGCATGCACACGGCTGGCAATCCCGAAGATATGAATCCCATCATGGCGGCCAGCCAACGTGCTCTCGATATTGAACGTGGTCCTATCATGAGAGCTGATCTGATTGACGTTACCGGAACCGAACAGGTTCTGTTTCTTGTAGCCAATCATCTATGCATCGATATGGTCTCCTGGCGCGTTATACTCCAGGACCTCGAGGAATACCTGCTCACTGGAACCATTGCCTCTGAGCGCCCATTCTCCTTCCACACATGGTGTGCTATGCACCAAAATGGCAAGAGGACAGGGGGAATCCAGTCCGCGGAGAAGCCAGTAAATGCCAAATACTGGGGTCTTGAGAGTTCAACAAATACATACGGCCAAGTGAAAACCAAGACTTTTGTACTCGATGAAGAGACCACGACTTTTGCCCTTGGTCGCTTGCATGAGACAATACAGACTGAGCCGCTTGATTTACTGCTAGCAGTTGCTTTCCGCTCTTTTGCTCAAACATTCACCGACCGGGAATTGCCCACTATCTACAACGAGAGCCATGGCAGACAGTCTTCCACGGACTCGGCGATCGACGTCTCTGGAACTGTGGGGTGGTTTACTGCACTGAAGCCCCTTTGTGTCGCGTCCCTCCCCGGTATATATCCTCTATAAAAATTAAAAAACCCCTCTCCTTTTCAAACAGACAACTGACGAAGGCAGAGACACTTGTGGATACTATGCGCTTGATTAAGCAGAACAGACAGACACAGCAGAACCTTAGCGATCTCTCTGAATTTCCTCAGCCACTTGAAATCATGTTCAATTATCTAGGTCGCTTCCAGCAGTTGGAACGCCAGGATGCACTTTTTCAGCACTATCGTCAAGTCTTCGATGAGAGCGAGATGACAAGGTTTGGCGACATGGGCCCTAACACCTCTCGGTTTGCCTTGTTCGAACTCACCGCGATCGTCCTACAAGACCGACTCCAGATCTCGTTCACATTCAACCGGGATATGAAGCGCCAGGAACAGCTTGGACGATGGATGTCAGCATTCGAGAAAACCTTCAAGCAAGCCTGCCTTCATCTTGACACTGTTGCTGCAAACTCACTCCCGTCATTCCCCTTATTGCCAGCAACTCCAGGTGAGATGGAGCAGTTACTGGAGTCGGTGCTGCCACGCCTCGGCATTAAGGAAATTACTGAAATCGAGGACATTTACCCTGTCTCCCCAGTCCAGGAGGGGATCCTGCTCAGCCAGTTACGTGACCCTGCTTCATACATATTCCACACGGTTTTCGAGATCACAGATAACCGAACCGGAAGACCGATCAATGTCGATGCATTGGCGAGTGCCTGGCAGCAAGTGACCGATCGTCACGCTATCCTACGGACGGCTTTTGTGGAAAGCAACTACAAGAATGGCACCTTTGATCAAGTTATTCTGAAGCAATATGCGGCTACAGTGAATGTGATGGAATGTGATAGTTCCGAGGCCTTATCAAGACTAGATACCATCACGCTTGGGGAAGCGAAGAGGAAGACAGCTCATCTTCAGCACCAGATCACCATCTGTCGAGCCCCAACCAGGCCTGTCTTGTTGAAAATGGAGATCAACCATGCTCTCATTGATGGGGGCTCTATCTCGATCATCTTGAGAGACTTCTCGGCTGCATACAGCAAGCAACTGGCGAAAGGCCCTGGACCACAGTATTCTAAGTACATTCAGTATCTGCAAAGTATCGAAGACACGGGCGGAATCGCGTACTGGACCGAATATCTTCGAGGCGTCACGCCATGCAGCCTGCCTGTGTCTAGCAACAAGGTGGCCAAACGCCGCCTGAGCTCCATCAAGATTGGGTTTGATCGCTTCGATGCCCTACAGGCCCTTTGCCGCCAGAACTCTATTACGTTCGCTAACTTGGCGCTCGCTACTTGGGCACTGGTTTTGCGTGCCTTGACTGGCCAGGACGATGTGTGCTTTGGCTACCTCTCAGCTGGTCGGGATGCCCCGGTCCCAGATATCCAGGACGCAGCAGGCGTCTTCATCAACATGTTATGTTGTCGCGTGCAATTCTCCGATCAGCAGAGCTTTGTTGGTGTATTCAAGCAGATGCAGAGTGACTATCTTGCCGGACTCCCTCACCAGACATGTTCCCTGGCACACATCCAACACCAGCTGGGTATCTCTGGAGACAAGACTCTCTTCAATACGACTGTATCCATTCAGAATAGAATGCCTTCCGATGGCACTGACACCGACGCTCTCTCATTTGAGGCCCTTCAAGTGCATGACCCCACCGAGTTCCCTATGACGGTGAATGCTGTCACTGCCAGAGGCCATGAAGGCATCATGCTGCGATTCTGGTCTGATAGTGTCACCAACAGCCAAGCACAAGGAATTGCAACAGCCATTGTCCAGGTATTCGAAACGGCTCTTGCACGTCCATTTGATTCGATCTCCACGTTTTCTGGATTGCTCGATCTGGGAACCCAGACGCCAGATGTGCCGACACCTCCGTATGATATTACTAAATTGATTGACTCCAAGGCCCTCCATAAGCTTATTGACGAACGCGTCCGGGAGATCGTTGGACAGATTATTCGGAGGCCCAATCTACAGAGAGAATTGTTGACACCGTCGTCAACTCCGGCCAGGAGCCAAGAGAACCTGACAAACATCATCGCAGCCTCTTTGAACTTGTCACCCTCATCATCTTATTCCTCTGATGGAGACCCAGAGCCGAAAACTATCGGGCATAGCTTCGAGGCCTGTACTTTAGGGAAGGCCACACGGAAAGCCTCTCCAGAACTCCGCCGGAAGCTCCTGGGTCTCTGGAGTACTGCCTTGGAAACCCCAACATACCTTGTCAAGCCTCAGGATAGTTTCTTTCGTGTTGGCGGTGACAGTATCAAGGCGATGAAGATGGCAAGTGCGGGGCGCGAGGAGGGTCTTTCTCTGCGTGTCTCTGATATCTTCCAGTCGCCCGTATTCGAAGACTTGCTGGAGCTGATTGCTTCAAACACTGCTGTTGCTAGCAGCAATACGCCTGCCACCCCCGCTGCTATTCCCATCAAGGGCAAGACCAAATTGACTCCTTCTACTTCACCCTCTACTTCCCCTCCGGATACAAACGTCTACAACGCCGTGAGATTGGACTATCAATTTGTGCAGAGGAACATTTTCCCCAAGATCGGCTTTGTCAAAGGAGACGTTTCCGATATTCTGCCCGTGACCGACTTTCAAACACTATCCCTCACTGCACAGCAATTCGACTCTCGCTGGATGTTGAACTATTTCTACTTTGATGGCACGGGGCCTTTGGATATCCTGCGGCTACGAGAGAGCTGCTCGAGAGTCATTGAATCTTTTGATGTCCTTCGATCCGTCTTTGTGTGTTCGGGCCCCCGTTTTTATCAGGTTGTTCTCAAGAAGATTACCGTGGACCTGACGGTGTGTGAGACTGATCAGTCTCTCGACGACTTCACTGCGGGACTGCAGAAGTCTGATCGCGAACAACCGATCAAGCAGGGTGAACCGTTTGTCAAGTTTTTTGTGGGCAAGAGATTGAATAGCAACCATCACCGCATTTTGATTCGGCTATCTCATGCGCAGTATGATGGCGTTTGTCTGTCAAAGCTGCTGGGGGCCATCAAACAAGGTTACGAAGGCGGCACGCTGCCGTTGACCTCGTCCTTTGCCAGCCATATGCGGCTGCTGTCGAGTAGTGTGACTCCTGACCACTTCCAGCATTACAAGTCCCTGCTGCAAGGATCAAAGATGCCGCAGGTTATCCGACGCAATGGGCCCAACACATACCAATACGTCGGTGATTCAACAGCCGTGATGAGAACCGTCGACATCTCCATGGCTGCCAACGCAAACATCACCATTGCGACAGTGGTCCAGGCTGCCTGGGCGCTGACATTAGCCAAGATGTGTGCACAGTCGGACGTTGTTTTTGGCTTGACCATCAACGGACGCAATGCAGGCGTTCCCGGCATCGAAACTGCAGTGGGCCCTTGTGTCAATATAGTACCGGTGCGGGTGCGCTTTGGCGAGGGATGGAATGGCCTTGACCTGTTCCGCTACATCCAGGACCAGCAGGTGGCCAACATGCCCTACGAGAATCTGGGCTTCCGTGACATCATCCACAACTGCACTGACTGGCCGAAATGGTCGTACTTCACCACCACTGTTTTCCACCAAAGCGTTCAGTACGAAGGCCAGATCCAATTGGATGACAATACTTACCGCATCGGCGGTGCGGGCGTGATCGACGACCTCTCAGACCTGACTCTCCTATCTACTCCGATGGGCGAGAACAGATTCGGAATCGCCCTCCATTACTCCAAGAAGGGTCCGATCGAAGCGCCCTTTGCGTCTCGCATCCTTGACATGGCCTGCGATGTGATCGAGGGGCTGACAACCAGCCCAAGCTCGGTGCTTCCATCCCCGACCACTCTCCAATCGCTGCCGGTACACACGGTCGATGAACTCCCGCGACCGTCCGATGAGCAATTTCTCTCATCCCATCTGAAGAAACAAAAGATTGCAGATCTTCTCGTTTACTCGCCCCCTCTGACTCGGGCATGGCAGCAAGTTCTCACTCCGTACAAGGCAACCGAGTTCTATCTCGAGTCTTCCTTCTTTTCACTTGGCGGAGACCTGTTCAGCATGGCTCAGGTAGCTGCTCTTCTCCAGCAGGAAGGGCTTTCGGTGCGCCTGGAAGATCTGTTGGAACATCCGACTTTCCTTGGGCAGATGGCAGTGCTCGCGTTACGGAATGAGCCGAAGGAGGCGGAAAAGGCCATCGAGAGCGCGCCTGTAAAGGCATTCGAGATGACGGAGAAAGTTCTAGAGGATCCGGTCTCATCTCCATCAGTTCAAATGGCCTCAACAGAGAAGACAAAGTCCGAGGGCGGCCGTGGCTGGACCAAGGCGTTCACATTTACCCGGAAATTCCGAAGCAAATAGATATACCACACACACTCTCTTGACTAGATTTCATTTATATATTATATTACATATGCCATGGCTACAGGTGTACAGAGTATATAGTGGGGGGGTATGGCGTTCTGCAGAATTACCATCACCTTTTTTCACCTTGAGTATCCATATCCTAGTCTTTATTATAGTACTCGTTATCAAATAAGCGATCGGTTGCCTCAGGCACAAATTGGGGGGATATGGGGAGATGAATCTAATATACTGGATCAGGCTTAGTGTCATCTGGCAGCCTTTGGTTTCGACGTCCCAGAGTAACCAGTTATGTGGTAATGTGCAGGTAATAATGTAGCTAATTCCTTCAGCTCTTCTTCTCGTGATAATATAGACCATTCAACAGATTTCTAGCACTTGCTGCAATTCTAAAATTAAGGTACGGGTTCATATGTCGTTTACGACTGGCGCTTTCCAAAAGAACAACAACAAAACAGGAAAGAACAGGACTACCTCCAGGTAGTGTGTGTACCCGTCAAATCAAATCTTGTAAGTGTTTCATCCAAAAAGAATCTTCTATGACCGAGTCCCCGTTGTTGCAAGTGCTGACGAAATGACGACCAGATCGAAATATTCCAGCGCCTCTGGCGTCTTTTCAAAAGGAGTGAGGGACTAGATCAAGGCTATGACCGGCAAGGCCTGTTGGGCTTGTGGCCTCAAGTACGCCCAGGTGGCCCATGTTGTGGCCAAAGAAGACAGCACGGTAAGACGTGACAGAGTCAAGCAGAATCGCAGGCTAATACAGTTAGATTGAGCTGCTAGATGAGCGTGGGCTCATGAACTTCCATCTTAGGTCGAAGATGAACGCTGTGGCGCTGTGCCGGAATTGCCACTACAAATTCGACGAAGCAAGCGACCCGGGGCTGGTATTTTTTCCAGCCGATCTCGATTACTTCATAGAATTCGAGCTCCAAGATCGCGCCAGACGACAGAGACTGCGCGATAAGGGAAGGAGCCCGCGCCGAAGGGCTCCGACAGATAAAGATTATCGGCAGCATCAGGTAGAGCACGGCCAAATCACGGCTGATGCAGATGGCGGACTCTACAGGATCATCTACCTGGAGACGGGGATTAGCGGCACTCAAGCTGCCATCACCAAGTCCTGGAATGGGGCGCCGATGGCCACCCTGCGGCGAGGAATCGCATGTCTTGGAACCCCCCGCATCGAAGCCGTCCCCATAGAGCTCACTGATAAGCTCCAGATCCTTCGGGATCTCTATTTTCGCAATGACGAGCTCGGTCTTGAGCGGAAGTACGGACTACAACGGCCAGCCCAGGGTGGCGGCACCGGCGATGACGACGACAACGACGACGACGACGATGAGGAAAAGAATGATGATGATGATGACGTCAACGACGACGAGTGCGATTTTGATGACGGCGGCGAGCCAACTGAGGAGGGCGACGATGATGAGGAAGAGGAAAGGTACGAGGAAGTAGGGGGCCCATCAAAGAAGAGGAGCCCTCGCAAGCAAGGAAGGGGTCTGGGAAGAGGAGGCAAGAAGATTTCCCGCCGAGCCCGCTCTGACTCCGGCTTCTGTTGGGAGTTTGGACCGAACTCAACCTCCCAGAGTGCCATGGAAGGCTATGTTCCTGCTTTGCGTGGTCCAGGCTAGTTTTTTTACCCGGCTGCCGCTGGTAGAGGCCTGCAGTGTATGTACTGCTGCTGCTTGACAATTAGTATAACATACCTTAGTATAGTTAGCTTTAGCTAATCCATACCTCGATAGTCAGTCGAGATTATCTGTCTCGCTATTCTATACAGATCCCTCAACCCTGGATGAATAGTGAAGAGCTATAACTGGGTAGATTTTGGAGCAGCCTTAGTATATAGGTTCAAATTCTCTTATATCCATGTAGATGTAAAGTGCCCGTTTGGATTGGCAATCGCCTGCCAAAGGAAAGAGAGACCCTCGTCAAGATCTGCCAGGCGAATACCGTCGGGAGTAGCCCCTCCATGCGGATCGCTTTCATATTGGGGATCGCCAGACTGCCTGAAGTCCCTTTGAGACGTGGTGAAGAATGGTAAATCCTCGGTCAAAGGCAATGTATCTTCCCCGTCTATTACAGAAGAAGTGTCATTAGCAGTCATTCGGGCGGCATCCTGTTCATCCTGTCCATCTACATCAACTGTTTGCAGTGGAAACTCGTTTTCTGCATTGCCAATGAGGTTGCTCAGAATCCTGGACGCGGTCTCGTCAAATGCATCACGTTTGTTTCGGAAGGCGGGAAAATGCTCGACCATTGCCCATAGAACAGAGGAACAGGTGCGAGAGAGGGACTCGAGTCTGCGGAATGATATCGCTGCTCGCACCCGGCTTGACTGGGCATAGGCCAGCATCAAAGCGGTACCGGCCGAGGAGATATTCTCGACCGACTGCCAGTATATCGTCAAGACACGCTGCAAGAAAAACTGCTGGTAGAGGGTGATCATGTTCTGTGCGGCGTGTGTCATTGCGACGAGTTGATCTCCGGACGGGGAGGGGATATTGGGCGATGGCCGGAGGAGGTAGAAAAGGGCTGAGTTGTACGTGACCTCGAACGTCTCGATGATCCGCTTATCACAATCATTGAGGCTCTCCGTGGCCGGGACGCTGTGGTACCACATCTCGATGCGCTGGCGCATCTGTTCCTGCCACTCATCCAAGACCATCGACATGTACTGAATGATCGGTCTTTCGTACAGCATGGTTCGGATCTCGGACTGGATCTGCCGATACCGGAACAAGTGGAGGCTGACACGCTTCGAACCGGAAAGCGGTCGCCGCTCAGAGAGCGGATTCGCGTTGGGCGTGATATATTGGTCTGCGATTTCGCTGGGGAACTGTCCTTTATTACCACACGAAGACCTGACATTATGGTTATGGTTATGGTGACAGTGAAGGATTTACCTGCGCGGAAATCACACCATCGGATAGACACGACGGGACACCAAGAACCATCGAGATGTTTCGATCCATTGCATACGCCACCCAAAACGTCCGTCGCATGGTATCGAGGGTAAAAAAATCCAAGCCGGCGGCGCTGTGGTCTTCATGCAGCCTGAGATCAACGGCAAGACGTAGGGCGGAACTGATGGTTTTAGCTACAGCGCGTAAGGTGGGATGATGGTAAGAGTATTGCCCGAGGAGAAGTAATGCCTGGACCCCTTGGACGGTATTCGGCACCCCAATTTCGCTCAAGGCACTGAGGGCGGTGGTATGGTAGCGATCGGCCAGCCAGCTTGGAATTGCTGCCGGGTCCTGCTTTTGCATGGAAAGCAGCCCGATCGCGAACACCTCAAACACGAAAAACACAGCCATCCGTGATTCAGGAGAATTGTGCGTATCGACAAGGTTAACTGCCCGGGGCATGCTGTAGAGCAGATTCACCTTGTTGTCGAATGTCAGCTCGTGGAGCAGCGGCATGCCGACATTCACGGACTGAAAGTAGGCCGTGATGAGAACCTGCGCGGTTTCTCTCGATGGCAGAGAGATTGTCTCCCCACCCAATTCTCTTAGAAAACCAGAAAGCCGGCCATGCTGGGAGGGAAGCTGGCAGTCTACGAGATCCGTCAAAAGGATCCTCGGTAGCAACAACTCGCGCGAGGGACGACTCTGCGTGGGGGCTGCAGCGATGGAACCATGACTTGCTGTTGCATGGACCGAATGTTCTTCTGCTGCCGCCGAGCTTCTTTCGGGATCTCTTGATGACTCTGAAACAGGCGTCTGCGCGTGGCCATTCTGGCTCTGCTCCTCAAGTTTCGCTTTCAGATACGCCACTTGCTGCTCCAGACTACTGATGTAGCTACTCCAGTGATATATATCAGCCGGCTGGGTACTGCGCCATTGAAACCGAATGAATTACTGACCTCCTGGGTACCTTTCTTCGGGTCACAGCATCGTATCCGAGGCATTCCACGCCCGCCAGCTCACACAAGCGACATTTCTGGGCATTTCCCCTTAGCTGACCGACTATATCCCCTCTTCAAGTGGACCACTTACGGGTAGCTTTTGATCGCAGCGTTTCTTTTTCTGTCGACAGCGGAGGCACGCTGTAACGGGGGCTCCAGGCATGGCATCTCCTGGAGTTATCGAGATAGACTCAGCGGGACGTTGGGAATCCAAGCGGAGGGGATGCTGACTCAGATATGACTAAGAAATACTGACTAATAAACGACTCAGAAATGGTGACTAAGAGTCGGATCGGATACACTATTAACCGAGAAAGGCACCACCAAGTCCATTGCATCTCTCCGTACTCCGTATGTCAGCTATTACAGTAAATCGTGTCGTATCAAGAGTACTGGGTAAGCAGCCTACCAGCCCAGTTGACTATTTCCATCATATTTGGCGTTATCTGCAGAACAATCAGGTACTATCAACCCACTCCAAGAAAACCACGTCAAGATACGGCGGTAAAGTCCGCTCAAACAAGGTTTCTTATCGAGAGCGGTATTTTCCGCCAGGCTCTTTCTTCAATGAAATACCCCGGACTCGATGCTCTCCTCTACTTAATTTCCAGGAGATAAGACTCGTCTTATAACCTGAGCTAGTTCCTGACTACTCTTGACTGAACCTTTCTCCTGGTCTCACGCCGCCACACGCAATTGAATAATGACGACAGACACAGCAGACACGGCAGTTGACTGGCCTCCGGGGACTGTTCGCCTGGAGGACATGCGACCCCAGGCGGATGGACAAGTCCTCCTGCAGCCTCGACCGACGGAGGATCCCAACGACCCGCTGAACTGGTCCGGCGGGCGGAAATATCTGAACTTTGGGCTGGTCTGCCTGTATGTGGTCATGGTGAACGAGTTCATCAACGCGTCGACGCCCACCTGGGGCCCGATGCAGACGCAGCTGGGCTACAGCAATGAGCAGCTGAATGACAGTTACGCCATCGGCTGTGCGGCCCTGGCGACAGGGTCCATCATACTCATCCCCTTTGCGCTCAAGTTTGGCCGTCGTCCTATCGTGCTCGTCAGCACTGTGGCGCAGTTTGCCTTGAGCATCTGGTCAGCCAAGATGCAGACTGTCGCTGATCTCCTCCTCATCAATTTCCTCCAATGTTTCCTCGGCTCGCTGACAGAGGTGCTCGTTCAGATGACAGTGGCCGATCTCTTCTTCGTCCATCAACGGGGCCGCTTAAACGGGCTTTATATCTGGGTCTGGTGGGTTGCAGGCGCCCTGGGACCCTTGATTGCCGGCTACATTACTCTGGGGCAGGGTTGGCGATGGGTGTGGTGGTGGAACGCGATCTTCTTTGGCGCGTGTGTTGTGATTATCGGCTTTGCATACGAGGAGTCCAAGTTCGATGCCTCTGTCATCACCGCTCTGCCAGAGCCAGAGACAATCGTGGAGGCTGGCAAGTCCGACAAGGCCAAGGCTGACTGCATCCGAGAACCCCAAGCAGGAGGACCACCGGATCCATGTGGCAGCATCCCCATCAAAACCTACTGGCAACGGATGGCACTGACAACGTCTTCTCCTGCCCTCGATACCAAGACGTTCCTGCGTCACATGTACCAGCCGTTCATTCTGTTGGCCACCATTCCCGGGATTGCCTGGGTGGCGCTGGTCTATGGCATCCTGGTTGCCCTGGGAGATGTCATGTCGACCACCCTGTCGACCTTTATGAAACAGCCCCCATACAACTTCGACTCGCATCAGATCGGCCTCATGAGTCTGCCGCAGATCATTGGCATCACCCTGGGCTCTCTGATCGGGGGTCCCCTGAGCGACTGGGTGGTCCTATTCATCTCTCGCCGCAACAAGGGGATCTACGAGCCCGAAGCTCGGCTGTGGTGCATGCTTCCTTTCCTGGTCTTCATCCCGCTGGGCGCTCTCCTCTTCGGCTTGGGTCTGAATAATGGTCTTTCCTGGCCAGTGATTGCCGTGGGGTTTGCCTTGTACAATATCGGCGTGGCACCCATAAACGCCATTACCATCACCTATTTAACCGACTCTTATAAAGATGTAAGTTCTTTTTGAAATTCCTCTTTTTTTATACTAGAATCAACATCACTCATTCATACGGTCTAGGTCATCGGTGATGCCTTGGTTGGTGTCACAGTTATCCGTAACTCATTCAGCACGGCGTTCATCTTCGCCTTGACCCCCTGGATCTCAGCAATTGGCATCAAGTATGTGTTTGTGACGATTCTTCTCATTGCCTGTGCCATCCTTGCTTTCTCTGCGGTTTTCATCAAATGGGGGAAGCAGTTTCGCTCGATGAGTGCGGACAGGTACCGTCGTTATGCCTTATGGCAGTACCAGGGGAGAATGTAGTCAGTGTCTTTTATATGTATAGCTACTTTGAGGATAGAGTATATCATTAGCGTTTATCAACTCGAAGAGAACCAGAAGGATATATTAATTGAACCTGCGAACCGTCTACGATATCATAGCATCTCAACATAGAACTATTTCAATAAAAGATACAACAATCCGCGAATACACTCAACCCCGACACCAAAGGATGACTCAGAGTACCAGAACTAATCATTCAATTGCTAATAATGTAGTAATAAGATATTTAATAACCAGTGACTCCTGCCATTATCTCCGAAGACTGAGCGGGAATCACCGCCGGACGGAAGTTACCGCGTCTTTCGTATCGGCGACTCTCCGACCGAATACCAAGGAGTATATATTCTGACTGTTCATAATTATTCAACTTCTTCGGACTAGGTGAAACCAGTGAAAAATGTCCTCCGAACTCTTCCCTAGCAATGTGATTATTATCGGCGCAGGGGTGTTTGGCCTCTCGACCGCGTTAGCCATTGCGAAACGACATCCCACGACGAAAGTGACTGTCATTGACCGACTGGTTCCCCCCGTGGCAGACGGGGAGAGTGTCGACACTACTCGGTGTATCCGTGCTGGTAGACTATTCTTTCATTGCTACTGAATGGATAATAAGAATTGGAATTGACGTGTGCAGATTACGACGACCCTGTTTACGCCCGACTTGCAAAAGAAGCGCAGCGCAAGCTCGAAGATGACCCTGATCTCAGTCGCCACATGTTCCGACAGGGCATGACGTGGGTGAGCGACGGGCAGCCCGATGAAAATACAGAGAGCTGGAAAGTGCAGTTTGAGCTGGCCAAGGCCTCGTCCAACCCAGACGACATCGTGATCTTCAACTCCCGCGAAGAAGTGTACCAGACAATCCATGGGGAGAATGCTCTTCCCCCGTCAAACGTCAAGCCGCGATGGACCATGGGCTATTGTAACCTGGAGAATGCGTTCATCGATGCCAAGGAGTGTATCCAGGTGTACTATGACCGCTGTTTGCGAATCCCCTCCATGACGGTGAGGTGTGGTACTCCCGTCCGACAGATCACATCAGTCAACGGCAAGGCAACCGGGGTGATCTTGGAAGATGGAAATTCCGTCACAGCCGACCTGGTCATCGTCGCTGCCGGAGCGTGGTCCAACAAGTTGGTCGATCTGGGCAATCGGGCCAGCTCCATCGCCATCGCGGTCGCCTGGATCAAGGTCACGCCCGAAGAGGAAGCGCGGTGGAAGGGGATGTCGATCACTACCAACCTGAATACCGGGCTGAACCTGTTCCCTCCGTACCGTGGGGAGATGAAAGTCTTGTGCAGGTTGGGTGGCTACAAGAATACCGTTCTAGTCCAGCACCCGGAAGATCCCTCGAGGACCATGCAGATTTCTCACCCTCGAACCCTCATCACGCATCCCTCGGATCTGATTCCGGCAGATGCTGAAGCCACAATCAGAGAGAACCTGCGCGAGATTATGCCCATGCTCGCCGACAGACCATTCGATCGAACAAGATTATGCTGGTTCGTTCATTCACTACCTCATACTTAGTTACCGTCCTTCTATACTTACAACTTTGCAGGAGAAGTCGTGCCCCAACAGAGGACTTTTTGATCGCCCCCCATCCTCGTATTGCGGGCATCCATCTCGCAACTGCTGGCTCAGGTCACGGCTGGAAATTCCTCCCAGTGATTGGCGATTTCATCGTCGACTCGGTGCAAGGGACGCTCCCTCGGGAACTGCAGGAAATGTGGGCGTTTCACCGTTACCACGAGCGAGGTGAGCAGAGGAATGAACTGAATAGAGTGCAGGAATTATCCTCTGTTATTCGCCAGCGCTTGTAAGTCATCTAGTCATAAATCAACAATCTATTCAAAGTTGGGGTAAGGGAATTGTACTCTAGCATTGTCTATAGCTAGCTGGACATAAAGAGTACTGAAACTTATGACGCTACTGGTGAGTGATACTCTTCTTGTTGGTCTCAGCCATCTACCACATAGGTGTGATTATCTCACGTCAGAAAATAGACATGGGAAATCAAAGTTAAGCCCCTGTCAGATTTTCGGGTTTCTTTCGGTGTGCCGACGGGTTTTCCGGTCACTCTATAAGGTGGATGAACTCGACTGGGCCTTGTCAGTTGATAGCTGCGAGCAGTAGATGTGGATGTGGTAATGATTGCATGATTAGATCCCTTAAGGGGAGAGCAATTGTCTTCCATTGAGATAGTCACAGTGGACCGGGTATTGAGCAGATTTTGATAATTGCACTAGACCTTGATGTCGATGATAAGCCCCTGCTCTGGTAGTTCTGCCTAAATTACGAGTCATTTAGCAACCCTGCTCGCCAAGGATAGTAAATAGCCAAACCCCTTAACTATTATATTCCTCAATGAATGGGTTTCGAACGATGGCTTGACCGACAGGGATCTGTCTGGCATGCTTCTTCGTATCCAGCAGGGCCTCGGCAATATACTCCGTACGGAATACCCGGTCGTCCGATCGCCCTTTTCAACATCCATCGCTGTCTACCACTCTGCCTTCATTATTTTCCATTGGATAGAAGGAGCTATCTTCGGAGAGTTCTGCCGTTGAAAATTCACGTCCTTCGGGCATGATGCTGGGCTGTGTGCTATTACTCCACAGAGTCCCTGTTTGAACGGGACTCGCTGAAACGATGGAGGACTCAATCAATGCTTCATCGCTGCTTGGGACCTTTGCTGCCTTGGTGGAGATTTCCAAGTTCAATAGTTCGAGTGGTGTTCAATAGTGCAAGAAATGCGATCGGATCAAACCAGCCAGGGTCTCTCAATGGTGGCCTTTTCTAGTCAGACCCTGAGAGCTGTTAGTTAATTATTATGTAGCACTGAATCCTAATTGTGGCTTCTAGATAGTGAGTAGCTAGCCAACTAGCTGTTTTGACTACTCGGGGAGGTAAATTTGGGTTCAACACGGACCTTCTAGCAGCGGGATTATGAAATTGGCCCATCCCAGATTCAGCTCTCTCCGGACGCGCGGACCTCTGGATCACGGATCGTTTGCCGTCCTTGTAGGGATAGAACTCATAGAAGTTTAGGTAACTCGGTGGGAGCCGTATTTGTTATTGGTTCGGGGTTTGCACCTGTGCTCCACGTGGATTCTCCGCAATGCATGCATGCATGCATCCGGGCATGGCGCACATGCTATTCTGACCCTTGATTTCTCCTCCCTCCCTCCTGCAAGCAGCAAGAGACACGATGGGATCCCTTGGTCCATCGATAGAGTAGAATGCTTCTAAATGTTGATGGCTCTTTGGAACGAGTTCGTCCGGATCGGAACTTCGCATCGATCGTCCTTGAAACCAACTCAATACACTTATCCGCCCCCCCTGAGCGGTGGAGATACACGGCCCGTCTGGATCATCAAGGCTAGTAACTTATGAGCACATTCTCCGAGGCTGAACCAGGGATCCCATGGTAAGCACGGAATCTGCATCTCGAAAGAATGCCTGCGATTGGATTGTCTGTCCGGCCTTCGGTCTGTTGGGCTGAAACGCCTCGGCTGGAATGAACATCTGCGGGGAATGATGCGACGTTAGATCTGCAGACTATAATCACCCAGTTCCACTCGGTTACAGATCTTTCCTAGTTACTGGATGGCAAGAGGGCTTTCTGGACGAAGGCCACGCAGTACTTGACTCGTGTGTTTCATGTCTTCCGTGTCTTCTTCTTCTTCGATCCTTCATCCGGGTTTCTTCTGGGTTTCCGACTGGCATTCTCTCTCTCGTCATCAACGCGACACGATGAGGTTCAGCTGGCTGGCCCTCGTGCTGTTTTCCCTGTCCTCTCTCGGGAGAGCAGAGCTGTCGCTATCCTCGGCACTGACAGAGTTGCCCGCATGTGCTGTATGTTCCTGACGGGAGATCAACATTTGTCCTTGCAAGGGGGGCCCTTGATAACTGATGAATATCTTAGCTGGCCTGTCTGGTTGATGGGTTGGAGGGTTCGTCCTGCGGCACGACCAATGTGACATGTCAATGTAACAGCGCTTCACTCCAGAGCAATGTGACGAGTTGCATTGAAGAGTCATGTACAATCATTAAAGCCCTGGGTTAGTACCAGCGTCCTCCCAAAGCTTCCTGGTCGTTTCTCACATGTGATTTTCACTCCGCAGAGGCCAAGAACATCACGCAGACGCTGTGCGACGCTCCTGTACGAGACAGATCGGTAGAGTACAAGGTGCTATCCATCGCCCTTGGTGGATTCTCGATATTCTTCGTGTTGACTCGAGTGCTGTATAAATTGTTTTGGGGACCGGCAGATCTTGGGGTTGACGACTATGTTGTTCTGTCCATGGTGATTTTGGCGGTGCCAAATATCCTTCTTAATGTGCGGTATGCGGCGACAAACGGGCTCGGCCGAGATATATGGACGCTGAAGCCAGACCAAATCACCCGGTTCCTTCTGTTCTTCTATCACATCTCGTGGTTCTACCTGGCTCTTGTGGCGCTCCTGAAGCTGGCTCTGCTATTCTTCTACCGGCGCATTTTTCCCGGAAAAGGGGTGCAACTCATCCTTTGGGTGACCATATTCGTTGATATCGTATTCGGCCTGGTGTTTGTTTGTGTCTCTGTCTTCCAATGTCAGCCGATAGATTATTATTGGAACCGTTGGGACGGAGAGCACCAGGGAACCTGTCTCAATATCAACGCGATTACCTGGTCCAACGCAATCATCAGTATTGCACTCGACCTATGGATGTTAGCCATCCCACTTTGGCAGCTTACCAAGCTGCAGATGCACTGGAAGAAAAAAGCCGGCGTTGCGCTGATGTTCTGCGTGGGAGCGTTCGTGACTATCGTCAGCGCCATTCGTCTCTCATCTCTTGTCAATTTTGCAAACTCGACAAATCCCACATGGGACGAATGGGATGCCGCGGTCTGGTCCACGATTGAAATCAATGTTGGTATTATATGCGCTTGCATGCCTACGATGCGTGTCATTCTGGTTCGCCTTTTCCCCAGACTCATGGGGTCAACTCGATCTGATCCTCGACATTATTATGAGTCTGGCAGCAGAAGCCGAGGCCGCAATCGCTCAACCACCAGGCGAAGTGGTTTCCCATCCATACCTCAAGGTAAAGATGGCATTGTGCGATCCATGACATATACCGTGGACTATGGAGATGACGAAGAAGTCAGTGAGGTGCCAATGCAGGAGTTTGATTTCAACGTCAATGATACGATACCGCTCAGTCAACGTTCGTCATAGCACTCTGTGGCTTTCTTCTATGCCGTACTTTCTCTCTCATTTAATTTCCTTCAATATTGTATATATTCAACACTTGCTTACTTTCGATGTGAAAGTCCCTACTCTTCCGTTGCGATGCATCCTCATGTCAGCCGGGTCATTGGCTGTTTCCTATTTTATATTAGACCATGAAATGAAAATTCCCCAATAAAGTGAAAAAGTATCACAGTCTTGACTGGTAGAACAGCTTACCTCCCAATTACTCTCAGGAATGATTCCAAAAATGTCCCCCGAATCATTGTCTGTATGTATTGATGGCCAGTGTCATTTCAGACGACGTCTTCATCAGGGAAACTTGTTGAAATCGACTCTTGCAGTCGATTGTCGTCAGAGGAGAGGAAATAGAAAGAGAGAGAGAGAGAGAGAGAGAGAGAGAGAGAAATAAGGTGAATCAAAGTCTCAGTGGTGTGGGTGCCACCAGTCCTATTTAGGAAGGAGCCACACGTGCCCGAGCTTATTTATATTAAACATGCTGCCTCAGGCAGATTAGTATGCCTCAGGCGTAACATTGACTCGCGCCTGCCTTTTTCTTACCAAGAGAGCCCTGGGATGCTTCCTTCCCGGTCTAGACACGCCTCCCTCCGTATCCTTTGGGTTTTGAGCTCTTCTGAAGATGCTGATACAGCAAGGGAGAGGCCGTCACAGGCAGCCATCGAAGCAAAGATGGAGCGCCTGCCGCAAGAGCTCATCTGGCTGATCATATCTGCCCTCACGGAGCAGGCTTCGTCGACACAGACGCTCGCGCCTCTTACCACCATCTCACGCAGGTGGCAGACAGCCACGGAGGCTCTGATCTGGAAAGAGATTCAGGTGGTTTATGTGGACAAACTCGATGACCTTACATCGGGCGATTGGTTTCGACGGGCGCGCAGAGGGTATATTCGCACGATTGACTGGTGGGCATGTATCGACTATTCGATTCCCTTGTCTCTCGAAGAGCAAGATCTTTGTGCCGAGGCGTTTACGGATGCTCTTCAGGATATCTACGACCAGAGGTGGTTTGAGGAGTTGTCTCGGATGTTCCAGCTGCTTTACTCATGGGAAGGGGATCGAGATCAAGGCTTGGGCATCGAATTGGCTCTCGAGGGCCCTGGACAGGTGTGTTACAATGGTGAGGGAGATGGGCAGCTGCCCCGGCTGTCTGATCCAGAAGATGCAGCTTCTCTCAACCATCGCCAGGGTTGGAGGTTTAACCTGCTTCCATACCTGGCTCGCTTGGGGAAGGGAGATCTAGCATCCCTTCCAACTCTTTCAGTCGTCAACTCATTCTCCTTACACAAGAGCTTCAGTGATCGGTTCTGGCCGGCTTCGATCATGGAAATGTTGGCGATCTTTCCAAATCTCAGGAAAGCGACTATCGATGTTGGATATGTTGTCATATCAAGGGCAGAAGAAGCTGTGAGGGAACGCAGACAGGGTACGAAGCGATCTTTTGAATGCGCGTATGAAGCCCTGGTGCTGACGAGGCCTTGTGTTAGGTATTGCAGACACCATACATTTCCTGCCACCCCATTTGGACACCTTCGAGCTCAGCATTTGGAATGATATGTCGCTTAGTCCGATGCACAACGCAGTTGACTATCTTTCAGTGAGTGGTAGAGACGAGTTGTCGATCTCGTTGCGGGTACTCAGCATGCGTCTTCGAAATATCCGACTTCGTGGGGTTCGAATCAGCAGTGACCTCTTCTGGCCAGTCCAAGACGATGAGCCTTTCTGGCTGAATCTAGAACAGTTTGAAGTTTTAGACATGCCACCTTATTCTGCTGACGGTACGTATGTTTGACAGTGGTTATTACTTTTCGGATAGATTCTCAGTCCTTGATAATTAAACCTCTGATAGGTTTATGGCTCCTTTATAACGATCCTTTCAAAACAATTGACGCCCCCCAAACCATCGACGAGGCATGGGAGTACGAAGATGAAAGGGGGTATGGCAAGCGCGGCATTGTCAACAGCGCCGAGGTGGACAAACTCTACGTGGCCGCTGCATACGCAGTTCAAAAAATGCCGTGTCTGAAGCAACTTACTCTCGAGTTCCGGGGTGAGTCATCGCAGGATGGTGCCTGCAACACGCTGTCCTTTGTGCGTAATCTAAATGAAGGCTCTGCGAGTCTGGTAGTCCGCAGCCAAGGGGGTTATAAGCCAGGAGAAGCAACGAGGTTAGCCTGGAGGACTTTGGAAAGGACCAGGACAGACCGACGACGGAGCCAGGAGGTAAGTCTCTTTGGCAACTTATCCTGGATAGTTTGTTATGAGCAGTGGCCTCCATCGTAACCTGTATGGCATAGCCAATTGAAACAAGTTGGATGGTTCATTTATTCTTATTGCTGTTGGTACTTATTCTAGGTAGGGCACGCTAGACTAGAGCATACTGTTTATTCCTCCTCTCCTACACACAATATCTAGAGATTTAACTTAGAGTAACTACGAGAAAAATGCACAGAGTGAAGTTGTAAAATTTCTAGATCACCTTAGATACTAAAGCTAAAAGCCTCGCAGTATGGAAGCCAAAGCGAAATCCAACCCCCCATTTTCCACCGCGTATCTCAGAGATCAGAGCCGGTAAGCCGATGTCGACGTCTATCGGATAGACATTGTCCAAAGCTACCTCAATCAGCGTGTACTCTACAGGGAGTCAGAAGGAGAAACAAACATACCATGTGCTTAGACCAAGAATGATCCATTAACGCACATTGCAGATACAAGCGGAGTGAGCATGGCCACAACGGCACTGGTACTTGGGATTGGCACAGATGCACATGCGCGTGGCGGAGCCCATGCACCAGCCAATACAGAGGCCCTTAATAGTTAGCAAGAGACATAATTATGATGAAAATGTGGAATGGGCTACCTCAGGCTGAGGGATCTTCAAGGCAGCGATGATGGCAGGACTGGTAGCCATAGCGGCAGGCAGGACATAGTCGTCAGGCAGGTATCCTTCGTAATCGGGGTAGGCAAGCTGATCGGGGACAGGATCGGCGTTGGGATCAAAGGAGTCAGGCACAGCTGGGCCGCTGGCAGAGGGGAAAGGAATGGGCTGGTCTGCGGTGACGCTGGGAGTGGTTTCGATTCCATTGACGATAGCGATGTCACCCATGGTGTTCTTCTGGGGGAGACTGGCTCCAAGGGCGACCTGGAGGAAGCCCAGGAAAAGGATGATAAGGAACTTCATGATGTAGAGGCAATTGCAAGTGTAAGAAGATTCAAGTGTAAGATAATTTAGGATCGATAGAGCAAGGGGGTGAGGAGAAGAAAGAAGAGAGAGAGGGAAGAGAAGCAGAAAAATTATAGATTAAATAGTGAACATCGACTTACTAACTGCTAAGCGAAGAATAACTATGTTTGTTTCTATCTTCACTTTTCAAAGTGAGAGATGTCAAGGTGAGAGCATACTTCACATATAGGTGACCAATAAGACCATCCATTCACTAGATGCTAGAAGGCATCTCTATTGGCTAACAAGAATGAGGATACAGGTATTTCCAGGTAGATACCTAATACCTCGTAGGTAGGTCGAGACTGGATGGCGGCACCGTGGACAGCTAAACCACACAAGCATATGCCTGTGTCAGTTCGACGCCCTGCGTGCATGCCGTCCCCTCATCCGACACAGGCGAGCAGCTCTCCACCTGCGCGCCGTCCTGGTTGACGCCCGTCACGGTCGACCCGTCCGAAAGACAGGCCAGCGAGAGACCCGTGTTGCCGTCGAGGGTGAATTCGGTGCCGCAGCGGGGGGGTGCAGGCCCGCCGTCGGAGCCTGTGATGGTCACGTAGTTTGCGCAGGCGTCTTTCTCGCTGAGTCCCGCCTCCCAGGCGATGAACTTGCCGCCGGAGGGGAAGCCCAGGAAGCCCAGGTTGATGTTTGGTACGGCGAGGACGGCGACGGAGCCGGCGAGGAGGGAGGCCAGTGTGAAGCGCATTGCGAATGATAATCTGGTACAAGGTGGTTTTTTATCCCTCTAGCTAATCTTTCTTATTCCATGGATAGAAGTTTTGATTCGGGAACGCACGCATTTATATCTCTTTATTCAAGGCCACCCATGTGATGATCATTAATAGAATATGACAGGACATGCTCATTGTAACCTAGTTCTCAATAGTATCTTGTCATGTAGCACTGCATAACTACTAGTGAGCAAAGGTGGACATAGTGAAGGCCGTACTTCAGCGTTCTAACACCCTATCATTCAGTCAGTTCCATTAACCTTCTATCCATCGAATCCTCACCAGCTCACAAACCAACCATCCCTTCCAAACCCTCTGTCAAAATACAGCCAAACTCGGTACGGAGTAGACTCATCCGTTGTGAAGGATCGGCAAGGCCCGCCAGGCTGGACTTGGCGGCGATCGGTTGTCTTGGCAAGAAGACAATGAGATGAATAATATCATTGTCAGATCTTCCTTTGTATCACTAGTATCCTTTTGTTGATCAAGAAGATACATATGATGCGTCAATGACCTTGTCGTACTCATATAAAGTACTCCGTACAACTTCAATCTTATGCGGCTTCATGACTCAGTTAGGAATGGAATGTGGGGATCGCAGGAGAACGAACGCTCGTTTATTCTTTCTGAAAAGCCGTTGGAAATAGCGGCAACATGAAAGCAATGATGAGATGATGGCCTATGCCAGTGGGGTATGGGTATTGCCAGTAGATGCATGCTCTAGTATACAAAATGATGAACGGGCCTCCAATTCCAAAGCCAGATCAATCGGGGTAAAATAAATGCCCTTGGCAAAAAAAAAAAGACAGGAAAAAGAAAAGAACACATGAAGAGAGACTCCGTATAGATAGTTTAAAAATGACAAGAAGAAACCAACAAGAAATTCCAAAAGAAAGAAAGAAAAAAAAAATCAACCAATGAGCACCCAAGCGATCATACCAATCCACATTCCCACAAAGACGGTGGTCAAGATGCCAGCACCTGCCTTGTCGCCTGTGGTGATCGCGGTAGTGGTCTCGGTGTCGCTATCCTTGTCTGTGGTACCGGCCGAGGGGTCACTGGTACTGTTTCCGCCGGTGGTGGAGGTGACCGGGGCGGCGGAGGTGTTCATGAAAGGGATCATGTTGACGCTGAAAATGCTGGTGGTGCTCATCTGCTCCTCCAGGCCGGACCATCCGTCCCACACGTCGCCATACCAGCGCACGCCGCACGTGTTGTTGCTATTTCCTATGCAGGTGGCGGCAGCGCCCTGCGCAGAGCCCTGGAGCTTGGGCCAGATCTCATCGTACGTCGACGGGACTACCAGGGAGGTGAAGGCCAGCCAGGTGGAAAGCAGACCCTTGAAGATGATCTCGTTGTCGTTGCAGACTTCGGTCGGCTCGCAGAGGATCTCGGACATAATCTCTCCGCCATGGCTGGAAGGAAAAAATCGGTCGAGGGTGACGTTGAGAAGACCGGTGACGGCGTCGAGCCATTTTGTGGTTCCATTAGTCTGCATGCAGGTTAGTTGAGCTCTCTCTCTCTCTCTCTCTCTCTCTCGGTAAGGGAGAAGGTCACTGACATAATTATACATGTAGGCAGCGCCCATGATATAGGTACCATAATTGTAGGTCCATTGATCGTCGCCCTGGGTAGCGCAGTCGTTGGTGGTCTCTGTAGAATCGGCGACGTTCCAGGTGCTATTGCTCAGTAGTGGTGTGGTGGCCGACCAGTCGAAGATCTTCTCAGCCCATTCGGCATAGGTTGTGTTGCCGGTGTAGCGCGCCAGGCGAGCAGCGAGTTGGAAGAGGCCACCGTTGGAGATGGAGTTCTTCATATCGTAACCGGCCTCATAACTGTAGATCTGCCACCGCATCCCACCGTTACATGACGTTGTGTCCCATCGGTTGACCTGCGTGTTGAAAACGCCCTGGGCGAGGGCGAGCCACGAGTATCCATCAGTGGAGTCGGGGAAGTTGAGTTCGGCTGCGGTCATGGCCGCGAGACCCCAGAACATTTGATCGTCGTTTCCCTGCGGTCGGCGGACAAAGAAGGAATCAGCCAAAAGGGTTCGCGCGCGTGCGTGTAGCGGAGTTGAAAGGGGGAGGGGAAAAGCGAGGGCGCTCTCTGCGTACAAGATAACTACTCCAGTTGGAGGGCATGTAGTCGCAGTCTCCTGCCTGCCACTGCATGCCTTCTATCACCTCCTCGTTGTACGTGTCGTCGCCGGTGAAATGCCAGTATTGGATCAGGGTCATGAACATGGCGCCGCCTTCCCACCACGTGCCCGGCAGTTTGCCAGGAATATGACCGGTCTCGTTGCCCTGATAATGGATCATCATCCCGTATGCGGCGTTGCTGGCGGCAGCTTTGATGGAGTCTAGTCAAACACATGTTAGCCCCGTGAACGACAGGCAGCGCAAAGCAGGATGGAGGAGAAACATACCGCTCGAGTCAATGTTCAAGTCAAGGGCCAGCGCCCCCTGGAGGGCGAGGAGAGCAGTCACCAGGTATCCAGTCCATCTGGACCAACCTCCAGCGGTCGGCATCATGGCTGAAGGAGCGAAGGAGGGAGACAAGAATCGTGTCCCCCGCGGGGCTCTAGCGTTTCACTTTCGTTTTATTTATCTCTTTATCGGCGGTCGCCTGGCGATAAGTGGCGATGCGATGGTCTGCAGAGAGAAATGACTGAGCAACGCGTGGAGAGAAGATGATCGAGCCAAGAAGGGGCGGGCGGGATGAGGCTAGGGGCACTTACAGACACACACACACAGACACAGGCACAAAGGGACAATCCCCGCCTAAGAATAGCATCCGAGACACCCTTCGTCAGCGCTCCAGACCCAGAGGGAGACTCTGGCCGAGCCGTGGACAGCCAGTAAGAAGGAGGAGCCACTCAGCGAACCGAGAATCAAGACTCAAGAGCATCCACCGCGACAGGGTCTGGGTAAGGGAGAGGTTGCGTGGCAGGGTGTCGGATCCGTCGGCTGGTCCACAGTGGGTGGAAACAGGGAATAAGGGTCGAAGATCAGAGTGACGATAGAGTAAAATAGAAGATAACTATTTATGTTATGTAGTAGAACAGTGCTGTAAATCTGTCTGTACAGTTATTGTTGTTGGGATGGTACCTGAAGAATGAAGATAGGGGGAATTTGAGGGGAATTTTTGGTTTTCTGAGAAAAAAAAAAAAAAAGAGAATGCATCATCCGTGAATCGAACACGGGCCTCATCGATGGCAACGATGAATTCTACCACTAGACCAATGATGCTGTTGTTGAAGGCAGTCATATGTTAAATATTATAATTCAATACTATTAATACTGTCCTGCTCTCAACACTCACTGCACTCCGAACACTGCTTCCTACCAGTTCTACCTCAGAGCAACCAACCACTGAATGGAGACCAGGCACTGGTTCGACAATACTATGGAGTACATGAATACTCCGTACATGACTACATGGCTACGAAGGAATCGACAACGCTATTGAAAACAGGATAATTACTCCGTAACAACGACGATCGCCGTGTCTCCGTCTTTTCCGGTGGGATCAGCACGAGCTCGGATGAGCTGAATAAGCCAGGAGGGGTAAACCACGTCATATAAATGAATACAGAGTCCAAGGATTTACTGCTAACCATTCTCTTCCAAGTGACTCAATTGATTGATTGCAGACGGACCGGAAAACCATGAGCTCTCCAACAAAAACACAGCGCTGGGTACTGCGCGAGAAGCCGTACGGAACCCCCGTGCTGGACGGCAAGGATGCCACATTCCAACTGGAGGAGGGAGTTGCTCTCCCCGCCCTGCAGGAGGGCCAGGTGCTGCTGAAAACGCTGTACCTGAGCAACGACCCTGCGCAGCGGTCGTGGATCTCCCCGCTGGCGCAGGCAGAACGCCTGTACCTGCCTCCTGTGCAGGTGGGCGAGACGATGAAATCGATGGGGATCGCGCAGGTAGTCGCCTCGCGCTGTGCGGCAGTCCCCGTCGGGAGTTTGGTGACAGGGAACCCGGGCTGGGCGGAGTACTCTGTCGACGAAGGGGAGAAGGTGGCGGTGATCGAGGAGATTCCCGCCGGACTGCCCGTCACGCATTTCCTGGGCGCGCTGGGCCTGCCGGGCTTCACGGCGTACTATGCCCTCACGCAGATCGTCAAGGCGACGGCGCGGGATGCGATTGTCGTCAGCGGGGCGGCGGGTGCTGTCGGGACGATGGTGGTGCAGATCGCCAAGAAGATGATCGGATGCAGAAAGGTAAATGTCTTTGCTACCTTATTCTCTTCCTTTTCTATCTCTAATTGTCAGGTCATTGGGATTGCAGGGACGGACGAGAAATGCCGATGGGTGGAAAAGCTCGGCGCCGACGTGTGCATCAACTACAAGTCGCTCTCGTTTAAGCAGACACTCACCCAGGAGACGGAGGGGTTTGTGGAGATCTATTTCGGTGTGGCTACACTTTCCTGGAACCGGGGATTTCGGCTAATGTAGCTGTATAGACAATGTCGGCGGTGAAATCCTGGACTTTATGCTGACGCGACTGGCCAAGTTTGGGCGTGTAGCTGCAAGGTATGACTTACTGATGTTTTATATATATTCGACCTAGTGACCTAATGAGCAGTGGCACGATCTCAAACTACAACCGCGACGCAGACATCACCGGACTGAAGAACTTCTACGTAAGACGGAGTTTTTTTTTTTTTTTTTTTTGTGTTAAAGCATGCTAACGCCACGCAGGAAGTTATCACCATGCGCCTGCAAATCCTAGGGTTCATCAACATCGACTGGATCGACCATCTGGCCGAAGTGCGGGCGATTCTCGTGGAAGAATGGAAGAAAGGCACGCTGGTGATTGGCGAGGAGAGCGAGATGGTGGTCGACACTGCGTTCAAGGACATTCCATCGACCTGGATGATGCTTTACTCGGGGGGCAATACAGGCAAGTTGGTTACCAGGGTGAAATAGAAAAGCTCAGTACAAAATTTTTCTATCGAATAAACTGCTGCTCATAGCCCTCCAAACCAATACTCTTATAATACTCCTTTGCTGTGGCGAGTTTCGAAAACACATCCTCCGTGGCAATCGCCTCCCCCAAGGGATCAACATAGATATACGCGCCCGTGACATGGAACAGGACGATGGTTTCGTCCACCCCATCGGGTACTTCAAGGGTATGTATATCTCCCGGGGGTTCGTACGAGAAGGAACCCTGTTCCGCCCACCATTCGTGTTCGAGATAATGCCATCGACCTTTGAGGGTTGTCGCGGCGACGGGCCCCGTATGGCGATGACGACTTAGAATGCCGGAGCGGCGCACACGCAGCAGATTGACAAAGTAGCCCTGGCTCACGTTGAAGAGCAGCGGGCGGAACCAGACGCCTTCAGCCTGGGGGACCCAGTATCGTTTGTCGAAGCTTTCCAGGTCGAGGATGTTGGCGACCACCAGGTCGGGGGGGACGGAGGGGAGGGGAGGGCCTTGATAGGGGATTGCTTGAGCGTCGGGGCGGGTCATTATAATAAATAATATAGAATATAGAGTAATAGAATAGATATAGAGTACTTGGAAGAAATGTAGTGTGATAGATGAGATGGTTATATAGACTGGATCTATTCCGGTGGATCGGTACAAGAACATCCGATTGGAGTATTAGAGTATATTATTTGTATAGTATATATAATATATATATATTTATATAATTGTTGTATAATATATATAAATACATATTTATATCTAACCATTCAACTCCTTGCAACTGTCACTCTCACTGCGGCCGTGCAGATACTCCTCCCCATCGAGGACATGCACGCTCTCACGCACTCCCTGCGTCAGACACGACCAGCCGTGGCCTTTTCCTTCGAAGATATGGTCGATCTGCTCGAGAGACAGGCCGCGGACCTCGGGGTAGAGGAAGTAGACTATCGGGATGAAGGAGGCGTTGAATACGGCCCCTGTCGATCGATCAGTTGGGCCGTTTACTGGGCTTGATTGACCTCGGTGATTGACTTACAAACAATGTAGTATTTCCAGCCGATGGAAGCAAGACTCGACGGAGTGATGGTGACGACGATCCCGTTGACTGGATTGTTAGCATGATCCTGCTTTTATGACTTCTTGTATACAAGTATTGACGTACACAGCCAGTTCGACGCCGAGGCAATGGCGCCTCCTTTGGACCGCATCCGGAGGGAATTGATTTCCTAGAAACCTTTAGCATCCTATTGAATCAAGGAGCCAGAAAGTAAACCCACCGGAGCATACATCCACGGGACGTTCAGATAACTCATGGCAAACGCATCGTAGAAGAGACAGTACATGACCACCGTCATGATGGCCCCCCCCCGACCGGGGATGTTGAAGCCGACGGCGATGAGCGCCGAGAGGACCATCAAGGCTGCGGCGCCCGAGATCAGGATCGTGCGACGGCCCAGCCGTTCGATGAAGAGCAGCGGCGCAAAGGAGAAGAGCAGATACTGCGTGGCGGCGATGGCGGCGACGACATGGGCCATTGTTTCGCTGAGGGGGAGATATTCGGTCAAGACGACGGGGAAATAATACGCGATAGAACTGGCTCTTAGCATAAGTTATTCTGAACACTTTATAAGGGGAAAATACTTGATTCCTGTCAGCTGCTGCATGTAGAGCACCCCAAACCCAAGCAGCATGCGGCGACAGTTCTGCTGCCCGCCGTTGCGGAAGAGATCAGCCCACGAGGCACTCTCCTGCTCGTCTTCCAGGGCGTGTCGGATCTCCTCGCGGATCTGCAGGACGAGGGGGTCGTCGACCGGCCGGTCGTGCAGCCGGGCGATGATGAGAGTCGCCTCGTCGAGCGAGCGATGGTGTGCCACCCAGCGCGGCGACTCGACCAGGAAGGGCACGGTCGCCAGGAGATAGAGGGCGAATAGGACCTGCACGGCGATGGGGAAGGTCCACTGGAACTGCGAGGAGGCGTACGAGGCGCCCAGCGTGAGCCAGTTGGACAGCACGAAGCCGGTGTTGATGTTGCCGCTCTGGATCGTCAGGTAGGAGCCTCGATTCTCGGCGCCAGAGACTTCGCTTTGCCACTACATTCTTAATATAGAAGAACTCACGGGAGGGACGAAGTCGATGGAAACAGAGAAGAACTCACGGTAGGCACGATGGAAGTCATGATTCCCACTCCGCAGCCGGTGACGATTCTTCCCACCATCAGGTTCGGGATGGTTCGGGATGTTGCCTGGAGGATTGTCCCGACAATCACAATCACACAGCCGATGTACTGAGTCAGTTAGGAGGGTAAAATATAATAGAATGTAGAGGAAGAAGAAGAAGAAGAAGAAGAAGAAGGATACAATTGATCGTCGACGCCCCAGTTTCTCGCCGAAGATGAAGGTGCCGATGGAACCGAAGAGACAGCCGATGTCGTATAAGCCGGTGATCAGGCCTTGTTGGAGGGCCTATAATATCATTATCAATATCATCGATTGAGCTTTTCAACCTCCATAGGTCTGTACCTACCGATGGATGGTTGAACTGCTTGACAAAGGAGCTGGAATCGATGATCCCTCCCATCACGCCTTGGTCGTCTGTCAAGTTAGTATACAGTATAGAATCGAAGATCATCTACGTACAGCCAAACAGCAGGAAGCCCATGCTGCAGGCGGCGCTGATCAGGGCGCTGAGGGTTTTTCCGCGTGGTTGATACATGGAGGATGAATAGAACTGATGAAGAGAACTGAATAGAACTGAAGAATAGAAATAAAGGATAGGAGAAGAGAAGAATCAGTATTTAATGATATCTGGACCCGCAAATGACCTCATCTTGGATAGAAAAGGAATGGACAGTTCAGGTAATACAGGTTAGGATGAAGATCTCCATGTAATACATGTAGTGTATAAAGTAAGATTACTCATTCATATATTCTATCATTTATTATCTCATTAATCATTATTCTACTATGGCCGGATATGGACGCAGGGTTACTATAGACATGATGCAGGGTTACTATAGACATGACTCAGGGTTACTATATAGACATCTACCCCAGCTCTTAAATGCTACTCTCCTCGGGCGTATACATTAACTAGAATCCTACCTAACACTTATATCAAGCCAACCATTGAACAATTTTCTGAACTTATATCTATGATCCTGGAGTAGGTATGAAACACCGATATGTGGGGGCGGTCCAGCGCGGGGAAGTGGAGGGGAATTACGTCTGGGGAGGATCCGGTGGAAGCATTCCTTGTATTAGTTATTTCGAACTAACCATCTGATTTATTCTGCTGTAGACTGTACCATCTTGATCCTCTGTGTACGATGTCCAGTCAGTTGATAGAGGTACCTAGGTAGCTGTACTTGACAATAATGATATACTATATACCATATTTTTAGTATATATAAAGTATATGTATTCACCTCTTAGTTATACGACTACATACTACATATTCAACCAATCATCGACCTACTAAAACTCGGATAAGCGGTGCGGGGAAATTGCGGGGCCCCAAAACGAATTTGCCGGTGGAAGAAATGCGTCATCCGATCTGAACCCTCGGAACTGGGAAGAACAATAATAACACTCTGGTCTAGAGAGTATGAATCCTCCTGCGAAACGTGGCCCTCGCGTTGCGGCCGCCTGCCAGCGCTGCCGTCGCCAGAAGCTCAAGTGCGACCGCGACCGGCCGTGTGCGTTGTGTATCCGTGCCAGTGTGCCTTGTATCACGCAGGACCGTCAGAAGCGACGACAGCTACGTCAATCGAAAGCGCAATCGCAATCGCAATCGCAATTACAAGAGCAAGAACAGGGTTCGCAACCACAGGATGAATCCCTGCCGGAAATTGCGGTCCATCGCCGTACCGATGAGACGTGGTTCATCTCCGAGGCGAGAACATCCTCGGCGGGGATGACGCAAGAGGTATTACGATAATATCAATAGTATAGTTGTGCTATATCTAATTCTCAAGATAATCGACCAGTTCAGCCCGAAAACGGTCCTCGCCAGCTCCATCTCTGCCCTCCCGGGTGGCGCCAAAGCGAACGCCGAGAAGAATCATGGTAATCCATCGCCACCAACATCTGATATCTCCGTGCGCGAGGCAATCGGCTTCGATCTCCCCCCGAAACCCATCGCAGACGCCCTGCTGGAAACGTACCTGCGTGCCGTCCACTGGTTCATGCTGGTGTTTCACGAACCCACCTTCCGCGGAGAGTACGAGGCGGTCGTCACCTCGCAGCGCTGTCTGTCTGGTCCTCGTTCGAGGCACCAGCTGCTTCTGATCCTGCTGGTTCTCTCGCTCGGAGCGCATTACTACACTGCCGGAGAGAGGAGAAACTCGGTAGAAGACCACGAGAGTAATGGAGGGGAAGGAGAATTTGATATGCAGGCATTCCGCACCCGTTCCCTCGCCAAAATCGAAGGAAACCTACTAGACCTTCTTGACGGGGCAGATGTCGAGGCCGTCCAGGCCTGCGTCCTCCTGGGTTCCTTCTACCTGTACCACGGCCGCCCTAACCTGGCGTACGTCGTGCTGGGCGCCGGAATCCGCTGCAGCGAGATCATGGGTCTCGCGCGGGAATCCGGCTGGCGACGCAGCCTGTCGGAGCATGCGCGCGAGGACCGCCGCCGGACGTTCTGGGCGTTATACGTTTTCGACCGCTTCGCTTCCATCGTGTACGGTCGACCGTGCTGTCTGCGCGACGAGGAGATCGAGGTCTGCCTGCCCGAGAACAGGGGCGACACCACCCTCGTGCATCCTGCGTTTCGTACCGTGCTCGCAGACTCCTCGCCTGTCACCACCTTCACCTATGTCAAATGCAAGATCCAGCTGTACCGCATCGCCTCGCCTATTGTCGCGGACATTTACTTCCACAAAAACGCCGATCGCGCTTCACTGGCGGCCAAAGTCGGCCGTATCGACCAGCAGCTGCGTCGGTGGTTTGCGCATCTGCCCCCGGAGTTGAAGCTAAAGGATCTTCACGAAAAGGCTAGCAGTAGCAGTAGCAATTTCCAAGACTCTTCGCGGCTGTTCATGCTCCAAGCATTAGCATTGCAACTAGCATACGACAACGTACAGATCCTGCTTCACCGACCACTGCTATTGCAGACGGATGCGGACGACGAATTCTCAAGCAGAAGCCAGTGCTGGAACTCGGCGATCCAGTCCTCGAATCTGGGCGTGTACGGTCCCTGTCTCGAGGAGGCGCGCGACACACACGCCGCAGCGTTTATGGGGATCAATCTCTTCACGGCGAGCATGGTGTTGTGCGTGTTCGCCATGTCGAATCCCATCTCGTCGCAGGCGCAGCTGGCCAAACAGGCCGTCAAGCGGATCATGTCCTTGTCGCGCTTTCTGGCCCATCGCGCCCTGCTCTCCGACCAGACGAACCATGTTCTTCGGGATCTCGTCCAGTTGATTTTTGAGAAAGAGATGAAAGCCATGCTGGAGACTGAGGATATACAGTTGCGGCAGAGTCATCAAAGTCACCAGAACCAGATTCCTGAGAGTATACCTGACGTGATATCTCCAACACTCCCAGAAGACGGACTGCTCGGTTTCCCCGATTTCGGCAGTCTAGACTTTCACGACGGCATCGCCACCTTGCAGCAGGGTAAGTCTCCTTTTCAACCGATCTCTTGTCACTTATTAATTGTTAGCCATGTTCCCCGATCCTGAATGGATCGACGTCGGGACTCCACGCGGGATCCCTCTCAGCTCGATCGGCCAGACGTGGGTATGGAATCCTTTCAGTGCGCCGATAGATGATGCATAGTTAATCTCAATGAGAGACGAGTCATGATACCCCATGTAATCAGAAGCAGTAGAGCAAAGTATTCTCGTGATTGCTGAGCAATCGGATCACACCCAGCTTCCGGTGGGACGGATGTACCACTTTGTAGAACCATAAAGGAATAAGAATAGAAGAGATAAACAGACAACAATAGCTTTCATCAGAACTCTTACCTCGACTACTTTACTATGACATCTGTCCACCCCCTCGCCACCCTCTTCTCCCTCGAGGGCAAGACAGCAATCTGTACTGGCGTCACAGGCGGAATAGGAACAGAAATCTGCACCACCCTCGCCGAAGCGGGCGTCGACATTGTCTCCATCCAGCTAGAGGGGGACCCGAACGGAGCCCCCCTCCGCGCGGCAGTCGAAGCGTTAGGCCGAAGCTTCCACGCTTTCGAATGCGACGTTGCGGATTCCAAGGCCCTACGGGAGACCTTTTTTCGCATCTGGGCGGAGGGTATCGTGCCGGATATCCTGCTCAACTGTGCTGGGATTAATCGACGAGGACCAGTTGTTGACTTGACCGATGAAGATATTGATGCGGTACTTCCACATCATATAAGTATGGGTTTGTAGAAATACTGACGTCGACAGGTGCTGGCGATTAATCTCAAAGCAAGCTATGTCGCTGCGCAAGAGTTTGCGCGGAGACTGCTCGCGCTGCGCCGGCCTGGAAAAGTCATCAATATGGGCTCCATGCTCTGTTTCCTGGGAATGTATAATGTCTCGGCCTATGCGGCGTCCAAGGGAGGCGTGCTGCAGATGACCAAGGCGTTCAGTAACGAATGGGCAGCGGATGGTATCCAGGTCAACTGTATTTGTCCGGGGTGAGATTCACTTTCTGCTTGAGTCTTCTTGAGCTCGTATTGATGTTTGAAGGTATTTGAAAACACCCATGACGAAGAAGATCGTCGAAGACCCCGAGTATAGCGCATATATCATGAAAAGAACCCCCGCGCGGCGTTGGGGAGAGCCAAAGGACCTGCGAGGAGCGCTGATCTTCCTGGCGAGTCCGGCGAGTGACTTTGTGACGGGGACGAGCATTGTCGTTGACGGGGGTATGTTGGGAATGTAGTATTCATCTTTCAAGAGATACCTAAGGGATAGGAATTCCTGTAACGAGCTTAGTATAGACAAGACAAACGCTGGTGTAGTAGAATGACTTATCAAATGTACCTACATAGCTTATGACAAAGCATGAGATGGTAGATCTTGGAGAGAGACAGACAGACAGAGAGAGTTCAAGTCAGGGTGGTGTCCCATGAGATGTAGTGAGGTCTACAGGCTAGAGTAGCAGAGCCTAGAGCTTTTCCAAGATACTAGCATTGAATTCAAGAATGATTATTAGATGTTGTAGGCTTTGTGCAGGCTTTGTGCAGGCTTCACTCAAATGTTTATACAAAAAAACTGGATTTGTGAACCTCGTCTAGCAGAATATCAAATAGTTTCCGATCCTCGACACTCATGGTATCAGCAGAGTGCGTCGGGGCCCCCAGCAATGGTTTCAGATCCGCAACGCACAGCGTGTCTGGATCCGGCAATTCACCCGTCTGAAAATAGGTGCGTATCGCTTTGGCGATACACAGCGAGGGGGCGGCGAGGGTGGTGTGCTAAACTTTCAGTATAGATATGTAAAGAAGACGAAAGATATCTTACCCCCTCTGAATCTTGCTCGAGGACAACCGAGCCTGGAAAGCCCTCGGACATTCGTCGAGCACTTTTTGTATTAGCAGCGTTTATCAGAAAGTGAATGGATAGGATTACCTTGTTAACGGAGTGACGGGGTCAAGGGTATTGCTGACAAAAAGGAGAGGGTGGGCTGTTTCACCAATGGGGGGGCCTTGAGATGTTAGCATATGAATATCATATAGTTGATATATGTCTGAAGGAAGTCTATTATTGTATACCCTCAAAACTCCACTTGGCTTTGGCTTTCCAGCCCACGCAATCCAGCCGGGTATGCGACCAGTAGTCGCCGACGATCTTAGAGTCGCGCGTCAGATTGTGCCAGTGGTGGAGAAAGCCCTGGCGGTCGATCTGGCCGAGGTGGGCGGCGTCGGTGCAGAGGATAGCCTGGGTGGAAAAGTCCTCGCTCAACTCCGGGACGAGGCAGGCGGAGGACCAGGGTCCCATGCGACGGCACTCGTCGGACAGGCAGGAGGGCACGCCATGGCGCTGCTGCTTGAACTCGGCGAGGGAGGAGCCGTTACCCACGGCCAGCTCGCCCAGGATGCGGGCCAGCAGGGGGAACACTCGCAGCGGCTGGTACATGGCGATGCGCACGATGATCTTGAGGTCGGTCCAGGTGATGACCTCTGGACCGCGGGTGGCCGAGGCGTGGACGGGCAGCGAGTCGGCGAGCAGCCTGGCCTCGAGAGCCCAGTAGGCAGCCTCGATGGCCGCGGGTCCCCCAGGTTGGTAGAAGGGACAGGCGTCCGGGCCGATGGAGTCGCAGTAGTAGGCGAAACGGCGGAAGATGGCGTCGGCGTCGAGCACGTTGCTCTTTCCGTCACCCTGGCCGTCGTTGTGGTAGTATAGATTGGAGTCGACGACCCCGTCGAGCACGGCTCGCGCGACGCGGTCCGGATACAGCGACGCAAAGGTGGCGCCGATCACGGTGCCGTAGGAGCGACCCCAGTAGAGCAGAGTCTCGCGGCCACGGTTCCAGCGCGTTCGGGCAACGATCGCCTGCTCCTCGTCGTACCCGTGCTGGCTATCCAGGATGCGTTGGGCAGCTAAACCTCGCTGCTCGCGCCACTCGGCGTGGCGTTCGACGATCTCGAGCATATCGCGGGCGACGGGGGGTGTATTGACGTGCTCGCCGAGGGCGTCTTCGCCTTCCTCGGCGGCCAGGATACGGTCGGAGCAGCTGTCGGTCAGCGCGGTGACGCGCTGCCAGTTACGCATCAGCGAGTCCGGGGAGCTCCCCAGCATACCGTCGGCCTGGGTCTGCAGTCGCCAGTTGTGCAGCGAGAACGTGTCCGGGAAGCAGCTGAACCCGGGGGTGGTGTTTCCGACGGCGCGCGGGTCAAAGCCGATGATATCGAAATACTTATCGCCCCCGTCGTCCCATTCGGACCCCAACCTGGGCTCGCTCTCAGCGTCCGCAATGGCCTGCAGGTTGTGTCCCGAGACACGTACCTGGGTCACTCCCGACCCCCCTGGGCCCCCAGGGTTGACCAGGATCGGGCCACCATAGCGAGGATCGGTGACTGGTACCTTTGCCGGCAGACGTGTAATGGCGAGGGCAAACTGGCGGCCCTTACCGTCGCTGCGGTGGTAGTCCATGGGGACCAGCAGACGGGCGCACTGGAAGCCGTCGAAGCAGTCATGGTATTCCAGGCTCTCGGAGGGCGTAATCTAACCGTCAGCACTTATTTTTTACGTCACTCCCCCCCCGTTCTTCGAGTCTGTACCTACCTGACCCCAGGTGAAGCCAGACACTGGGTGGACTGGCGTCTCACTGCCAGCGTTTATCTCGACCCGGTGCGGCTGGAACCACCAGAAAGTGGCAGCCAGACCGGCCAGGGCAAGCGTCAGGGACCGAACAACATTCTGACGACGCTCGACAGGCCGGCGAGGGACGCTGCCCTCGTCCTTCATCCTTGTGAGAAGCCGAGCAGAAGAGAGAAGAAGGAGGAGGAGGAGAAGGAGACGAGAGACAGCCCGACCGGGCAGGCACGTTAATGGGTACGGTACGGCGGTACGGTACGGTACGGCCACAGACAACAGTTAGACAGCAGTAGCCAACAGTTGAGCGTCAGTTACTCGGCAGTCAGTGAGATATGCCTAGTTTTAATGACATGAACAGTCAATAAATCGATATAAGCCGAGTCTGAAGAATCTCCAGAGTTCTGAATGCCTGGTTAAGGTAGAAGACTAATACTTAGCGGGGTTCTCTGCAGGACTGACCTGGCTGCTGATCCTCGTATGTCTGATAAGGAATATTGGACAGTCAATACTAGGTGCCTAGGTAGTAGGTACCTATAACCAGGTAGGTTTACAGAGTACTAGGTAGTAACTATGTAGGTATGGAGTAGTAACTGACTATATAGTAAGCCTGAACTAGAATATAGTGATTATTAGTATAGCATCTACCCATAGAATATTCTATCTGGAACATTGAATGGGATCCTCAGCTAAGAATGTCTGGCTTCCTAACCACCTATACTAAAGTAATATCTACTGTCTATTCTACTGTCTACTCGTATTACTGTATTTATATTACCAGAGTCGTCACGAGACATCCCATCCCGTGACTACGGAAGAATCCCATCCCGTCTGTTGCTCCTTCCTCTTTCCCTTCCTTCCTCCTCCTCCTCCTCCTCCTTCTTCCTCTTCTCCTTCCTCCTCCTCTTCTTCCTTCTTCCTTCTTCTTCTCCTCCTCCTCCTCCTCCTCCTCCAGGCTGCCACTGAGAGTCTTTAAGCTATCTGGTAAGTTGCAACCCTGCTATCTCTCGCTGCCTTCTGATCCTGGCAGGCTGACGATAACAGATTCAAGATGAAGCCACCAATCACTGCAGATCGATTGACAATACATTCCTGGCCCACCGACGATCCTCCCCCGGATGTCGTCCATGGTCTGTGTGATAGGCGAACCAGGAGATAGCCATGGATGCTACATAATACCTCCCTTGTTAACTAGGGGCGGTCTGTGGTGAGACAAGTCTCGATCGATTCAGAGTAACTATTGATTATCTCGCTAAAGTCGATACAACAATCCTTCCAAGCCCCAACTGATTAGCTGATAATCGTTCTGCCTCCCAGTGGCCCGTTGCTTCTTGCCCCCGCACGCAAGCCAGTTGGTTCGATGACCAGGCCATGGTCGAGAGACTAGTTTAATTCCCTGCCTTAAGCTATCGCCTGATGCTCGGTCATGCGATTGGCAGGAGGGGTAAGTACTAACTAGGTACTAGGTCGTGGCAAGTAGTGAACGCCTCATGTCAGTCGCGTGGTTGGCCTTCTTGGTTGGTATATGGGGGAATCGCCGCGAGACTGGGATCAGGATTATTGCTGGGATTCACTACAGCGATTGCAGATATAATATCCTATATTATATCTTGTATATATAAACCGACGAAAGCCAAACCCCCCTGGCGTGAATGGAATAAACCTAACCGCCCGTGCAACACACCATGGGTTTGATGACCGCGTTGAAGGCCCAGCTGTCGCCCAGCGGCGCTGGGGATACCCCTACTCCTGCGTCGCCCTCGGCGACCGCCGATGAAAAGCAGCCCGAGATGATGAAATCGATCGAAGGTACGCTACAGCAGCAGAACATCTATACCGATCCGGAGATCGCGGGTGCGGCCAAGATCGAGGCCATCGAGTCTGTCTGGGGCAAGCGAGGCCGATACATGCTCTATCTGGGGTAAGACATGTTCCGGATCACTTTTCATTCCCGATGCTAACAACGGATAGGTTGGCTATGATGATGATTATCTTGTAAGTTGATCGGTTTTTGGAAGAGTTGTAAGAGAGAAAAAACACTGACCAGCAGTGAACTCGACAATTCGACCGTGGGCACCTATCTCACCTATGCAACCTCTTCCTTTGACGAGCTGTCCATGCTCAGTACCCTCACCACAGCAGCCAGTATCATCCTGGCCGTGTTCAAGCCACCGATCGCCAAGATGTCAGATGTCATCGGTCGTGGCGAGACGTACATCTTCACCGTCAGCTGCTTCATCCTGTCCTATATCCTGTGCGCCTCATCGGCGACCATCAACGTCTACGCCGGCGGCTACGTCTTGTACGCGATCGGCCAGTCGGGCACGGCCATGCTGGACGCCATCCTGATCTGCGATCTGACCAGCATGCGCTGGCGCGGATTCTCCTACAACATCATCTACCTGCCCTTCCTCATCACCCCCTGGATCTCCGGAGTCATCGTCGACAGCGTCGTCGACGGCATCGGCTGGCGCTGGGGTATCGGCATGTTCGCCATCCTGATGCCCGTCTGCGCCGCCACCATCATCACCACGCTGCTGGTCTTCCAGCGCCGCGCCAAGCGGGCCGGGCTCGTCCTCGTGGAGCGGATCACCATCTACGAGTTCTGCTCGCGCATCGACCTCGGGGGGACCATCCTGCTCAGCGGCGGCTTTGCCATGATCCTGCTGCCCATCACGCTGGCCGCCACCACCACCAGTAAGTGGCAGACCCCCTGGGTCGACGTCCTGGTTGCCTTGGGTGTCGTCGCCCTGATCTGCCTGTACCCCTACGAAAAGTGGGTGGCCAAGCACCCGGTCGTGCCCGTGCGCTACTTCTCCAACCTGGCCGTCGTCATCCCCGTGCTGATCGCCTGTCTCGACAACATGGGCTTCGGCTCGACGCACACCTACCTGTACGCCTGGTCAATCGTCTCGCACAACATGTCGGCCCGCAACGCCCTCTACCTGGCGTACGTCAACGGCGTTGTGCAGTGCCTGACGGGCATGCTGGTCGGCACCCTCATGTACCGCACGCGCTCCTTCAAGTGGATCGGCGTGGCGGGCGCCATCATCCGCCTGATCGGGTACGGCGTGATGATCCGCCTGCGCACCAACCACAGCTCCGTTGCCGAGCTGTTCGTCGTCCAGTTCATCCAGGGCATCGGCAGCGGCATCATCGAGACCGTCAACATCGTCTGCTCGCAGATCGTCGTCCCGCACGCCGAGCTCGCCCAAGTCACCGCCCTCATCTTCCTCGGGGCCTTTCTCGGCGACGGCATCGGCGCCGCCATCGCCGGCGGCATCTACACCGACACCCTGCGCGGCCGCCTTGCCCACCACCTCGGCAGCTCCGCCAATGCCACCGAGATCAACGAGCTGTACGACTCGATCACCGGCGTGCTGCCCACGTGGGGGACTCCAGAGCGTCTCGCGGTGGATGAGGCATACTCGGATGTCATGGGGTAAGAAAAAGCATACATATATATAGTGAGTGCAATTCACTAATGAGTTAGGTACATTACTATTGCCGCGCTCGCGCTGTCCGTGCCCGTCGTGGTGCTCGCCTTCTTCATGCCGAACAACAGACTAGGGTGGGTTCCCTTGACACGAGTGAAAGGATGTACTGACTGTTCTAGTGATGGACGTAACCTCATGGAGGGCGTCGAGCCGACCGAAACCAAGCAGCCTGAGGCTGCTGTGACTGATGCTCCGATCGAACTAGCTGAGAAATGATACATGTCCAGATACGAATAAATATGATAATTATGATTATATTGATATCTCTGTAGTGTAACTACTTCCCCGGCGACCCCAACACACAGACAAACTCCCTTTCCGGCGTATCCTCGAGGGCATTGAGGACGAGATTCCAGACATTCAAATCGTACGCCTCGCCGATATGCCCGACCGGATCCAGCGGACAGGTCGCCTGGACGTACTCGTTGCGCACGCCAGTTTCGTCGACGAACGCCGTCTGCGTGGGGGTGACCAGCTCGTCGTCCGTGCTCGCGATGACCGTCAGCCTGTTCCCGCTCTGCACAATGGGATCACCATCGTTGAGTCTGAGCACAGCCGGCCCATCAGGGCCCAGATCATTACACGCCGGACAGCCGAGTATATCCAGGGCTTCTCCGACAAGGGTCCGCGATACATTGCCCAGCACGTACGCGAGATCATACAATCCCGCAAAGGTTGTGCCGTGCGTTGGCGGCGCAATGGCCACCAGCGTGTCGAGCAGGTCAGCGATCCCGGCCTCGAATTTCGGCACGTACAGCGTTTGGAAACCCCCCTCTGAATGACCGACTAGATCGATCTTGGAGGCGCCTGTTTCGTTCGCCACGGTGCGGATATAGCTTGCTATCTCGGCTGCGGAGTCGTTGATGGGCTTCAATCCGCCGAGAAACGGGAACGCGTCGTACGCGCCATACGTGCTTGCGAAGGTGCAGAAATCCGATGCGGCAAGGAAGGCTTGGAGGTAGTTCAGGTCTTCGTACCATGTTGCCCCGAGGCCGTGCAGGAGGACCACTGGGTTCGGGTGCGTGGTGCTTCTGCATGTGAAGTCGTTGATCGCCCCGGCGGAGACTGTGCCGAGGAGGCTTAGGAGGCCTAGGAGGAGCATGGTTATTGATAGTTATGTAGAGAGTAGAGAGTGGAAAGTAGAGGGTGGAAAGTAGAGAGAAGAGAGAGTAAATACCTCGGACTCCTTAATTTAATAATTTCAGCCCTGCTCCACTGTGAGACACTATTGATCGAGTGTCGATCAACGATCGATTAGGAATAAGATCTCTGGACGACTATTCCATTATCATTGGCTGAAAGTGTGATTCATTCGGTTGATCTGCATTTGAATCACAGCATTATTATGTTTTAATTACGGAGTAATAGAAGATGGATTTCTATCCACACGAGTGTTTGTACAGCTAGTCTGGGTTTATAATAGACTACCTGTTGATAATGATCATAAGATAGCAAACAGTACTCCGTAAAGCAATAGGTATAGATAGATATCTAGTACTAAGAGTCAACAGTATCTTTACTATACCCCGTGGTAAAATCCTATCCCTAGGGTTAGGGAAGTAGACATTAGCATAGCAACATTCATCATTGATAAATTTGTCAGAAGCAATATCAATGGCAAACCAGCTATTCATTTATCGAGATCCCCAAAATATGCAGGGTGACGATGCGCTCGACGAAGATGTTGTTTGGCCTGTCCATCGACACTCCGAAGGCCTTGTGGTACTCCTTTTTCTCCTCAACCGTGAGCTCGAAGCCACAGTCTCGTATACAGCAGCCACGCTCGACCGTGCAATGGCCAACCGCCAACCTGGTTTGGTCCGTGGCCTGCTCGCCGCGTCTCTCGCAGCAGCCACACGAACGGCCACAACATCCCACACGGGCGGCACAGTAGTCACGCAGATCGCTATGGAGATACCAGTTCGGAGTCGCTCGCCAGGCGTCGAATCCCCTTTTCAGCGGCCCGGGAGGACACAAAGATTCACGCTGGTGCCACTCTCGTGTGTGCGTCCAGTAGTCCCTCCGCCGCCTTTGGATTTCCTGCTCCCATTTGTCCAGCTGGGTTTTGTCCTCTGGCGTACACCCCTGTGCCTCCTGGAGGCCCTGGATAAGTTCATGCAGATATTCCTCCCGTCGGAGGTTCTGTCGCATATTTCCTTCAACCGTGATAATGTTCCGTGCGAAGGCCTTGCTCTTGCTGGAGAGCGGCAGGCACCGCAGCATCCGCAGACGGTGGTGTTGGACGGCGTCGAAGCCCTCACTCTCCTCCACCCGCTCCTCGATTTTCATGAAGAAAGGATTGGCATTTTGGAATTAGCAGTATCATGGATTTTCAGCGATGCAGAGTCGATAGTGCGGATGGCAGGTGCGAGGGGGGGCAATTTTGACTTCGCAGTTTCCATGGATCCGTTCAAACCGGCGTCATGAACAGTAAACAATTGTAGGCTTGAGGTGCACTTGCCTTGCAGAAGTAGAGTAGAAATCGTAGCCCAAAACCATGGCTCCTGTCCCTGTAATTCTGTCCTCTTCCCAACCATCTCATTGCATATTGATGTATGCAACAAGGCTTAATCCATGATATTCAAGGGTTGTTAGACGATGCTGACGTTTTCAGAAACCCAAACCACCTCCTCAACGACCACCACAATGACCGATAGATAGCCCCTCGTCAGGCTTGGAAATCTCGATTGGCGGCAACAAGGTCAACATCCTCATGCTCCTTTTCCCGTTCGCTGCGCTGCTGGCTGCTCTGGCAGCAGTGCTCATCTTTTGCAAGAAGTACTTTGCCTGGAAGTATGATGATCAGTACCATAGTATAGAAGATAGATATGGACACTGACTGGTAAACAGGTTCCCCAAGTTTCCGGGATGGCCCACTATCCTAGGATCGGGAGAACGACAGGGGGACTTCCACCACAATTGGTTGAACAGAAACCGGATCGTGCTGCCCCTCCACTCGCCATCTGGAAACTCCCATCATGGGAGTGAGCAAAGCCCAGCGGCTCCCTCCAGCTTCCTCAGCTGTCTCCGCGCCAAACTATACACCCCGGGCGCCTCCAGGTGGCACAAGACAAGAGACCTTTTCAAGTCGGTTCGAAACAGGGGCAACTAAGATTCATCTTCTTCGTTCTTTTTCCGACTTCTTCTTTTTCCTCTTCTTCTTTTCTTGTTGATTCCCACAGGGGTGGTTTTCTATTCCCGTTTTGGTTGTTTCTCAGGCCTAGATTATACTAGATTAGTAGATTAGCCAATGTATTCTTATCATCCTGGATGTCGTCTAATCGTTTATGCTTTGATGAAGCAGAAAACCTATACATGGCAAGAATGAGACAAGACTTAAGGATTCAATGTACTACTCCCTACTCGCCGCCACAGACAGCTCCGGCATGGCACTCCCCCACAGCGCCAACGAATGCCGCTTCTCGACCAGCTGCAGCACTTCGGTCAGATATCCTCTCTCCGGACCACCAGGGGTAAACGCCTCCCAGGCCACCCGCACTGTGAAGGCGAGCCGGTTGATCATGTTGCCCGGTGCCTTGCGGATATACCATTCCAGACTGCGGCAGATATCGCACGCGAGCGCGTACTGTTCTGGGGGCCGCACGCCGTCCGGCCGATTGTCCACCGAGGACAGCACCAGGCGCGTCGTGTAGTACAAACACATGCTCTGCGCGAGTCGAAGGTTGGGATACAAGAATGTCGACGGCTGGTACAGCGCTCCCGTCCGTAGGTTACGGCATTGAAAGACGGGGAAGAAGCCTTCACCTTGCGACCCGGTGGTCTCGCGTGGGGGCCCGTCCGGAGACATATCGACCCAGTCCTTCTTCCACTGGACGTACTGTTGCGTGAGTCCTGTCACGGCGTTCCAGAGTGTCGCCCGCTTGGCCGTCAGCTCCACGGTGCTCCATGCTCCGGACCGCTCCGCCGCCTGCACCTCGTCGTACTGCGCCATCAGCCCGGGGATTTCCACCGCCAGGTCTAGCAGGTAGTGCAGCAGGTCCTTGGCCGTCGTATTCGCCGACCAGGGGATCGTCTTCCACTCGGGCCGCGCGAAGAAGGTCGGCTTGCGTGTGAAGAAGGAACCGGCGACCTGCAAGAGGTCAACATCGTTGTAATGATCAGAAAGGATCTAACCACTCACCCAGTAGGGTCTCATCTCGACAAATAGCGAATGCTCTACTCCGTACATATGGTTCTCGGGTCCACGATGCTCGATCAGACGCAACGCACCCAGCACGTGGGTTGCCACAGAGGCTTGCGTCGTTCGTTCAACACTCTGGCTGGTCAGCTGAGAGGAACCTATTCCTGGATGGTAAGGGAGGGGGATTGTACTTCAAACGCAATCAATAGAATGACGGTCACCAGCGTCGACTCGGCCTTGCTGCGTTCCGCATCCATCAGGGCTTCCTGCAAGCCACGCAGCACGCGTGGATACATGCGGAACCCCACGGTCTCGATCCGCTTGTCCTGGATGGACCGGCCGAAAAAGGCTACCGAGACGGCCTCGAATGCATCGCACATCAACGGCGAAAACATCCGAATCTGGGCCGCAGCGCGGATCGCCCCGGCATGCCCAGCCTTGAAGTCCACCTCTGGGCTGAACGCATCCACGAACCGTTCCACAAAGACGTCCAAAGCGAGTCTAGATGAGGTAAAGGAGGATACTGACTCGACCAGAGGGGTGTAAAGGTCGCCATCCTGGACGAGGAAGGGATTCACCGCATGACCGCGACGGTACAGATAACTATCCGAAGACCCGGGCTCGCTGTTCTCCTCGCTATTCTCATTACCCAGGCTGCGACGAGGTCGATGGACAAGACTTTGGCTGCGTTCATATGCTAGATAATTCATCAGACAAGAGGGGTTAGGCGCTGTGCGGAGGGAAAAAAAAGGCATTGCTGACCTTCGTGACCCTCCCATGGCCCAAATGTCAGCAACGCCTTCTTGCCATTATCCCCCGTCGCCCGGATCCCCTCGACAATATCATCAACGACATCAAGCGGTGCCGCACGGATGGACTCGAACAGGCGTTCGAGTTGGGCTAGTCGTCGGATTCGTGACGCGCGATTACCTAGATCGTTCCTCATATTAACCAGAGATTGCCTGAAATGACAGGTCGCAAGTGTAACTACCCTTGCCGCTGATCTTAGCGCGTAGCTTCTTGATCTCCGCGCGCAGATTGCGGATCTCTTCGGCTTGGCTGACGGGTCGCAGGTCGTCGTCGGCAATGGGCTCGTACACGCATTTCGACGGGTGGCCATGAGCACAGCATGCCTGACATGGTTTGACACGATCGCACTACTCCAATAACGAGCGTGATAGAGTTAGCAAAAGCCATGACAAGGAGAATCACAGATGATGACGATGACGATGTGCCGCACGGTGGCAGCTTTCCCCGCTCTCCTGAGAGAAAAAGACAAAAACCTTGGAACAGACACACATACCCGAACTTTGCGAAGTCGACACACTTTGCAGGACCGTGACTGGCGGATGACGGGCTTGTTCGCCCGTAGTTCTATTGTCTTTTCGCCCATGGCTGGCAGGATGAATGATTGCCGCCGCCCCCGACGCCTGACCTGGCTGCGAGATTATTCTGATAAGCGAGATCTAAAGCAGGACGTTGTACCGCCATTATTAAGATCTCAAGTCTGACAAAGGCGGAGCCCCTAGACACAAGGACCACTATTTCAACGGCGGCCCTGCGCAAGCCAATCGTTGGTTCGATCTGTCATGACCGGAGGAGACCTCAGCCAGCCATGGCTTGTTGGACGGCTCATCCAGCGGTTCCAGCCCCTGTTGGCCGGTGATCGACAGCGGGGCTGTTATCCTTTTTGCAACGGGCGTTGGCCGAGATCAGTTAATTTGTCGTAATAGGAACAAGCATCAGCCATGAAGATATTCTATATATCGAGTAGTCAGTGCGCCAGATAAATAAGATGATGTGCTCCCCATCCAGCATGGCTGCAGCTGCAATTTTGTTGCATGCCAATCAGACTCGAACAGAGACCACAATGGAGATCCCGGCTGCATTAATATTTGCCTCGCAATCTCACAAAGAAGAAGACCAATTACACCAGGATATGCAGATAGTAAGTTAAGCAGAGCAGGGAAAAACTCTTGACTAACTCCCAAAATTTAGGTCACGATGACCAAGCCAATATTTTGCATGCCAAAAGGATGATTTAATGATGATTTAACAAAGATGAAGATTCAAAACAGACCGAATTACTCCCCATGAAACTCATGGTCGAGAACTATCAGGTTGACGAAGGAAAAGTTTGCCTTGGCAAGTTGGTATCCACAGAAGAGAAGAAGAGAAGAAAACTAGTAACAAGGTGACAACAACCAAGGAGGACCCGAATTGAATTGTCGAACAATGGCCATCAACAAGAATTATAATGGGCAGGATGCTTCAATTGGTCTGCCTCAGGGTCCGGGTGGCCCAGGGGGACCGCCCATAAAGCCGCCGGGGCCTCCTGGAGGACCTCCAGGACCTCCAAATCCGCCCGGGCCATCGTCACCACAGCAGCAGTCGCAGCATTCAAAGCAGCAGAAACCGGCGCAACTAAGAAACCAGAACATGAGTCATCGCTTATTCCAACAGTCTCTTGTGGTTGACCGGATCACTCACAGGCCGCAGCAGATATCTTCACCATCACCACCACGGAGATGGACGTTCATCGACTCGTTTGCTTGCTATGACCACGGGGGAATGGTTAGTCAGGACAGTCCCTCTCTCTCCATGAAAGAAAGGTGAGGAGGGTGGAAAAACCGGTTGTTCAGTGACCAGGCCGGCCGGACTGGCAGGCTGTTGCATAGTGATGGTCTGGGCGTCCCATTTCTGTTCCGCCACAGGCTCCTCCTGCCGGAGCCACTTGGCGATAAAGTCTCCAAACATGATGAACAAGTTGTATTTCTCGATTCGTCGACTGTGAAGAAGAAAAGGAAGGGAAAGGAAAAGGAACGAACGACCGGGCAGCGGCACGATCGGCCTTTAAAGATTGATCATGCCTGCTAGTTAATCGTAATGGCGATGGGCCTTGTGGACATGCCGAGAGTTCAGCGCCCAGCGTGCCTGACAACAGTTGATATTAGCACAGCCATATGTTGGCGTCACTAGCGCCCACTGTGGCAGTTATCAGCATCATTTGATGCATCGAGAAGGACTCATTGGCCACGGTCGCGAGAAGACAGGGAGAGAATCGAAGCATCGCCTTTCCCCTGAACCCCTGGGTGGAGCTTCCGAATGGAGCCGGCAGACAAGTTCACGAGTGTTTTCTTCTCTGGTTGACTCGTCTAATCGTGGAGCTTCACCGAAACGGCGAAACCTGCGATCGCTGTGACAGCTGTCCATCGGCGTCTTGATTGTGGCACACTGTCACTGGTCATCAACAAAACCCGTGACCGATCATATACTCCAGGAGACAACGAGAGATGATAAAGGCGCGATGCCAATGGTCTTGTGTATACGTTGCCAGGCTCCACTGGCCTCCACCGTCTCGCAGAAATGGGTAAATGGGCGTATTATTAGCGAAGCTGATCCCTCAAAATAGGATCCGTTGAGCCGTAGCATCTTCCCAAAGCTTTAGGCAGCAGTATGGCCATCTCCAGCTCCTCCGCGAGCCCAAATAACGATGCACTTCGATGGCTGTCGTCGTGGTTGTCGTGACGGAGTCGAAGGCGAGGATGAGAGAAGTTTTGGCGGTGTAGAAAATACGGCGTCACATGACGAGGGGCCCCTGCCTAAGCGGGCAGTCGCACAAAACTGGGCAGCACGACACGACAACGCCTCTTCGTATGACAAGGACGGAATGCCAGCGTTACAGGTGTATAGCCGGGGAAATAGTCGAGAATATATCGAGAAGAGGTCCGAGGGAGCGTCCGATGAGTCGGGAATTTCCTTTGGTTGTGCGCAGTCAGCAGGAGGTGAGTCTCGCGTTGCTCTGGCAAAGCCGCCCCGCTGACGATCACAATTGAATAGGGTTGAAATCCGCCTGATTGTCAGCAAAGTCGATGCCCAGGGGGTTCTGGTCTGGGGGAGGGCTCTCTATGATCAATACTGAGGTTATGAGTGGTGGAATTCCCAAACGCAGGGTCACACAGCCAAGGTTTACTGCCCGTGGGGGTTTCACACTTCCCAGGTTCGGATTGTGTCAAGACCTCTCCAAAATTCAGCCAGTCCTCCTGTGGAATGGCCGGCAGGGAATGTGTCAGCGATAGTCGCTCGCCACTGGCAGTCGGCGATTTGGACGGAGTTTCCTCGTACGGAGGGGTTCTCCGTACAGAGCACGGCATATCTACCTACAAGACGAGCCGACAGCAGCTGCCCGGTGATTTGCTGGGTACCCTTCAGCAAGAAGTTGGCAGTCAGGCAGTCCGCAGAGAGTGATGATCGTCGTGTACCATGTGCGATGCAACCATAAACCTTGGCTAAGAGCTGTATCGGGGATTTTACTTTCGCATAAGGTTGGACAGGATCATCAACGTTATTTCACTGACACAACAGTGGAAGTTGCAGCATCTAGAACCAGACAGGTCCATCTTCCACGGCCCCAGGGAACGAAATAATGGCTTCGATCATCGACGTCAACGTCCTCCTCGCTTTTACGAGTCATGGTGCCACCCATCAGATGACCGGTCTTGGCTACTCCTCCCTTCATCTCCGGCTTATACTTTTCTATCGGAGAACTTCCATGGCGGTCCTCACCTTGGATTGTTTACCTAGGTTGGCGACGCTGCTCCACATTTTTCGCCTTCCGGACTTTCTCCGACCCATGCCTCTCTTCTAATTATCAGTATTGGAACCGTCGTCCAGACTGCCTAACTCGCGATAGGCAGTGTGCACTGGGCAGGTCTACAACGGACAAACACCGAGCGAGAGACAGGGATCGGCCGCTGAGAAAGCCGCTGGCAGCCGCTGGGAAAGCCGCCGGGGAAACGTGGCTGGGATAACCCCCGGAATAACGTGGGGGAACAAAGAGATAGACCCGTTTTGAGTTTCGATGATCATGATAGTATCCACAGTAGAGCTCGCCCCCCGCAAATCTACCCCGGACTGGATGGGGAGATGTCGTGTTATACGAGATGGTGCTCTGGATGCTCTTTGTGCTCGCTCCTGGGTGCTCTCTCCCCGTTCTATAAATGCCCTGTCTCCCAGATTCGATGCTGGGAAAGCGTCAGTCTCAGGCTTCCGACTAATACACTACCCTCTCATTCTACTCTTGTCTTGCCTTGCCTTGCATCATCATGGCAGGCGACGATCTTTTCATTACAGACCGTGAGGCGATGGGGGAGAAGGTTGAGATGTCGCACGAGGAAGTCGTGCACATTGCAGAGCTGTCACCACACGAGAAAGAACTCGAGAAGAAGTTGCGTAGACGCATTGATTCGCTCATCATGCCACTGGTCATTCTCGTCTATCTGATGAATTATATTGACCGGTATGTTATCTCTCCAGAGGGGGGGTGGTAGTATATTGCTAACTATCAAAGGAACAACTATGCAGCAGCAAAGTTGCAAGGCCTAGAACAGGATCTGGGTCTCACCGGTACGCAGTATGAGACGGGATTGTCGGTTCTCTTCGTGGGGTACATCCTCATGCAGGTGCCGTCGAACCTGCTCCTCAACTATATCGGGCGGCCGTCTCTATACCTTGGGTGCTTTGTCATCGCTTGGGGAACCGTGTCGGCTCTGACTAGCCAGGTCAAGAGCTACGGAGGCATTGTCGCCTGTCGATTTATCCTAGGCCTTGTCGGTACGTTCTTTACCATTTACTTCCTCACGGGATCAAAAATCAAATGGGGCTTGGCTGATAGATGAATAGAGGCACCATTTTTCGCGGGCGTTCTCTTTTACCTTTCCAAGTGGTATACGAGAAAGGAACTCGCACTGCGGATGAGTATCTTCTATTCCGGGTCGCTGCTGAGCGGGGCGTTTGGCAATCTCATTGCCGCGGGCATTCTGCACGGGCTCGCGGGCAAGCGAGGAATCTCGGCATGGCAATGGCTGTACATCATCGAGGGCAGCCTGACGGTGACGATTGGGATTGTGATCTGCTTCATCCTGCCGGACTTCCCACAGACGTGGTCGATGCTGCCACCGGAGATGCAGGCGGTGGCGAACCGGCGGCTGGCGATCGAAGCGGCCGAGGCGGACGTGGACGAAGGAGGGGGCATGAGCCAGCTGAAGGGAGTGAAGATGGCATTTTCCGACATCAAGACGTACATCCTGGCGCTGGCGTACATGGGGATCACGGGGGCGAGTGGATTCCAGAACTTCTTCCCGACGCTGACGGAGACGCTGGGCTACAACGAGACGATCTCGCTGCTACTGGTGGCGCCGCCGTACGTGTTCATGGTGGTGTACAGCATGGTGCACTCGCACATGTCGGATCGGTTCGGCAACCGGTTCTGGTTCTTCGTGTATCCGATCCCGATCTCGATCGTGGGTTTTGTGATCTTCATGACGACCGACAAGTTTGGGCCGCGCTACTTCTCCTTCTTCCTGATGATCTTTGTCTTTGCGCAGAACGGCACGCTGTACTCGTGGATCTCGAACGCGATCCCACGCCCGCCGGCCAAACGCGCGGCGGCGTACGCCTTTATCAACTCGGTGGGCAACTCGGCCAGCATCTGGACGCCGTACACGTACAACAGCACCGACGCGCCCTACTACCGGCTGGCGCTGGGGGTGTGCATCGCGCTGCAGACGCTCGGCGCCCTGATGGCCTGCACCCTAGCGCTGTACATGCGCCATCAGAACCAGCAGCTGGCGCGGCTGGAGAACGAAGACGCCGTGCTGACGGCCAAAGACCTGCGCCGCCTGCAGCGCACGGCGGAAGTGGAAGGGATCGACATTGCGGCGGCTCGGCGTTTGCAGAAGGGGTTCCGCTATATGCTCTAGCAGTGTTAATGTTGTAACTATGTAGTAGTAGTTACATCTTATCTATACCCCGCTCGATTCTCGTGGATGAACCTTGTCATTGTATGAATCAGGCCATACTCCGTACAGCCGCGGCAAGAAACGGGTGGCGAGATGACGTCGTTATATACCCCATCATCATCAATCAATACTATGTCTATTGCATATTATCTCTGACATTTTAATATTCAAGATATAATATTCAAGAGACATAGTACTATTGATTCTCATCCGAATACTACCATCATGTGCATTGCACTGCTCTCCACGGCACACCCCGCGTACCAACTGATCCTCATCAACAACCGGGATGTAAGACGACCCAATAGTCACTACATTCTACAGATTTAGTATTCTAATGGATGGTCTAGGAATTCCTGCACCGCCCCACCTCACGAGCCAACTGGTGGCCAACCCCCCACGGACACGTTCTCGGAGCGCAAGACCTGGCGCGGCCACTGCACGCCACCTGGTTGGGAATCACACGGCAGGGACGGCTGGCGGTGCTGACCAACTTCCACGAGACGTCTTGCGAGCAGGCCGTGGGCAAGATCAGTCGCGGGGCGATCGTGCACGGCTGGCTGACGCTGCCGGCGGACCATGCGATGACGGTGCCGGAGTTTGTGGGCGATCTGGTTCTCTCGACGGGGATGGGGGCGTCGGCGAGCAGGTTGCAGGACATTGGCGGGTTCAATCTGATCTGTGGACAGCTGGGCAGCGGGGGGAAGAAGGATAAGGATGGCAGTGCTGGGAATAAGACACAGCTGGCGATCTTGTCGAACAGGGAGGATGCCCAGGACCAAACGGCGGTGGCGGACATCGTGGCGGCAGACGATCATCATGTTTCCTGGCTGAGTACTGACCAGCGAGGCCGGACGATCGGAGTCAGCAATACGGGTCTTCATGACCGGTCCTGGGAGAAGGTTATTCTTGGTGAACGGTTGATGGAAGAGGCCATCGCTGCGCAGGACGACGACGACGACGACGACGACGACAACGAACAAAGTAAAGAAGACAGGCTGATCCGCCGGCTGCTCGCTGTGCTATCGACAGACACACTGCCCCGACTGGAAGGAAACGATGCCGACAACGGCGTCGAGGCGTATCTCCCGCATCTCCCGTCAAGCATCTTCATCCCACGCATCGGTCAGGATCTGGCCGAGGAAGAGGGTCAGGCACGCACCGACACGCCGCTGTCGGGGATGGAGATGCCTGGCGATCGGCCGCGACGGGCGTATCTGCACGGCGTCTATGCCACGCAGAAGCAAACGGTCATCCTGGTGGGCTTCGACGGGCGGGTGCGATACTTCGAGCGCACGCTGTACGATGACGAGGCGAAGCGCATTCCCGAGGGAGAGGGGGACTGTTCGTATGAGTTTATGATTGATTAGTAAACACAGGAATGGAAGCGATGAAGAGCGAATTAAAAAATAGGGAAGCAAAGGAAGACGCACAGAAGCAAAACAGGGAACAGGCAATCTGCACGCCACGACAGGGGTCGATCAGGCCATACTCGGGCGTACATATAAGACCGCCAGCCAGAAAAAAAAATAAAGAAATTCGATAATAATAATAAGAAGAAGAAGAAGAAGCTCACACACTCTCTCGCTCGCACTCACCATGGGCAAACGAATCGGCCTGTTGACCTCTGGCGGCGACGCCCCCGGCATGAACGGCGTCGTCCGGGCGGTGGTGCGGATGGCCATCCACTGCGACTGCGAGGCGTACGGCATCTATGAAGGCTACGAGGGCCTCGTCCAGGGCGGCGACATGATCCGCCAGCTGTACTGGGAGGATGTACGCGGCTGGCTGCTGCGCGGAGGCACGCTGATCGGCTCTGCGCGCTGCGCAGCGTTCCGCGAGCGCGCCGGGCGCCTGGCCGCGGCGCGCAACCTGATCCTCAATGGCATCGACGCCCTGGTGGTGTGCGGCGGCGACGGTAGCCTGACGGGGGCAGACGTGTTTCGGGCGGAATGGACGGGCCTGCTGGATGAGCTGGTGGCGACGGGGACGCTGACGGCGGAGCAGGTGGCGCCGTACGCGACGCTGAACATCGTCGGCCTGCTGGGCTCGATCGACAACGACTTCTCGGGCACCGACGCGACGATCGGGTGCTACTCGGCGCTGACGCGCATCTGCGAGGCGATCGACGACGTCTTCGACACGGCGACCTCGCACCGCCGCGGGTTCGTCGTCGAGGTGATGGGCCGATACTGCGGCTGGCTGGCCCTGATGGCCGCCATCAGCACCGCCGCCGACTGGCTGTTCATCCCGGAGATGCCGCCGCGCGACGGCTGGGAGGAGGACATGTGCTCGATCATCACGAAGAACCGCGACCGGGGCAAGCGGCGCACCATCGTCATCGTGGCCGAGGGCGCCCAGGACCGCAACCTCAACCACATCGCCTCGGCCAAGATCAAGGACATCCTCACCGACCGGCTGCATCTCGACACGCGCGTCTCCGTGCTGGGCCACATCCAGCGCGGGGGACCCCCCTGTGCGTATGATCGCTGGCTGTCGACTCTGCAGGGCGTCAAGGCCGTCGAGGCCCTGCTGGCGCTGACGCCCGACACACCCTCGCCCGTGGTGACCATCCGCGAGAACACCATCGGCGTCTCGTCGCTGGCCGAGACGGTCAAGCTGACGCAGGAGACCGCCGCCAGCATCGACGCCAAGCAGTTCGACCGTGCCATGACCCTGCGCGACTCCGAGTTCCTCGACTACCACCGCGGGTACCGCCATCTGACCACCGCCGACCACCCCAAGATGCTGCTGCCGGACAGCCAGCGCATGCGCATCGCCATCATCCACGTCGGCGCCCCCGCGGGCGGCATGAACCCGGCCACGCGCGCCGCCGTCGCCTACTGCCTGACCAAGGGCCACACGCCCATCGCCATCCACAACGGGTTCCCCGGTCTGTGTCGCCATCACGCCGACAAGCCCGTCGGCTCCGTGCGCGAGGTGAAGTGGCTCGAGGCCGACAACTGGGTCAACGAGGGCGGCTCCGAGCTGGGTACAAACGTCGGCCTGCCCTCCGAGGATATGCCGACCACGGCACACTGTTTCGAGCTCTACCGCTTCGACGCCCTGTTCCTCATCGGCGGCTTCGAGGCCTTCACGGCTCTGAGCCAGCTGCGCATGGCGCGCGACCGCTTCCCGGCCTTCCGCATCCCGCTCGTCCTGCTCCCCGCCGCCATGTCCAACAACGTCCCCGGAACAGAGTACTCGCTGGGGAGCGATACCAGCCTCAACGCGCTGGTCTCCTTCTGTGATGTGGTGCGCCAGTCTGCCAGCTCGTCGCGCCGCTGCGCCTTTGTGGTGGAAGCCCAGGGCGGGAAATCGGGGTATCTGGCCACCACCACCGCGTTAGCCATCGGCGCCGTCACGGTCTACACGCCCGAGCAGGGGATCAGTATCCAGCGCCTCACCACGGACATCACGTACCTGCGGCAGAACTTTGCGCTGGACCACGGCGCCAGTCGCGCGGGGAAAGTCATTGTGCGTAACGAACGCGCCTCCGCCACGTACAGCACGGCGGTCATCGCGCAGATGATCAACGACGAAGCCCACGGCCGCTTCGAAGCGCAGGGTGTTGTTCCCGGTCATTTCCAACAGGGCGGCAAACCCTCGCCTATCGATCGGATCCGCGCGTTCCGGCTCGCGATCAGATGCATCGACCATCTTGAGACCTTTGCGGGTAAATCACACCAGGAGATCGTCGACGATGACCTCTCCGCGGCGGTGATCGGCATCAAGGGCTCGCATGTCCTTCTCTCGCCCATGGGTGGGCCGGCGGGCGTCGAGGCCACAGAGACGGACTGGGAGGGTCGGCGGCCAAAGCATGAGCCCTGGCTCGCTCATCGGAAGCTCGTGGATATCCTTTCCGGTCGCGCGGCCGTCGAGACGGGCTTGAACGGCGATCGCGAGGGCTGGGGATGTTATGATAGTGGGAATAGTTCGTCGAACTGAATCCAGTCGTTGAATTGATTACTTTGAGTGGTTTAATGATATAATGACAATATATTAATTTCAATCATGACTAGATACATCGCTATCCATAACTTCTAGACTCGTCAGTATAATCCCCAAGGAAGAGGATACTAACACACTTACTTATTCATTTATTCATTTATTCTTATCATTCTTCAATTCGTCGTGAACATAAAGTATGCGCCCATCTCCCTCTCTCGCCCGCGATCTCGAGTTCCAGCAGCGCGGCATTCACAGATTCGATATCCAACTCCTTGTCGACGGGGACGGGCTTCCGGTGCTCACGTCTGCGTCGTTGCCGGCGCTCAAAGGCTGCGATCCGCTGCATGAGATCTTCGTGCACCGCGTTGTTCGCCACCCGGTTGATGGAGGCGTTGCCGACAACATGCCGCAGATCGGGTTCGCGGCTGAGTGCCTCGGCGCGCATCTTCAGCAGAGAGATCTCGCTGAGCCGGTAGGCCAGCACTTCCTGTTGCTTCTTTTCATGCGCGGCAGCCGCGGCTGAGGATGACGCTGCTGTTACTGTTGTTTTGGAGCGAGGTTGGTGTTGGTAGATGTGTGGCAGGTTGCGGGTGATGACTCGAATGTGTACGCTCATGATGCTGCTGCTGCTGATGATGATGATGATGATGATGATGATGGCAAGATCATTGATTGCAAGATAGATATGGTTTGATGTAGACTCAGTCCGACTTCTCGGTTTTAGATGCTCCCGTTATGTCATTTCTGGTCGGGCTGTTCCGGGTGACGGTCGTGACGCTCCGGACAGTCACACAATCACACCACCACTCATCAGACCGACATTAACAATTATTCTGGGGAGATCCATGTAGTCATACCGATCAGACTACCGTGCTGGAAACTCTATTGGACTTTAAGCCGGGGATAGACAAGTCTGGCCGCAGAATCAATCCCATCACTTGACCTGTTACTTCCTGGGAGGAGGCGAGAAACACGGCAGTTGAGACCCTGTTAAAGTCTCATGAGAAATCTCGTTCCCCATGGAAAACTCGTTGCCCCTTGGTTCATTGAACCGACAGCATTCGGATTCCCCGCGGCAAATATTCCAGCAAGTCACTTGTCTCGAAGGACACCCCTTGCAGGGTTGCAAATTCACGCGTGTAGCTCTCCATCTCTTGCTCGACTTCGAGTCGTAAGGTATGGTCTTGCTTTTGCATCCAAGCCACCATGAGGCCCACAAACGTGTAGCTGGCCCCCAGCGGTCGGTAGATGGCTGCCTCCCGGGCAAGAGATAGGAGCTGCCGGGAGAAGTCCACCGACTCCAGCTGGATTGCAGCGTCTTCCTCTTCGCCTCCTTCGTCAACCCCAAAGGCGCGCAGCGCGACATTGATGATCATCACGATTGTCAACCCAAGCCCGTACATACGCTGGTAATGGGCATAGGCGAACGGCATATCTCCCGTGGCGCTAGACCTTGGAACACCAGCATACTCCAGCTGCTGGGTATCTAACAGAACCTTGGACATCTGGTAGAGCGTTTTTGTCTCGTCGCGTAAGGCCGTTATACCAGTTCGGTCCCCGCGAGCAGACATGTCTCTGCCTCGTTGCGTGATCACCGGGATCTGGGCTAGACAGAGCAGCATCTGGCCAATAGTGTTACTACGGGCCAGCTCATGGTCTACCAGGGCGGCCCATTCCTCAGGATTCAATTTGATCTTCTCGTTGACAAGGCCTTCAAAGAGCTAGGAAGATCAGCTGAAGCAGTGAGCACGAGCCGAGGAGAAAAATTCCTTACCACTGGTCCGCGTAGACTTAGCAAAACCTTCTGCTCGAACTCATCCGGCGACGCCAAAAACCCGCGAGCTCGAAGAATCTGGGCCGCACCTTGCGCATGGCTCGACCAGCCGGGTCCAGCCGTGCCGAGTAAAGCCTGCGAGTCGAGATGAGTTCCTGGCTGCCACCATTTCATCTATCTTCTTTTCACATATCACCGCTGTGACCAACCTGGCATAGCAAAAGCAGCATGACTGCACAAAGTGTGTTCGAAGACACAGCTTGGATCGGGTCATCCAAGGCACTCCGCAGCGCCTGCAACGCGCGAGAATACTTCGTCAAGGCGTGGACAGATGTTGTCCCGCGGCAACTGCTGAAGCTCACATGGGCACTGATCAACGCATCTGCAGAGGCATCGAGAGCGGGACTTTCCCCGAGTCGCGGCGGAATATCGACTAGAAAGTCGCCGTAGGTCCAGAACAGACTGTATCTCAAGTCCGACGAGGGACTCACGGCGTAGATAAACGCCTTGACCAACGACGTTCTCTCGTTCGCAGGAGGAGTACCAAGCAACACCTGCCTGGTCCCACGGCGAGACATCACGGCCGATTGCTTCGTAGACAACCCTTGAGCCTCCACGAATTTGTACCTCTTTCTCCCCGATCCCTCACAGGGCAGCCCCAGGCGAATGCAGCGTGAGCATGCCGGGGTTCTCTCATCGCACTGTTGTTTATTCCTGCGTCAGTACGGAGTACGACACGCCGCCCGACACAACGCCCTGACTGACCTTCTTCTTCTGCTTGCGGCATCCCTCGCAGGCTCTGCCTGAAGGTACGCCAGGCATCTCATCCGCTGCTGCCTCGACGAAGAGCCAAGCCAGACGGTTCTTTCCAACAGATGGTGATAATATACCTGCCTAAAGACGCTCGCTTCAGCCTCACCGACGCCCCGCGCGGGACGATCGGTCACGTGGTGTGATTATGTCATTTGGGTCACGTGGAATTCGAGCCGCGCCCCCCGCTGGACGGCGCTAACCGGATATGGTTCGACGCGCCGCTGTCCTCCCCAAAATGAGGAAAGAGCGACAGGGACAACGACATCTCCTCCAGTCCTTCTCTGTCGTTCCAGAATGCTTCACGCTGCTGGTGATCGTACCCTGAATCCGGTGCGATGGAGCGCTACAAGGCTGAGGAATGCCTGCGGGGGTCGATGGGCCCTTTGAGGGCTGTGTTTGTTGCTCGCCATGGGGAGTATAAGAGGAGAGTCTGTCCCGGGTCATGGTCAGTGTCTTCGAAGGCTTCTTCTGTCTGCACGAGTTTCTTTAACGGTTTCTTTTCCAGCTTCATCTGATTTATTAGGTTTGTTTTGGATCATCATGTCGTCGAATAGCGAGGCAACGAGCCTCTATCCATACACTCCCAGCCATGTTCTGCCGGCAATCTTCTCTGTGCTGATCGGGGCATCTCTGGTCTTGCATTTATACCAGAACTAGTCAGTCTTAAGTATGCCCTGCATCAAAATTTGTCGCTGACATGATGGTCTTCAGTCTCTATAAGCTCTGGGGTGTGACGTTCTGGATGTTCTGGGGAGGCGCCGTCTTCTTGACAGGCTGGATCGCCCGTTGCGTCTCGAGTTATCACACCGCGAATCTGAACCTGTATATCGTGCAGACGGTCTTCACCCTCGCCGGACCACCAATTTACTCGGCAATGGCGTACAATGCCATCGGACGACTCCTGAACTATCTTCCGATGCACTCCCCTCTCAACCCGAACCGGGTGAGCTTTCTATTCATCTACCTAGGCGCAGCGGTTGAGGGATTGACTGGCGCGGGAGCTTCGACCATGGCCACCGCGCTGCCAGATATATCTTCGTTTGAGAATGGTGGCAAGCTCGTCAAGGCTGCCCTCATCCTCCAGGCGACTGTCGAGGTGTGGCTGGTGGTGCTGCTCTGGGTGGTCAACCGCCGCTGCGCGCGTGCAGGGATGCTGCCTCACAATGTGCGCATGCTCTTCGTCACCCTCTATGGTACCTCGACTCTCGTCCTGATCCGATGCGTCTTCCGTGTTGTCCAGTCCTTTGCAGAGATCTCGGCAGTCGCTTGTTCGCCATCGTGCAGCAGCCCCGTCCTCGAGCACGAATGGTATCTCTACGTCTTTGAGGCAGCACCGATGGCGGTGTTCACTCTGTGGCTCAATCTCCTCCATCCTGGGAAGTACCTGCCTCGCGAAAAACGGGTATATCTTGATTTCGATGGCAAAACCGAACGACTCGGCCCAGGCTGGATCGACAACCGTTCCCAATGGCAAACCTTTATGGATCCGTTAGATCTTGAAGGTACCCTCAAGGGCAAACCTGCCCATGAGCCGTACTGGCAGGAAGCGGAACGATGGCCGGTCTGTGAAAATGGAAGCTTTGCAGCCGGGTCAGCTTCAAACGTGAGAGGTCGAGCCCAGAAAATACACGAAGGTATCGGTTTGCTAACGACTACTAGAAGGCATAAGTATATGATTTCTACTCAGGCAGAGACTCACCACGAGGGACTCTGCTGAGATATAGATCTTTTTTTCTTATTTTCTTACTGCATTCTTATTACTTTCCTTTCTTCTGCACTTTTTTGGTCCATCAATTTTGTCTCTCAAGTGATGATTACTACACATACACAAGTGTTTTTCAACATGGCTATCTCCTGTTATTATGTATAAGCTTCTCCGGAATATTTTGGTTATTGCTATCAATTATCTACTGTACATTTTGGCTCTGAAAAATTCCTTTAGCTCTTTCATAGCACATGGGGGCATGCATCTTTCCCCGCTGTTAGCATGACCATCACCAACACGAAACAACTTTGGGGACCTTGATGAACCTCTCAATGCAGTAAAGAGTCCTCCTCCTTCATGAGGACCTTGGAAGTAGATGGATGATATAACTTCGACGGTCCATCAACCCACGAAGGTCGGTCTCGGATTTATAGGAGGTTTCCTTTCCTACGAACCAGCTCTACCATACACTTCTCAGACTCCCAATAAGCCTCGAGCCTCTACTTCAAGGAGACACGGCGATACTACTGTTCCAAGGATTATAAGGTATTTTCATGGATGATGGTCCTACACCAAGATCCCACTTTCGAAAGGCTGTACTGATACCGGACAGAACCCGATCGGCCTTCTCCAAATATAGGATCTCCTTTCATCCATTTCGCAACCAGAAATAAGATGTCTTGCATATCTCCCTGGGAGAATCCACCTCTTTAAAGATCCCGTTCGCCCGAGTGTGCGGAACAAGGCCGCTCGCTGCTCGTAGGAATGCGGGGGACGATCGGCAATTTATGCAATTCCAAAATTTAGGCTTCTCGTGCCTTTGTCTGCGATGCTGCAGGGCTGGGGTTTTAGAATCTCCTTCATTCCACGGAGTATTCTCTGTGTATATGGATGGACCCTGTTGACCACTGTGTTGACACAGGTACGGAAGCTGCGAATAATTCGTTGGGAGTGACGTCAACCGTTATCCAGATAGAGCGTCGTGCTCCTCAAGCATCAGCCCACTTTATTCCCCTCACCGGCCGCCGGCCGACCAAAGCCCGAGAGAAAGAGAGAGAGGGCGTTCGCTATCCCACCGAGACATGGATAGCAATCGCCTGATTGAGAATCGAGAAACGCCGGTTGCCCCTCCAGGAACCGTATTCTTCTCGCCATAATCTTCCTTGCTCTTACCACCCCGCATCAGGATACCTGTTTTCCGCCACCTCATAAGCAGGATTGGCCAATCGCATAGTGTTGAGGATCTGTATAGGAGGGGTTTAAAACTCGCAATTCCAAGCCTGCAAAAGCCTATCGATCCAGGATGGCATGGTGTTGAGTGGTGCCAAGTTGAGGGTGGTCTGCTCAGCCATCCGAGTCTGACATCCAACCAGTGGACTTGGTTCAGATCACCAGTCCCATGTTCTCGACTATAAAATTCCCCCTGTGATCCCAACGGTCCCGGCTGTTCCTTCTGCCTCTACCCCTCCTCAACAAGCAACAGTCTTTTTCCTTTAATTGACCTCTGTGATAGAGTCCTTTGGGAGTTTTTGTGGTTGCCTGTTTATAATTTTTCTTCTACTGAGTTGAATTCAAAACCCCTACACCATCACCATGGCGATTCCTGAGATGCAATGGGCCCAGGTCATCGAGAGCCCCGAGAGCGGTGTCGTTTACAAGCAGATCCCCGTCCCCAAGCCCGGCCCGGATGAGGTGCTGGTCAACATCAAGTACTCCGGTGTCTGCCACACCGACCTGCATGCCCTGAAGGGAGACTGGCCGCTGGATCGGAAGATGCCGCTGGTGGGCGGCCACGAGGGCGCCGGAGTGGTGGTCGCCAAGGGCGAGCTGGTCACTCAGGTCGAGATTGGCGACCACGCAGGTGTCAAGTGGCTGCACGGATCGTGTCTGGCGTGTGAGTTCTGCCGCCAGTCGGACGAGCCTCTGTGCGCCAAGGCCCTGCTCTCCGGATACACCGTCGACGGCACCTTCCAGCAGTACTGCACCGCCAAGGCGGCCCACGTCTCGATCATCCCCAAAGATGTGCCGCTGGACGCGGTCGCGCCCATCCTGTGCGCCGGCATCACGGTCTACAAGGGTCTGAAGGAGTCGGGGGCTCGTCCCGGTCAGACGGTCGCCATTGTTGGCGCCGGCGGTGGTCTGGGATCGCTGGCCCAGCAGTACGCCAAGGCGATGGGGCTGCGGATCATCGCCATCGACGGCGGCGAAGAGAAGCGCGCCATGTGCGAGCAGCTGGGTGCTCAGGTACGTCATATATCAACCCAGTGGATGGTTCGATGGATTAGTTACTAACAGTTTTAGGCCTATGTGGACTTCACCAAGAGCAGCGACCTGGTCGCGGATGTGCAGGCCGCCACCGAGGACGGGCTGGGCCCGCATGCCGTGCTGCTGCTGGCCGTGTCCGAGGGACCCTTCCAGCAGGCGGCCAGCTACGTGCGGTCGCGCGGTTCGATCGTGGCGATCGGCTTGCCGGCCAACGCCTACCTCCGGGCGCCCGTGTTCGGCACGGTGGTCAAGATGATCAACATCAAGGGCAGCTACGTCGGTAACCGCCAGGATGGCATCGAGGCGGTCGACTTCTTCCGCCGGGGGTTGATCAAGGCCCCGTTCAAGACGGTCCCATTGGAGGATTTGCCCAAGGTCTACGAGCTCATGGGTAAGCTAAGTTCTTTTTTTTTTTTTTTTTCCTTCTTCTTCTTTGACTGATCCTTCGCTAACGATACCCAGAACAAGGTAAGATCGCCGGTCGGTACGTGCTGCAGATGCCGGAGTAGATCAGCGCGAGGATGAAGAGAGTATCTAGTATTTATGGTGATAATGATCAATGAATTAATATGGAATCTTAAGTACTATAGATGACGCCGATCTGATGGTATTCACTATAGTTAAAGTTGAGCATACCTCATAGTTACTCTACTAGTGAATATTGAGAGCCATGGTACCTCGTAGCCTATGAAGACAATTATATATTTTGCCTATACAGGTATTATCTTGCTTCCCACCTCTGTCAACATGCCTCGATCGCAGGAAGTCTTCCCGAAAGACACTACACCACAGAAGATGGTTCTCAACGTGCTGCATCAGATCAGAGAAGCAGAACAGGACACTGAGATCATCTACGAACAGGTAGAGCCGGAGAAAGGAGGGTTGGTCTATCGATTCCTGATTGAAGATGAGGAGGTTGAGCGACTTGCCGCAAGGTACAACCATCGATATATGTAGTATCCATACATACTCCATCATTCTAACCTGATGCAATAGACTTGTGTACAACTCATTTTCCAGAGTTCTCAGAATCAAAGTGATGCCTCCTGAACTCCATGACGCTCACCAACGGTGGGCGATAAATTCCAGCAGGGTATGGTGCATTCAAGGGCTCTTAAACCTACAGGAGAGCAATTTACTGGGTAATGGAGTAGGAACAAGTATGTCCTACCTTAATAGAGCAAAGCTATATGCTATATATCAAGAAACTAATGATACATCGAGCATTTGCCGGGTTTACGGGAGCATACACCGGGTCTGCTGCAGAGCCGGATTTCTTCTTCCGACCTGATACTAGCGACTTCCCTACCATCGTCATCGAGTCTGGATGGGAAGACTCAATGCCCCATCTGCGAGCCGATAAAGACCTGTGGATGCTGGGGAATCAATCCGTTCAGCTGGTGATCTTGCTTGGATGGACCGTCACCGGCGGGGGGACGGTTGGGGGGCGTGCTGAGATCTGGCGACGGACTGCTGCTGGTGGTGGTGATGGTCTGACAAGCAATGAGATTGTTTGTTTATCTGTCTTCCCATACTCCAGTCTGATTGAAGCTGATATTGTTAGTCTATCTTCCCAACTCCTTCACCTGGCTTGGATAGCATCAGCTTCACCAAAGGCCAACTGTTCGGTCAAGCAGGGGTTACCGCGCCTCAAACGATTCTATCTCTTGAGGTGCAGATGCTGAGGGAGATTATAGGTGAATTATACAATAGGTTGAGTGAGTAAATTGATTGACCATTTGCAGCCTCAGGCAGGTACTCAGGCATTCAGGCACTAATAGTGCCTCAGGCAGTAAGGCACTACAAATGCCTCAGGCACCAGATCATTCAGGGTCCAGCTCTTCTCTATCGAGTCCAGCCATCCACAGTCTCAATAATAATAATACAAAATAAATATAAATCAAGAGATAACTATAAATAGTGAATAGATAAATAATCAACACTTCCAACTAGTTATCGATAATAGTCGGCTACAATTTCCTCCTCATTCATGGTCCCACCACTGTTAGTTAAATTACCCTCCCTCGTGTCTCGCCTCGTGCCTGTCCCTTTTCACCTCCCAAACTTTGTCCTCCTCATGCCGTAGTCTGTTCTTCTTCTCTCTTTTCTCCCTCGTACATGCATCGTGTCAGTCGCTCATTTCACTCCTTCTATCCATTCTATCCATTCTATTCTGTTCATTCTGTTTATCTATTGATTTCTTTGATTCTCTCGTTCTGCTATGCGATGAGATCCGCGGTTCGTGGTCTCGGCTTTGCCGTCTTCCTCCTCTGCATCATTTGGCTCGTCAAAGACCAGCTTCACGCTACTCAGTATCGCCAGACGGTCTCTTCCCTTTCGTCGGACACGTTCGGGCAACAGAAGAATCAGCAGCAGCAGCAGCAGCAGCAGCAATCGGAGCCACAGTCGCAACAGCAACAACAGCAGCAAGAGTCCACACAGAAACATCAACACCAACACCAAGAACAAGAAGAACAACCGCAGCAGCAAGAGTCAGCGCCCTCTGATGCAGTAGCTCACGTCGAGTTCAAGAATGCCCTTGTCTTACATGGGACCCAAAGTCCCCGCCCGGCGGGTTACAAGTCGATCCCGATCGACACACCAAACGACCGGATTATCGTGATGGCTCGCTTGTCGTTTGAGGATACTTCGTGGGTCGCGGCCGAATTAAACGAGTACGATGCTCTTGATTTCTAAAAAAAAAAAAATTGAGACATAACTAACGTGCTAGATGGCGGAGCATGATCTACACCGTCGACGACACCTCAATGACCTACCATACCCCCGTGAACAAGGGCCGCGAGAGCCTGGCGTATCTGCAATACATCGTGGATCATTACTACAGCCTGCCCAGCCTAATCATCTTCCTCCACAGCCACCGCTCCGGCTGGCCGCAAGCCTGGCACACCGACACCTTCGACTACAGCAACGTCGAGTCGGTGCGTCTCCTGCGCCCCGATTTCGTCCAGAAGAACGGCTATGTCAACCTGCGCTGCATGGACGACCCGGGCTGCCCGGCCGAGATTCGTCCCTTCCGCGACCCCCCGGACGAGGGCCGCGAGGCCGAGCTGTACTACGCCCGCGCCTACCAGGAGCTGTTCAACACCTCCACCGTCCCCGAGGAGGTCGGCGTCGCCTGCTGCTCCCAGTTCGCCGTCTCGCGCGACCAGGTCCTCAAGCGCCCGCACTCGGACTACCTGCGTTTCTACACCTGGGTCCTCACCACCGATCTTTCCGATGAGACGGTCAGCCGCATCATGGAGTACTCTTGGCATATTATCTTTGGCATGGATGCTGTCTAGTACGTGTCTCCTAAACAATACTTTATCCCCCCCATTTTCTGACCTTCTAGCTGCCCCGATGTGTACCAGTGTTACCGTGAAGTATACGGCTACCAAATTTAACGACCTTTCTCGATTTTCTTCTCTTCTTCTACTTTTCTTCATCTTCTCTTCTACTTTTCTTCTACTTCTACTCAATTCCTCTTATTTTCTTCATACATGTTCAATCAGCCTGTACAGTGACATGATAGACCTACCTCAATTACACTTCTTCAATGTATCATAACTATTCCCCAGACAATCCGGTCTGTCATACGACTGCACTTGCAGTTACAGTACCTGGAACTTCCAGGAACTGTCAATACGACGAGCTCTACCGCACACTACCTATTCCTTCCGCTACAATCATTCATTTTAAGATGTCAAGGATCTCGACCCACCGATTAGCCGTTGCGCCTCACCCCTGTCATGCCATGTTTCCTGTAGTTGTGTTGCAAATCTACCCGAACACCTCCATCTACCATAGGTAAGGCAAAACAATAAGGAAAACAATCGCATGTGATGTCATGTGACGCATACACCGCCTAATACTGCCGCTTCCCTCTTGACGCAATCGATTTTCTTTCTTTCTTCCCTCCTGCTTTTCCTCTTCGCCCCTTTTTGCCCCTGAGGGGGAAGCATCCATTTGACACTATCGATGGCATCATCTCTTATCTAGCGCTATGAAGTATATTCTGGTTTCCGGTGGCGTCATCTCCGGCGTGGGAAAGGGCATCATTGCCTCCAGCACGGGTCTGCTGCTCAAGACCTTGGGCGTCAAGGTTACCTCCATCAAGATTGACCCGTACATGAATCTTGATGCGGGGACGATGGCGTGAGTTTTGTTTTTTTCTCCTTTGATTTACGGCGGTTCGTAAGATCTACTGCTAATTTTCAAGTCCCACTGAGTTAGTTCTCCCTACCATCGCATCTGACTCTCCTTACATCGCTAACAAACAGACATGGCGAGGTGTACGTCCTCGACGACGGCGGCGAGGTCGATCTCGATCTGGGCAACTACGAGCGGTACCTGAACATCACCCTCGGACGGGACCAGAACATCACGACCGGCAAGATCTACCAACATGTGATTCAACGGGAGCGGCGTGGAGATTATCTGGGCAAGACGGTGCAGATCGTGCCGCATCTGACGGATGCGATCCAGGAATGGGTTGAGCGGGTGGCGCGCATCCCCGTCGACGCGTCGGGCCAGGAGCCCGACGTGTGTATCATCGAGCTGGGGGGCACGGTGGGGGATATCGAGAGCGCGCCCTTTGTCGAGGCGATGAGCCAACTGCAGCGGCGCGTGGGGAAACGCAATGTCCGCCAGATCCACGTCAGCTACGTGCCGCTCATCGGGACCGAGCAGAAGACCAAGCCGACGCAGCGGGCGATCGGAGACGTGCGCAGCGCGGGACTGTGGCCGGATCTCATCGCCTGTCGATGCGAGACCCCGCTGCAGGAGCCGACGGTGCAGAAGATCGCCGACGCGTGCCAGGTGGATCGCGAGCAGGTCGTCGCCGTGCACAACGTGTCCACGACGTACCATGTCCCCATCCTGCTGGAGCAACAGGGCTTGCTGCACACCATCTCCCGGCTGCTCGAGGTGCCCGCGATGGAGAAGAGTCCGACGCTGGTCCGGCAGGGAAAAGCGATCTGGCAGGAGTGGCAAGGGTTGGCGACCAACGAGGACTTGCGCGTCCTGGAGACGGTCTCCATCGCGCTGGTGGGGAAATACACCAGCCTGCACGATTCGTACATGAGCGTGACCAAGGCTCTGGAACATGCGGCCATGCACTGCGAGAAGAAGCTGAACCTGGTCTGGGTGGACGCCGCGCACCTCGACGACGCCACGCAGGAGAGCGCCCCCGCCGACTTCTTCAAGGCCTGGCACGACGTGTGCACCGCCGCCGGCATCCTGGTGCCCGGCGGGTTCGGCCAGCGCGGTACCGAGGGCATGATCAAGGCCGCGCACTGGGCGCGCACCAACAACATCCCTTACCTGGGCGTGTGTCTGGGCATGCAGCTGGCGGTGGTCGAGTACGCGCGCCACGTGTGCGGCCTGCCGCGCGCCGGCAGCGCCGAGTTCGATCCCGACTGCTGCGACCCGCCGGTGATAGTGTACATGCCCGAAATCGACCGGGAAAATATGGGCGGCACGATGCGGGTGGGTAAACGCCGCACCGTCTTCCAGCCTGGCAGCGAGTGGTCGCGTCTCCGTCGTCTGTACGGGTCCGCGCCGGAGCTGTGGGAACGGCACCGGCACCGCTACGAGGTCAACCCGGAGCTTGTCTCCATGCTAGAGAGTGCCGGCTTGACCTTTGTCGGCAAGGACGACGCCGGCCAGCGGATGGAGATCGTCGAGCTGCGCGACCATCCGTGGTATGTCGGCGTGCAGTTCCACCCGGAGTACCTCAGCCGCGTGCTCGCGCCCAGTAAGACCTTCCTGGGGTTCTTTGCTGCCGCGGCGGGCTGTCTGGACGATGTGACGGCCAGGTTTCGGGATCGCCGTGATCTCAGCGTAGTCCGTAGAAGTAAAAGTAGTAGTAAGTAGGAGTGATGAGTTGTAACTATATAGGACACTGTCTAGACTCTATAGCAGAGTCATTTGATGACTAACTGGTGAGTAAGCATGACTAATAGCGGAGTAACTAGAACCTGTGCTTAGTAATAAACATCAGGTGACTCACCCGAAGCGGCAAGTCCGGGAAACTTTCAGCTGTCTCACGTGACCGCGTGAATCTCCCAGGCTTCCTTCCTCGCCACTGACGACAACCCAGACAACGACAACGACAACGACGGCGAGCGACAGCGAGCGACAGCGAGTGCGACTGCAGGAGGCAGGCATGGAGGACGAACGAAGCAGCGACGGCTGGCGGATCTCCAAGGCGTGCCAGGAATGCCGCCGGCGCAAGATCAAGTGCAACGGGCACACGCCGTGCAAGACGTGCCAGCTGCGCAAGACGCCGTGTCTGTACCGCGACATCACCCGCCAGCGGCGCAAGAAGACTCGCGATGCTGCGTCCGTCGCTGCGCTGTCGGCCTCGTGGGCTGCGTCCGACAGGGCAGAAGCCTCGCAGGCGTCTCCGGGAGGGACAGGTCCAGAAGACCCCTCGTCTCCTGGTGGTCCCTCGCAGGGTCGCAACGACAACAACAACAACAACACCACCAGCAGCAGTAAAAATAATCATCATCATCTTCATCTTCATAATAATGGGACTACCGGTGGTTCTTCGTTGAATCCCTTCCACAGCAGTGTCTCGGCGACGCACATGGCCACCCCGTCGTGCGAGGTGCAGCTCTACTACGGGCCGACGTCACACTTTTCTCTCATGCAGCACATCTATCGCGACCTGATCACCCCGCCGCACGTGGAGCACCATGAGCCACACGGCGGCGTGGACGAGGCCAGCGCGGGCATCGATCTGTTCAGCTTCCGCCGCATCTTCTTCGGCGGCACGGCCGGCGAGACGCGCGACGTCGCCGCCGCCGCGGGCGCGGGGGCCGCTTCGGCAGGCGCAGCGAGCATGTTCATGCCCTATCCCCTTGCGCAGGAGTTCCTTCGCCGGTACCTGTCTACCTTGTACCACCTCACGCCCTTTAAACCCCGCGCGGCGTTTGAGTACGAGCTCGAACAGCTCTATTATCCGTCGTGGAACACGCCGGCGAACCCGCTGGGGCAGTCGATCCTGTTGCTCGCTCTGGCGTTGGGATCCCAGGGTACAGAGCAGTATCACTGGGGGGAACTGCTGTTCGACCGGGCCAAGGCGTTGACGGCGCCGCTAGACGACGTGGTGAACTTGCAGGCAGTGCAGGTCTCATTACTGATGATAAGAGCCCTTTCTCTTCCTTCTTCTTCGTCTTCTTCTAGAGTAACCGCTGACGTCTACACGCCCACTACCAGACTGAGATGGGGAGACCGAATTCCTCCTTCTTGCATCTGGGTACCGCGGTGCGCAAGGCTTTTTCCGCTGGCTTACACAAGGAAGCGGCGGCCAACAACCATCAAGAAGGGATGAGGAAGATCATCGAAGAACGCCGAGTCACGCTCTGGGGGCTCTATTTCTATGAGACGTAAACACACATCCCAGCTTTGTTTTTCTCTCTCTCTCTCTCTCTGACATTTTCTAGCTGGTGCTGCTTCTATCTAGGACGACCGAGTTCGCTATCTCTAAAAGACATTGATATCGCATATCCCGAAGATCCCTTCCTGCTGGCGCTTATCCGGCTCACCAAGGCGACCGCGCGATCGGCCGAGGAGATGTACGGCGAACGACACGAATCCCTGCTCCAGATGTGGAGGGTCGCCCGGTCGATCTCGAATGACCTCAAAAGCTTCGAGCCGGACATGCAGCGAGCACTCGGCTTTGGACTCGACAAGCCGGCGCAGCAGGGCGACCTCGGCGCCCGGCAGACCATTCTCCTCACCCGTAAGCCGACACTTCTAGACCCGAGAAATCAACCCCACCCCTTGCTGACAACCGATATAGTATACTATCACATCATCCTTCTGACTTACCGACCATTCTTGATCTTCCGGGGCCGACTGCAAAGGGGAAACCGATCATCCTCGTCCGCGGCGGCCAATCGTCCGATAGAGATCCCCACCTGGCTGAACGAAGCCTGCAATAATGCGCTGTACTCGGCCCGACGAACGATCCATCACCTCTGCGAGGCGGCTACCATTAACGATCTAGCGAGGGTGTGTCTTCTTCTTTGTACCATGTTTAATTTGTATACTTGCGTAGCTGACCAGGTAGGAAATCCGATACCATGGCTTTTTCCTGGGCAGCTCCTGTTTGTGTCTGCTGTACGACATGTTGAACGTTGAGGGCGCAGCCTGCACCCACCTGCCCTGGATCCATGCGGGGATGAACTGCCTGGCGTCGATGCGAGCGGGCGAGCCGGTGATCAGCACGGTGGCGCCCCTGCAGGCGATCCTCAAGAGCCTGAACCCGGCGTACGAGTGGATCGCGCCGGCGTCCTCCTCTTCCGCCTCCTCCTACCAGCATGCCGCCGCCGCCGGCAGCGGCAGCAATGCCACGACGGCGAGCCTCTCGGCGACGACGTCCGGGTCTGGCTCTGGCTACGCTTCGATGATGAACTATCTGCCCGGGTTGCGGATGGCCGGGGTCGGAGCCCTCGACGCCGAGGCGCTGCAGGAGGAGCTGCAGTTCCAGCCGAGTACGGTCAAGAGCAGCGACGACCTGCCCGACTTTACGCAGTCGGAGATGGGCTTCGACTTTGACTTTTCCACAATGGACCTGGAGGCTTTTCTGTCGCTTCCGGGGATGGACGTACCCGTACCTAGTACCTACTAACAGTACGGAGTATCTAGTTCTACTAATACTATACCCTGTACACTACCAGGTGTACTTTTTTGCATCAGATCCAATCTTGCTTACCGCGCAGAGCCTAGTAACTATATAGTGATAGTATTATCTACAATTTTATCTGTCTCGTAGACATCAGGCAGCAAGGCAGCAAGGCAGCAAGGCAGCAACATCGCGAAGAAAACCAACAATCCAACGACGTCCATCTCTGGATTGTCTGAGGTATCACAGCAGCGCATCATCACATCCACCTGCATGGGGATTCCTATTGGCCGATATGCAGCTGCAGAGTCTGGATGGCTCCGTATTTATTTGCCGATCCTGCAAATGCAGTCAGCATGCGGATTCGGAGTACAGGACGGAGTCCTCTCAGAGTACTCTACGGAGTATCCTTGACAGAGCATGAGTACTTCCATACGGAGGACAGGAGAACAGGAGAACAGGAGCTGGAATCCAGGGTAAGCATCCAGGTTCGTATCCAGGTTCAGGTTCGTTTGTGGCCCTCCCTGCCCAGACATGGCGAGGTGACGTATCGCCTAAGAATAGAACGAAGTTGTCTCAGATAACAAATTCTATCCTACCGACTACAGTCAGCACTGCAGGAAGTATCAGGCAATTTCTCAATTCTGTATAGATTGGCTGATGATTGACAGGCAAAAACGAAGACCCCAAAAAAAGAAAGAAAAAGAAAAAAAAAAAAAAAAAGAAACTTGCAGCAGACTATGGAATATCATCTCCTATCTATCTCTATCTACGCAAGGGACAAGGCTCCATCAGCCTCGTATCAGGCCCGTTCTGATGTCTCACTGCCATCTGCCCAGCCTGCATCGTCTCGGTGTAACCCAGCGATCAGGGTATCCCCATTCTAGGTTCCATTGGGTCCGATGGGATAGCTTTGCCCTGTCGTCTCCATCCCCGTGTGGACTTCTGTGGATTCCAGGTGGGTATTTCCCTTGAACTTACTGTCCACAGCCCATGTCGATGGGGGGGGATGGGGGGGGATGGGGGGGATATTCTTTCTTTTAAATCTGGCTGCTCCCCCTCTAGCCCTCGTCTTCGGGGGTTCGGTTGGTTTGAGTATCATACATTCACCATGAGGCTCTTTCTTGCGCTGTGCTGCCTGCTTGGCGTGGTCTGCCGGGCGCAGGCCAAGGCTGTATTCGCGCACTATCTGGTAAGTAAAGAAGAAGAAGAAGAAGAAGAAGAAGAAGAAGAGACGAAAAGACTGACGGATGATCTATAGATGGGTAATACGGCGACGTTTGGGCCGTCCGATTGGGAAACAGATATCCAAGAGGCGCAGGCCGCCGGCATCGACGCGTTTGCGCTGGACGTGGGCTCCGGCGACAACGTGGCGCTGCCGCTGCAGATGGGCTTCGAGACGGCGGCCTACTACGGCTTCAAGATGTTCTTCTCCTTTGACTACTCCGGGGGCACGGGCACGATCACGGACGGCAGCAGCTCCAACGAGACCGAGGCCATCTGGCCCAAGGACAACGTGACGGCGTTGATCAAGGCCTGGTCGTCCAGCGACGCCTACTACACGTACCAGGGCAAGCCGCTGGTGTCGACGTTCGAGGGGCCCGCCAGCGCCGACGACTGGACCGACATCAAGAACGAGACCGGCTGCCTGTTCATCCCGGACTGGACCTCCATCGGCCCCAAGGCGGCGCTCAAGACGGGCGTCGTCGACGGCCTCTTCTACTGGGGCGGTTGGCCCTGGGGACCCGAGAGCGTCAACACCACCATCGACAAGCAGTACATGGCCGCGCTGGCCGCCGCCGACGACAACAAACCCTACATCATGCCCATCTCGCCCTGGTTCTACACCAACATGCCCGGCTACGACAAGAACTGGGTGTGGAACGGCGACAACCTGTGGTACGACCGCTGGCAGCAGGCCCTCGACCTGTCCCCGGACTTCCTCGAGATCATCTCCTGGAACGACTTTGGCGAGTCGCACTACATCGGACCCCTTCACACCACCGAATACGCCCAGTTCAAGACCGCCGACTCCCCCTACAACTACGCCGCCAACATGCCTCACGACGGCTGGCGCGCCTTTCTTCCCTACCTCATCGCCCAGTACAAGACCGGCAACGCCTCCCTGTCCCAGGAGAGCCTGATGGTCTGGTACCGCGCCCATCCGGTTGCAGACTGCACCACGGGCAACACCACGGGCAATGCCATCTCCCAGGGTCAGACCACCATGCCCCCCAAGGACATCCTCCAGGACCGTATCTTCTTCTCTGCCCTGCTCAACGCCACCGCAGACATCAACGTCACCATCAACGGGAACCCCTCGGCCGCCAACTGGACAAACACCCCGTCTTCTTCCTCTTCCTCTTCCTCTTCCTCTACCGGCATCTATCACGGTAGCGCCCCCTTTGACTCCCACACGGGCGCCGTCAACATCACCCTCACCCGCAACAACAAGATCGTCGCCCAGCTCACCGGCATCGACATCACCCCAAACTGCACCGATGACATCCAGAACTACAACGCGTGGGTCGGCAGCGTCAAGGTCGCCGAGAGTGGAGCCGCTCGGCTTCGGCAGCCTCTGTCTTGCTTCTTCTCGACGCCCCTGCTTGTGCCTGGCCTCCTCTTGGCCGGTTATTTTTATACCTTCCTATAATCTCCTTTCTCCCTTCTCCCTTCTCCCTTCTCCCTGTGTACCCAATTTCTCCGTTTTATTCTTTCACTCCCTGATGACTGCCATGAGTATAGACGGTAGACCCTAGAATGTATTTAGTCGTATATCTTTAATAGAATGAATCATAGAAGAATTGCTTCCACTCCTAATCCTTCCTATCATTCCTCATCGACCCTTCTAGAACGGACTATTCCGATTATTCGCCCTGATCGACCTCCACGCAGATCAAACATGCGTATATCCGGCCACGAATCTCGTTCTTCCGACCCATCCGATGCTCTGATTGGTTCCTTGCACTCAGATACGGATCTACGGATTTGCGGATATACGGCATTCACGGAATTACAAATTGGCAATCTCACAGTGATAGTAAGTACAGGCTGACTATACATTCATTGAATATAACTGCCGGCTTGCCCCTGTCATTGGAGTCGATCCTCAAGGTCAAAGCCTCTCTCTCTCCAGGTCATCCAAGGTCGAGGACTTCCTTCGTTTGTGGTTCCATTCTTTTCGCCAATTCCCCCGTATATACTGCCGGTATACGCTCGGCAGTATATGACAAACAACCTCACCATGGACTCATCATCGACGGCTACCTCGACCGACCTCGAGCAGCAGGATGGCGGCCTCCGCAAGCGTCTCACCCTCACCTTCCGTGACTTGACGGTCAACGTCACCGCCCCTGATGCGGCGCTGGGTGATACCTTGTGGTCAGAGATCGATCCTCGACAAGTGACCGGATGGTTTCGGCGCAATGAGCGTCCGAAGAGGGTAAGCCTTGGTTCACAGAGAAAGAAGAGAATCAGGCTGATAGTCTTCTAGACTATCCTGAACAAGATCAATGGCCAGGTTAAACCAGGTGAAATGGTAGGCGGGTCCACATGTGCTGTGATTGTTGGACTATAAAACTTACCCTTCTAGTTGCTCGTCCTCGGGCGTCCCGGCTCAGGCTGTACATCCCTCCTGCGTGTTCTCTCCAACGACCGGGCCACCTTCGACCAGATCACCGGCGAAACTCACTATGGTAGCATGGACCACGTTGAGGCACGGCGTTTCCGCCAACAAATCATGTTCAACAACGAAGGTGAGAGCCGCCACCACCACCATACATTCCGGGGGTAGTCGAACTGACGGAGAATGATAGATGACATTCATTTCCCCACGCTCACGGTCAATCGCACAATGAAGTTCGCCTTGAGGAACAAGGTCCCGCGAGAACGGCCAGAGCACCTGCCCGGCAAGGAGGAGTTTGTGCAGGAGCACCGGAACGGCATCCTCGAGGCTCTCGGCATCGGCCACACCAAGAAGACCCTCGTGGGCAACGAGTTCATCCGTGGTGTCTCGGGCGGAGAGCGCAAGCGTGTCTCTCTCGCCGAGATGATGGCTGGCCAGGTAGGTTTGTTTTGATCGACAGCTTGCAGCCACCCACCCAACATCTCAATCTTCTAACTCCTGCTCCAGAGCCCCGTCCAGTTCTGGGACAACCCAACCCGCGGTCTCGACTCGAAGACGGCGGTGGAGTTTGCTCGGCTGTTGCGTCGTGAGGCTGACCGCCACGACAAGACGATCGTGGCCACCATGTACCAGGCTGGCAACGGCATCTACGACGAGTTCGATAAGATCCTGGTGCTGGCAGACGGCCGCGTCACCTACTATGGCCCCCGCACCCGTGCGCGCCAGTACTTTGAAGACATGGGCTTTGACTGTCCCAAGGGCGCCAACATTGCCGATTTCTTGACCTCCGTCACCGTCACCACCGAGCGTATCGTTCGTCCGGACATGGCTGCGCAGGTGCCCAACACCCCCGAGGAATTCGAGCGGCGGTTCCTCCAGAGCAATATCAACAAGGAGGTGCTTGAGTCTCTCACCCCGCCCGAGAAGCTTACCTATGAGGTCGACGATATGGAGATGGCGGTGGCGAGCGAGAAGAGAGAACATCATGTTCCGCGCCCGAAAAGCGTGTACACTGCTGGTCTTGTGGACCAGGTCCGTTCCTGCACACTCAGGTATGACCCCTTCCACCTACTCAGAGATAGGACAAGTCACTCACCTATATACAGACAGTTCCAGATCATGTGGGGTGACAAGCTGTCGCTCATGATCAAAGTCGCCTCGGCCATCATCCAGGCGCTCGTGTGTGGCAGTCTGTTCTATAATCTGGCCGACGACAGTACCTCCGTCTTCCTCCGACCCGGTGCTCTCTTCTTCCCCGTCCTCTACTTCCTTCTCGAGTCCATGTCTGAAACCACGGCTTCCTTCATGGGTCGTCCGATCCTGGCCCGTCAGAAACGATTTGGATTCTACCGCCCGACAGCGTTCTGTATCGCAAATGCAATCACCGATATCCCCATCGTCCTCATCCAGGTCACTTGCTTCTCGCTGATCCTCTATTTCATGGCCGGCCTGCAGCAAAATGCAGGAAAGTTCTTCACCTTCTGGATAGTCGTCAACGCCCAGACCCTGTGTTTCATCCAGATGTTCCGCACCATCGGTGCGCTCTGTGGCAAGTTTGGCAATGCTTCCAAGATTACCGGGTTGCTTTCCACGATCTTTTTTGTGTATGGCGGTAAGCACAAAAACACTCCCCTGCATATCATAACTCGATTGAGTCTTGCCTCTGACGGAACGTCTTCTCTCCAGGATACCTGATTCCCTTCCACAAGATGCATGTGTGGTTCCGGTGGATCTTCTATCTCAACCCAGGTACGTTCAGCATGGAATGGAATGCCTAACTGGTTAGTTAACTGACCCTATCCAGGAGCGTATTCCTTCGAGTCACTTATGGCAAACGAGTTCGTCGGCCTGAAGCTCCAGTGCGTCTCACCGGATTATATCCCCTATGGCACTGGGTATTCCGATGAGTCGTCTCAGTATAGAGGCTGCACTGTCGTCGGAAGTGATGCGAACGGCGTCATCGATGGCGCCACTTACATCCATGAGCAGTTCAACTACTCCGCCCATCACATCTGGCGTGGGTTTGGCGTCATCATCGGTTTCTGGATCTTTTTCATCTTTCTGACTGCGCTCGGTTTCGAACTGCGTAACAACCAGGCTGGATCGTCGGTCCTCCTGTACAAGCGTGGCGGTGAACGCAAGAAGATCACGGATGCCGAAAACACGGGAAATGCGCAGCAGGGAGAGGTCGATCCCGGGTTCCTGTCCCAATCGGCAAAGCCGTCCACTTTCACCTGGAAGAACTTGGACTATCATGTTCCTTTCCATGGCCAGAAGAAGCAGTTGCTCGACAAAGTGTTCGGTTATGTCAAGCCAGGGAATTTGGTTGCACTCATGGGAAGCTCGGGAGCAGGAAAGACCACGTAAGTTGCCCTGAAAACGCCTATCAGGGCTTCACGAGCACGAATCAAAACTAAACAATCTCCCATCAGGCTACTGGATGTACTGGCTCAACGGAAAGACAGCGGTGAGATCTTCGGATCGATCCTGATCGATGGCCGGCCTCAAGGCATCAGCTTCCAGCGAACGACCGGATACTGCGAGCAGATGGATGTACACGAAGCGACGGCGACTGTCAAAGAAGCTCTGGTCTTTTCTGCGGTGCTGCGTCAGCCGTCGACTGTTCCATATGAAGAGAAGATCGCTTACGTGGAACAAATCATCGATCTGCTGGAGCTGCGCGACATCTGTGACGCTCTTATCGGCGTCCCTGGAGCTGGCCTTAGTATCGAACAGCGCAAGCGAGTGACTCTGGGCGTCGAGCTGGTCGCAAAGCCAACCTTGCTGTTTCTGGACGAGCCGACCTCGGGTTTGGATGGCCAATCTGCATACAACATCATTCGCTTCTTGCGGAAGCTGGTCGACGGCGGACAGGCCGTTCTGGTATGTAAAAACTGATGGGCTTTTTTGTGGTTATCTTCTAACATCAGATTGCCAGTGTACTATTCACCAGCCTTCGGCCGTCTTGTTCGACGCATTTGACTCGCTTCTTCTCCTTGCCAAGGGCGGAAAGATGACCTACTTCGGAGAGAGTAAGTCTTTGGTCTCAATATTATTATGCATGAATGTTTCACTCACCCGTCCTAGCTGGCCAGGATTCAACTATTGTTCTCGACTATTTCGCCCGCAACGGTGCTCCGTGCCCGCCTGACGCAAACCCCGCAGAGCATATCGTCGAAGTCGTCCAGGGAAATACCACCGAGAAGACCGATTGGGTCGAGGTCTGGAATCAGTCTCCTGAGCGCGAGCAGGCCTTAACCCAGCTGGCTGAGCTGGACGAGGCTGGAAAAGCCGATCCGGATTATGTCGAAGACACAGCGGACTTCGCCACATCCCATTGGTTCCAGTTCAAGACCGTTCTGTATCGCCTGATGACCCAATTGTGGCGCTCGCCGGTAGGTTTTCTGATAATGGCAATATTCACCTAACTTGACTGTTGGCGGTCGATGCTGACGTTTTGGACCAGGACTACGTCTGGAACAAGATCATCCTCCATGTCTTTGCGGCACTGTTCAGTGGATTCACCTTTTGGAAGATCGGAGACGGCACCTTCGCCCTGCAGCTGCGTCTCTTTGCCATCTTCAATTTCATCTTCGTGGCACCAGGATGTATCAACCAGATGCAGCCGTTTTTCCTTCATAACCGCGACATCTTCGAAACCCGTGAAAAGAAGTCCAAGACATACCACTGGATCGCCTTCATTGCCGCCCAGATGGTTTCAGAGATCCCTTACCTCATCATCTGCGCCACGATCTATTTCCTGTGCTGGTACTTCACGGCTGGCTTCCCGGCCACGCCTTCAATCTCCGGCCACATGTATCTGCAGATGATCTGTAAGCATTACCAAACCTATTTTCCCCAATCAACACATCCATCTACTGACCACGGGGACTCTTGTAGTTTACGAGTTCCTTTACACCTCGATTGGACAGGCGATCGCTGCTTACGCCCCGAATGAATACTTTGCTGCAATCATGAACCCCGTCCTGATCGGCGCGGGTATGATCAGTTTCTGCGGTATTGTCGTCCCGTATTCGTCCATGCAACCCTTCTGGCGCTACTGGCTGTCTTACCTGGACCCCTTCACCTATCTCGTCGGCGGCCTATTGGGCGAAGTCCTGTGGGAGGTCAAGGTCGAGTGCCAGTCCTCGGAGTGGGTGCAGTTCGACGCGCCGTCCGGCCAGACATGCGGAGAGTACATGGCCAACTTCCTCGCCGAACAGGCAGGTTACCTGCTCGACTCCAATGCCACCTCTTGTAACTTCTGTCAGTACTCGACGGGCGCGGATTATGCCAAGACCTTCAACCTGAAAGAGAAATATTATCCGTGGAGAGATGTATGTATACCTGGATTCCCCTATTGTGAAATGATCAGCGTTGCTAACAGATCCTTCTCTCTGCTCACAGACTGGCATCACCGCCCTTTTCTGCATCTCCTCGTACGGTCTGGTCTTCCTGATGATGAAATTGCGCAGCAAGAAGACCAAGAGCGCCCGCTCGGAGTGAACGGTGCCAGCAACCCAACGACCGATTCTTACCTGCCTCTTTTTTCACCCAATATAGAGACAAGGCTGACACTGTGGGCCTTTGGCTTACTCGCTGTCATCCCTTGGCTTCCTTTCTTTCGCTAATACTTCGTTCCGGCGTTTCGTGGGGCTGCAATCAATAGACACTAGTTAGTAACAGATAGAATATGTAGTAGCCAGGATAGCTACATAGACAGATTGATAGACTGGGAAATATAACACATTGTTCAGAGATCACTTACCCTGGGCCTTCTACCCAAGCCTTGCAAGAGTTGTCAAAAGCGTCAGGAGCAGGTGGAGGAGGTTGGCGCCTTCCCAAAAGAGGCGGCGGAGATCACGGGCCACGCTAACCCTAACGGGGTAGCTGCTATCACTAGCTGGAGCCCCTCAACCTCCCTACGCCAACTCTTTCTCCTACCAACCGCTTCTCTCGGAAGACTTGAGCTACCTGGGTAGTCTTTCAGGTACTCTCTCCTCTCTTCTTACTGGCAGGTGCAGTGTCTCTTTGTCTTTCCGTCTTCCCGTGTGCCTGGGCGGCGTCTGACGGTTCTCCACTACAGGGCTGAGCTGAGTGAGTACGGGTTGGTGATTAGTTATACGGAGTAAGCACTAATTAAGCATCAGGGAATACCAACTTAAGCCACCCAAAGACCCCACAAAAGACCCTGCAGCCCAATCTCACGCGTGGAAGGGCCAGGCGGTGCTGTTGCTTAAGATTACACACGATGGGGGACCCCTAACGGCCACTTCATCTTCCCATGCTGAAGTGGACACCGATCAACAAAAGCCATTGGAAACAGACTCCCTTTCGACCTCTGAAGATGTCTTTAATTGGCTAGTCAGAATACCCTTTTTTTAGATGGATGAAGACGGTGGGCTGTGCCTGCCACTGCCTGGGGAAGCTCTTACTTTATATAAGGTACCGTTCAATCCGGAATCCCAACTACTTTTCTTCCTCATCGCCATCTCCAAATTTGTTGACTCACAATGCGTTTTCAATCAGATCTTTCTGCGGCATTGCTCCTGGCAGCTGTGTCGGCTGTCCAGGTGAACGCTGGGAGTGTGAAGAGCAATGAACCGTGTGCGGAAATGAGCGAGATGTACGTCAAGGCGACCAAGGCCAACAGTGAGTCGATCGATATGTGAAAAGACCTTTCTGAACGCCTGTTTCTAATCTACTGGCATAGCTACGGCTAGTATTCCTGCTAGGTTGGGTTATGAATGTCTGAAATCTATGCCGTTCGTGTCGGACCTTGCGGTCGAGTTTATCGAGGAGTACCGCAAATACCTCTTGTTCCAATCCACAATCGAGATTCTGCAAGGTACGCTCCGAACAGGGTGGATTTCAGCTACACATTTTATCTGACTTCTTGTTAATAGACCCTCCGGTCGGTTATCTCATGCCAAGTACCGACCTCTTGGGTGGGTTGGATACGATCCAGGAGAACGCCGCCGCCAATAAGTATGAGAGCCAGTTCGATTTCGATATGGACCTTAGCAGTCTGATAGCGTCGGCTCACGATGGCCATCTGTCAATTGACCTCTGTTCACTTCAACTTCTCTACTTTACGATTGATCTCCCGCTGGCTTCCGTCTCATCCGACGGGCTGGAACTTCCCCAGGTATATCTTTGGCAGGATATGGTGCTGGCCAACGATGGAGATCAGTCGGTGTCTCCTGTGGCATCTATCAACGGGGTGGACGTGGTGGAGTTTTTGGCAGAAATCACCTCGGCAGAAAACTTTCAAGACCCGGATGCTCAGTACGTTTCGTTTCCTTTCTTCTGAGGCCCCCAAAGGAAGCTTAGAGGCCGGCCTCTGACTGTCTTTTCCTTAGGTATAATATGGCGTTTCCTGGGAACGGTCGAAGAGTCACCTTGGGGGCAGTCACCGATGCCTGGCAACTCCCCAGCGTTTGGCCAGGCGAGTCCACATACACAATCAAGTTTGAGAACGGTAGCACTGTAGATGTCGATCGCACCATCACAACCGAGAAAGATTTGTCCGATGCCATGTGGCAGAATGGTACTGCGCTCTTCAAGGCTGTATGTCTGCCTGAAACAACGACCTCGACTTCATCTTCCAGTTCGTCCGACTCCGCCTCCACCACATCCGACAGCTCATCCACGGCGCAAGTCTCAGGGTATCCCACCGATGTTGTCATTAGCGAGTCTAATAACTATATCTCCGGTTATTATCTGGATGGAAAGGGGTTCGAGGATATCGCCGTGCTGGTGGTCCCTACGTTCAGTGTCAGTGGTGATGAGCCTGCGGCTTTTGCCCGCGTTGCGAGGGAGTTTATTGGCAATGCCACCGCAGATGGTAAGACCAAGATGCTCATCGACCTTTCCGGCAACCCCGGCGGTGATATTGACGCCGGCTTCAACCTCTTTCGGCTCTTCTTCCCCAATGAGGCGCTATACACCGCCACCCGGTTTCGTTCGCACGAATCTCTCTATCTCATGGGCAAAGTTCTCTCCACAGTTGATGTGAGCACCATAAGCGCGGACTATTTCGAGGTTACCGTTGAAGGCCCTCTAGACTCCCGGACCCAAGTCACCCCGGACCAAGAGGGTTCCTTCTCCTCCTGGGCGGAGATTTACGGACCCCATGTCATCCTCAACACCAACACGTCTACGCTCTATGCCAACTCCAACTTCACTTTAATATCCTCTGCAGATGAACCGATCAGCGGATATGGAGATATCCCCCTTGACCCCACTACCTCTCCATTCACAGCGGAAAATATTGTTCTTGTAAGTCTTGCTCTGTATGACTATCCCAATCATCCACAATAACCTTACTGATTCCTCTTGCAGATTTCCGATGGCTTCTGCTCTTCGACCTGCACGTCCTTCAGTGAGCTCATGAAATACCAAGGCGTTCGATCGATCGCTTTCGGAGGCCGTCCCTTGAACGAGCCCATGCAAGCCATGGGCGGGGTTAAAGGTGCTGAGTCGTTGGACCTTTCGGCCATCGAGATGTACTCCGCTTTGGTCGCTTCAATTGCAATGAATGCCTCGGAGACGTCGTCTCCACTTCTGACAGAAAGTGAACTGGATCTTCTCAACGCCACAGGACCCATCCCGCTGGAGGATTTCCCGTTAACGTTCAGTGGAGGCGAACTGAACTTCCGCAACAGCTACCACAAGGACAACGACCAGGTGCCGCTGCAATTTGTTTACGAGGCTGCCGAGTGCCGCTTGTTCTACACGGCGGAGAACTATCTAGAGCAAGAGACCGTCTGGACCGCTGCTGCCACTGCCATGTGGAACGGTGGGTCCTGCGTCCCCGGCTCGACCAACGGCACCGGCAGTCTCTATGAGACCACTGCCTCCAATCGCATGAAACAGCTTGCGATCCTGGTTGCTCTGGGTAAGGAACTTCAGTGATTCTTAATAGTTTATATATGGCATGGTTATCTTGTAATGTGTTGTTATTGGCCTCAAGTGATCAATAAAAGGCGGCGATTTTCTGACTTAAAATGGAGGTATTATAGTAACTATAGGATAGAACATTGTTGATTGCAGCAATTGCTTCGATTTCGAACAGTGTAGATGCATGATAGAGCTTATAGTCGCGATTTTAGGGCTGACCTTGTATACGTGGCTCTTCAGTGTGAGTCTGAGCATTAACTAGGCGCCAGGCTGAGATGATCCCCATCTGGCTCCGGGATAGTGTTGGAGTATCAGATCACAGAATCAAATAATAAATGATACTTATACAAGAGCAGAGAGTTGTTCTATCGTTTAATGAGTTTCTTCAGAGTATTCAAGCAATTATGTAAAGTTGATAACTTGATGGTGGGATATATCTTGGTCCGCGTGCCTCAGGCTCGCATAGTAAGAACCATCTTGAACAGCATCACGAGCAACCACACCACGAAATAATGGAAGATCAGGTCTAATGGGATCTCCAACGGTAGCCATGGCTTGTAGCTTTCATTCTACGTCTTTAAATCCGGTATCAGACCTTTGGGGGGGGGGGGGGGCCAGGAGCGGCGTGTTTCCTCCTGGACAATCTTCCTATATAGGCCATTCTAATGGTATCCCAGTACCAAACCCGGGGTGACTGTAGTCCAGCTGGTTCGCCAGCTGCGCGCTACAGAAGTCCTGGGTTCGAATCCGTGAGAGAGAGAATGTCTCGCCAACAGGTCTCTCACCTCAGCGGGTTTGTCGAAAACCTTCATGCGGGTGTGGCCCACCCGTCGATAACCTTCGTAGCTCACTGGCAGTAGTATTCCCCGGAATACTCCCAGTGAGTGAGCTTTTGCTGTTTTAGATTATGCTTGTCTTCTTCCCTTTTCTTTTCCTTTTGTTGATGGTGGTGATGAGGCTTGGGTTTGTCTAGGCAGATGCCTCGAGTGTTGCCTAGAGATTACCAACTACTTTCAAGATGTTATGGTTCCAAACTAACTTACCTGTCTGTATCCTGATGCCTATTCTTCTCATATATTTCTGTTTATTCCTTTATTCTAGTGGTTAATATCTATACCCAGTATACCTAGTATAGTCTATATAGTATATAATCTTTCTATCCTAACTATAAACACTGCAGGCATAACAACGTAAACAGTTTATAACGTACCCACACTCTGCTTTAAGCACGTCTACAACTATTCAATAGGACAATGCTCTATATGACCAACAGGTCATAGTCGTATATATATGGATAGCTATGACCTAACTACTTCTCCCCTTCCTCAAAACCCGTCATATAAGTAGTAGTTGAATAAATTGACTCGATCTAGAATACAAATTCCAGGTAAAATCCATTTCTCTTATGATATTTTGGTTCAGAAGCCTTACCGGGATTGGGTAAATGACAATACCGTGAATTGGGGATGTCTTGCTGCCTGAACCGGGCTTCGCTTTTGAATGGGGACAACCTGAAAACAATCTGAGAACTAACCACTTCCAGGTACGAGGGGGAAATGTCGAGTTTTGGGTCCCATGGGTTACTATTTCTCAACAGGTGGGTTTATTCATTTCCAAGAATATGCTTATACTGTCGTTTTATATAATTCCTATCCCTGCATGTTTACGCAAGTAGCCACTATATTGCACTGACCACTGAAATGTATTTATCCAGAGATCTAACGATCGAAGAATCCATTAAAGATTCAATAACGGATACGGGATAGAATAAACCACTTTGCTAGATGTAGGAGGTAGTCCAGGAGTGCAGTCAAGAAGAAAATTGAATTCAATGAGTTTATCTAAGTAATTGCAGGATCCACCTGCACAAACAGGTGCTATAGTCTAGTGGTTAGGACGTCAGACTTTGACTCTGAAATCCTCGGTTCGAGCCCGGGTAGCACCTCTTACCTTTCTTTCTTTTTTTTTTTTTTTCCCCACCACACAGATAACTACGGAGTAGTAAGCATGAGTGGAATGTTTTGTAATAGCTATATAATGTGCATGCTCGCTGCGTTTGACTCAACCAATGGTGCTATAGTCTAGTGGTTAGGACGTCAGACTTTGACTCTGAAATCCTCGGTTCGATCCCGAGTAGCACCTGTTTATTTCTTTTTTCAATGCTACTTATCTAATGATGCTCATGGGTATTTTTTTGAGCTGGCATCTGCTTGAATTATTTGTTCAATTAATTATACATAAACATAAGTAGAATGAGAACTCCAATGCTCCAACGCCTCCATCCAGACAAATTGATCCATAAATCCTTCCCAGAAACCACCGTCGTAACACGTACTTATACTTCTTCCCAACTATTCGTCGTGTATACTGTATATTCACCAGTCAGTAACTTCATGTGCGTGTGGTAGCCGGAAGCATCAGATAGGCAAGCATTCTCCCGGATACTGCTGGACGAGATCCATCCAGTTCCAGGGCTGACCCGTATCGCGGGCATGCCAGACACGGTCGACGCAAAAGGCACGGGTGCGCAGGGCGGTAGCTGTGAAGCGTACACGGTAGATGCCGTCGAAGATGTCGAGGACGGTAGCGCGGTCGTCGGCGGCGACGAGCTCGCAGGCAGCCACGAAGGCGGGCCACAGCGAGAGACGGAGCTCGTCGGCGGGGGCGCTCAGGTGGGCGAGAACCTCGCAGGCCATGCCGAGGGCGATGCGGTCGGCCTCGGCGGAGCTGCCTGCGGGATGGAGCAGCCGGTGCAGGTATAGTAGTGCAGCGGCGCGGGAGGCGTACGCTTGTAGTAGGCAGCGGCGCGAGACTCGGACCGAGACCTCGTATGTGGCGACGGGCTGCCAGGCGCGGATGCGCAGCGCTAGATCGGCGGCCGTGGCGGCGATGGTGAGACCTGTCGAGGCGACGAGAGGAGTTTCTAGATCGATGGAGGTGGTGTTGATGTGAGTAGCAGTGGCGATGGTGGTGTCGGTAGCAGTGGCTATGGTAGTGTCCTCGAACATGGTGTCTTCGAGCGAGGTGTCTTCAAGCAAGGTGTCTTCGAGCAAAGTGTCTTCGAGCAAGGCGTCTTCGAGCAAGGTGGTGCGGTGTTCGCGAATGTCTTCTGCCAACGCACACAGTTCTTCGAGCAGAGGCATAAGGGTGACGGTGAAGCCCATCACCCTATCGGCAGCCTGTAGACAGGCCTCATCGAGCCAGACGGCCACGGGGATCTGCGGCCGGCGCATGGAGACGAGGGAACAGACGATATCCTGCCGGGCAAGGGCACGCAGGAAGTAGCGCGCGACCGAGCTAAGGGCAATCCCGGCGTGCAGATGCTGGGAGACAATGGAAGCACAGTAGGAGAGCAGTAGGGGGATGGAGCTTTCGTCGCGATGGGCCCTAGGGTCAAGGAGCTATTCATAAGCATACCACACTTATATACACCGAGTAAACGAATACTGTATGCTTACATCCATTGCGGATAGACCCAGAATCATGACGATCATCTGCTCGAGCTCGTTGTCGGTCTGCATCTTGCGCAGACGGGCAAGCGTTCGAGCGCGGCGGTTCAGCGCCGGGACGAGCGGGCTATGGCCGTCAGCGTGGTCAAAGTAGAGCTGACCGACGGCGTAGAGGGTGTCGGCGATGGCCTGCGGGTCCTGCTGGAAGACCAGCAGGGTATGGGCGTTCATCTCGTCGACAAAGTCGCTCTCGATGACAAACTCCAAGGGGTGGCGGTCGAAATAGCGCTGGATGGTGGGCTCGTCGGCCTCGGGGACGGTGCCGCGGGGGATCGGCGAGAGACTGGTGCATGGGACCAGCGAGGGTTCTGAATGACGACGAGAGGAGAAGGCAGACGAAGCCACGACAAGCGATGTCGCTGTTGATGGAACTGGCGAGGCAGCTATGGCTGTCGCTGCGGGGGAGGATGCCTCTGCTGTCTTGGAGCTGCGGCGGGCGCCCGGCAGTCGGTAGCCCTGGCAGACATGGCCACGGCGCACACAAGTGCCACACGTGGGCCGCAGCTCGTCGCATTTGACCTTGGCCTTCTTGCAGTCGATGCAGCCGCCGCGAGAGCGCTTGCGTGGGTAGAAATCCAGGGCGGAGGCAGGGGAGTTGCTGGTGGTGGTCATGGCGAAAGTGGAGGAGGTGAGGAGAGGAGGAGGGAAAGTGAGGAGAGACGATAAGGGTGGATTTGGTGAGATTTGGGGGAACAAAGGATTGGATTAGAAGGATTGGATTAGAAGGATTTGGAAGGATTTAGTAGACGGTCTAGAAGTAATATCAATTATAATAATAATATTATGTTATTTAATTCTGTATAGTAAAGGGTCTTCTATGCTGTATTGCTATTGTATCTATTGTTCTGCAATAAATAATAGAAATGATAATAAATAATAATTCAGTTATTATCATGAGATTATGCTTAGTATGATAAACACCCCATTACTGTGAGCATCTAATACCATGTAGTATATAATTCTAATCCAGGATATTTGCCAGCAGCAGATCCGCCGAGCTCGTTGACTCGGATTCAAGCATAAAATCAGCGCTGAAGGCAGTCGGGAAATTGGCGATGCATTCTACAGGCAGTGGTCAGTGTCAGCAGGAGGATTGGTTTAGGCATCGGGGTGTATTAGAAAAAACCTTGGTAAGCGTCCCAAGAGACCGGGTCGAGCGACAGGAAGGCGTCTGGCGATAGTGGAGGAGGAGAAGAAGAAGAAGGAGGAGGAGGAGGAGGAGGAGGAGGA